AAACCTATTCTATCAAACAGATTCAATCATGTTTAGCCCATACATTAACATTTTTGTTTCAGATGGAGATTTCAAAGCACCTTGAAGACTTGCACATTTATTTATATAGCTTGACGCCGTGTGGTCCAGTGGATAGGCCACCAGAATGGGAGGCAAGATAAATGTTTTCTATTCCTGGCTCAGCTGATGACTCACTAGGTAAATCGGTGGTTCTCAAACTCTTTTTTTTCGTGGACCATTGAAAATTGGTGAGGGTTTCGGCGGACCAGTTAATGATCTTTCTAAATGTTGTTTGTACCATTAGCTAACTATTGTAAGGCATTTTGATTAAAAGTACTGTATAAAAAAACCCTTAATAATAATTGTGTTTTTTTGTTATACAAATAAAAGCCCACAACTCATATTTTAATATCAGTAGTCTTACCTTTCTAATGCGATGGATGTGCCCTCTCCTCCCTGCCATGGCAGCCCCTGAGCTGGGGCTGGGAAGAAGGTTGGGTGTCTCTCCCTCCCTCCCTCTCTCCCTCACTGCAGCAACTCCCTAACTGGGGCTGGGAAGGAAAGGGGGTCTCTCCCTCTCTCCCCCACCACAGCAGTCCCCGAGCTGGGGCTGGGAGGGAAAGGGGTCTCTCCCTGGCAGCCGCAGCCCTGGAGCTGGGGAAAGTCACCTCTTTCTCTGGCCACCGCAGCCCTGCATGTCCCAAATTCCCCCCACCCCGTCTTCTCACTCCACTGCCCCCTCCCACCAACGCCTATTGCCCCCAAGGCCGCCACCTCACCTTACATGTGCGTCTTCTCGAGGTTCCAGGCACCTAATTAGTGGAGCCATGCCTGCGTGGCTCCACTAATTAGGTGGGTGGCCCTTCATTCTCTTGTGTGTGGCCGCCCAGGTATGCACCTTAGAGGGAACTATCCCCGGACCACGTGAGTGGAGCTTGTGGACCACCACAGTTTGAGAACTTCTGAAGTAAATCACTTAGACCCAAATTATTTTAGTTTTTTTCTATCACACCTACCACTGTAGTTTCTAAACCCTTTCCATGTAAACTAGAATGGCATGATGAACTGCCTGGAGCCTCCAAAGAGCCTTATTTAAACCATATGAAAGGGCTCACTCAGAAAGCACCCCTCTAGCACTGGGAGCTGTTTAACACCAGGCCAGTCGTAGGGTGCAGGATTTCTTTCTGGACTGTCGCTAGGAGCCAATGATCCCACTAAATAATAAGCTCTTCAGGGGAACGAGTGTGTCTTAATCGGTGTTTGCAGCTTGTAGATTCAGGGTGCTATAGAGATTATTTCGAATAACAATACTAGCTTTTGAATGTTGACAGTTGTGTCTATAATGGTCGGGAACATGCATATTCTATCCATCTAGCCATCCATTCGCTGGGACCATTTGCGTACTCCGGTGGGCTGCTTATACGGGAGCGTGTACGCTGGGACATTTTGCAGGCCAGGAGCTAAGGAGCTGTCTCCCAGCAGCCTCTACAAAGAAAAATCAGGTAAGTTTAAAGCCAATGTTATGTTAAGTTCCCCCTCTTACCTGCTGCTGTTTGTGGCATTTAGTTAGGGTAGCACCCCAAATTTATACGGGTGAGCCCAGGTCCTGAAACAGCTTAAGGGATCATGTTACTGCTGCTGTCCCCCAGGGAGGGGATGAGGCCCAGGAAGCAGCCCCATGTGGGCAATAGGCTCTGGGGAGGCTGGGGGGAAGCAGCCCCAGAGGGGTGGGAGGACAGTTGGAGGCTCGGGGGGGGGGGGGGGTTGAGGGGAGAGCAGCCCCATGGAGGGGGTGGGAGGACGGTTGGAGGCTTGAGGGGGGTGGGAGGATGGTTGGAGGCTCTGGGGGCGGGTTTGAGGGGGGGAGCAGCCCCATGGAGGGGGTGGGAGGACAGTTGGAGGCTGGGGGGGGGTTGAGGGAGGAGCAGCCCCGTGGAGGGGGTGGGAGGACGGTTGGAGGCTGGGGGGGGGGGTTGAGGGAGGAGCAGCCCCGTGGAGGGGGTGGGAGGACGGTTGGAGGCTCGGGGGGGAGGGGGGAGCAGCCCCGTGGAGGGGGTGGGAGGACGGCTGGGGGGGGTTGACGGGGGGAGCAGCCCCGTGGAGGGGGTGGGAGGACGGTTGGAGGCTGGGGGGGGTTGAGGGGGGAGCAGCCCCGTGGAGGGGGTGGGAGGACGGTTGGAGGCTCGGGGGGGGGTTGAGGGGGGAGCAGCCCCGTGGAGGGGGTGGGAGGACGGTTGGAGGCTCGGGGGGGGGGTTGACGGGGGGAGCAGCCCCGTGGAGGGGGTGGGAGGACGGTTGGAGGCTCGGGGGGGGGGGTTGAGGGGGGAGCAGCCCCGTGGAGGGGGTGGGAGGACGGTTGGAGGCTCGGGGGGGGGGGGTTGAGGGGGGAGCAGCCCCGTGGAGGGGGTGGGAGGACGGTTGGAGGCTCGGGGGGGGGTTGAGGGGGGAGCAGTCCCGTGGAGGGGGTGGGAGGACGGTTGGAGGCTCGGGGAGGGGGGAGCAGCCCCGTGGAGGGGGTGGGAGGACGGTTGGAGGCTCGGGGGGGGTTGAGGGGGGGAGCAGCCCCGTGGAGGGGGTGGGAGGACGGTTGGAGGCTCGGGGAGGGGGGAGCAGCCCCGTGGAGGGGGTGGGAGGACGGTTGGAGGCTCGGGGGGGGGTTGAGGGGGGAGCAGCCCCGTGGAGGGGGTGGGAGGACGGTTGGAGGCTCGGGGAGGGGGGGGAGCAGCCCCATGGAGGGGGTGGGAGGACGGTTGGAGGCTCGGGGGGGGTTGAGGGGGGAGCAGCCCCGTGGAGGGGGTGGGAGGACGGTTGGAGGCTCGGGGGGGGGGGGAGCAGCCCCGTGGAGGGGGTGGGAGGACGGTTGGAGGCTCGGGGGGGGGGGGGGAGCAGCCCCGTGGAGGGGGTGGGAGGACGGTTGGAGGCTCGGGGGGGGGGGTTGAGGGGGGAGCAGCCCCGTGGAGGGGGTGGGAGGACGGTTGGAGGCTCGGGGGGGGGGGTTGAGGGGGGAGCAGCCCCGTGGAGGGGGTGGGAGGACGGTTGGAGGCTCGGGGGGGGGGGGGTTGGGGGGGAGCAGCCCCGTGGAGGGGGTGGGAGGACGGTTGGAGGCTCGGGGGGGGGGGGAGCAGCCCCGTGGAGGGGGTGGGAGGACGGTTGGAGGCTCGGGGGGGGGTTGAGGGGGGAGCAGCCCCGTGGAGGGGGTGGGAGGACGGTTGGAGGCTCGGGGGGGGTTGAGGGGGGAGCAGCCCCGTGGAGGGGGTGGGAGGACGGTTGGAGGCTCGGGGGGGGGGGTTGAGGGGGGAGCAGCCCCGTGGAGGGGGTGGGAGGACGGTTGGAGGCTCGGGGGGGGGGGGTTGAGGGGGGAGCAGCCCCGTGGAGGGGGTGGGAGGACGGTTGGAGGCTCGGGGGGGGGGGTTGAGGGGGGGAGCAGCCCCGTGGAGGGGGTGGGAGGACGGTTGGAGGCTCGGGGGGGGGGTTGAGGGGGGAGCAGCCCCGTGGAGGGGGTGGGAGGACGGTTGGAGGCTCGGGGGGGGGGGGGGGGGGGGGGTTGAGGGGGGAGCAGCCCCGTGGAGGGGGTGGGAGGACGGTTGGAGGCTCGGGGGGGGGTTGAGGGGGGAGCAGCCCCGTGGAGGGGTGGGAGGACGGTTGGAGGCTCGGGGGGGGGTTGAGGGGGGAGCAGCCCCGTGGAGGGGGGTGGGAGGACGGTTGGAGGCTCGGGGGGGGGGTTGAGGGGGGAGCAGCCCCGTGGAGGGGGTGGGAGGACGGTTGGAGGCTCGGGGGGGGGTTGAGGGGGAGCAGCCCCGTGGAGGGGGTGGGAGGACGGTTGGAGGCTCGGGGGGGTTGAGGGGGGGAGCAGCCCCGTGGAGGGGGTGGGAGGACGGTTGGAGGCTCGGGGGGGGTTGAGGGGGGAGCAGCCCCGTGGAGGGGGTGGGAGGACGGTTGGAGGCTCGGGGGGGGGGGGTTGAGGGGGGAGCAGCCCCGTGGAGGGGGTGGGAGGACGGTTGGAGGCTCGGGGGGGGTTGAGGGGGGGAGCAGCCCCGTGGAGGGGGTGGGAGGACGGTTGGAGGCTCGGGGGGGGGTTGAGGGGGGAGCAGCCCCGTGGAGGGGTGGGAGGACGGTTGGAGGCTCGGGGGGGGGGGTTGAGGGGGGGAGCAGCCCCGTGGAGGGGGTGGGAGGACGGTTGGAGGCTGGGGGGGGGGTTGACGGGGGAGCAGCCCCGTGGAGGGGGTGGGAGGACGGTTGGAGGCTCGGGGGGGGGGTTGAGGGGGGAGCAGCCCCGTGGAGGGGGTGGGAGGACGGTTGGAGGCTGGGGGGGGTTGACGGGGGAGCAGCCCCGTGGAGGCGGTGGGAGGACGGTTGGAGGCTCGGGGGGGTTGAGGGGGGGAGCAGCCCCGTGGAGGGGGTGGGAGGACGGTTGGAGGCTCGGGGGGGTTGGGGGGGAGCAGCCCCGTGGAGGGGGTGGGAGGACGGTTGGAGGCTCGGGGGGGTTGAGGGGGGAGCAGCCCCGTGGAGGGGGTGGGAGGACGGTTGGAGGCTGGGGGGGTTGAGGGGGGAGCAGCCCCGTGGAGGGGGTGGGAGGACGGTTGGAGGCTGGGGGGGGGGTTGAGGGGGGAGCAGCCCCATGGAGGGGGTGGGAGGACGGTTGGAGGCTCGGGGGGGGGGTTGAGGGGGGAGCAGCCCCGTGGAGGGGGTGGGAGGACGGTTGGAGGCTCGGGGGGGGGTTGAGGGGGGGAGCAGCCCCATGGAGGGGGTGGGAGGACGGTTGGAGGCTCGGGGGGGGGTTGAGGGGGGAGCAGCCCCGTGGAGGGGGTGGGAGGACGGTTGGAGGCTCGGGGGGGGGGTTGAGGGGGGAGCAGCCCCGTGGAGGGGGTGGGAGGACGGTTGGAGGCTCGGGGGGGGGGGTTGAGGGAGGAGCAGCCCCGTGGAGGGGGTGGGAGGACGGTTGGAGGCTGGGGGGGTTGAGGGGGGGCGCTATGCCCCTGGGGGAGGAGCGTGGCGGGGCCGCCGCGGCGCCAGGGGGCGCTGGATCGCGGGGGCTCGATCCCGGGCGCTCGGACTCTCCCTGCGGCCGGTCCGACAGGGCCCGCTCGCCGCCTCGCCGGGACATGGCCGCCGCCATCAGCGCCGGCATCCTGGGCCGTGGCCGAGGCCACAGGGTGAGGGGGGCTGAGGGCCGTGGCAGGGGGCCCCCCCGCGTTGGGGAGGGGGCTGAGGGCCGTGGCAGGGGGCCCCCCCGCGTTGGGGAGGGGGCTGAGGGCCGTGGCAGGGGGCCCCCCGTTGGGGAGGGGGCTGAGGGCCGTGGCAGGGGGCCCCCCGGCGTTGGGGAGGGGGCTCAGGGCCGTGGGGCCCCCCGCGTTGGGGAGGGGGTCAGGGCCGTGGAGGGGGCCCCCGCGTTGGGGAGGGGGCTCAGGGCCGTGGCGGGGGCCCCCCCGCGTTGGGGAGGGGGCTCAGGGCCGTGGCAGGGGGCCCCCCCGCGTTGGGGAGGGGGCTGAGGGCCGTGGCAGGGGGCCCCCCGTTGGGGAGGGGGCTGAGGGCCGTGGCAGGGGGCGCCCCTCCCGCGTTGGGGAGGGGGCTCAGGGCCGTGGCAGGGGGCCCCCCCCGCGTTGGGGAGGGGGCTCAGGGCCGTGGCAGGGGGCCCCTCCCGCGTTGGGGAGGGGGCTCAGGGCCGTGGCAGGGGGCCCCCCCGCGTTGGGGAGGGGGCTGAGGGCCGTGGCAGGGGGCCCCCCGTTGGGGAGGGGGCTGAGGGCCGTGGCAGGGCCCCCCCCGTTGGGGAGGGGGCTCAGGGCCGTGGCAGGGGGCCCCCCCCGCGTTGGGGAGGGGGCTCAGGGCCGTGGCAGGGCCCCCCCCCCGCGTTGGGGAGGGGGCTCAGGGCCGTGGCAGGGGCGCCCCTCCCGCGTTGGGGAGGGGGCTCAGGGCCGTGGCAGGGGGCGCCCCTCCCGCGTTGGGGAGGGGGCTCAGGGCCGTGGCAGGGGGCCCCCCCGCGTTGGGGAGGGGGCTCAGGGCCGTGGCAGGGGGCCCCTCCCGCGTTGGGGAGGGGGCTCAGGGCCGTGGCAGGGGGCCCCTCCCGCGTTGGGGAGGGGGCTCAGGGCCGTGGCAGGGGGCCCCTCCCGCGTTGGGGAGGGGGCTCAGGGCCGTGGCAGGGGGCCCCTCCCGCGTTGGGGAGGGGGCTCAGGGCCGTGGCAGGGGGCCCCCCCCGCGTTGGGGAGGGGGCTCAGGGCCGTGGCAGGGGGCCCCCCCGCGTTGGGGAGGGGGCTCAGGGCCGTGGCAGGGGGCCCCCCCGCGTTGGGGAGGGGGCTCAGGGCCGTGGCAGGGGGCCCCCCCCGCGTTGGGGAGGGGGCTCAGGGCCGTGGCAGGGGGCCCCCCCCGCGTTGGGGAGGGGGCTCAGGGCCGTGGCAGGGGGCCCCCCCCCGCGTTGGGGAGGGGGCTCAGTTCTCACAGTGCCTCGCGCAGCCAGGCCTCCAGCCCTGAGAGCTGGCTTCCTGGCCCTTCTGCAGCACAAACCGTTCTTGCCCCTGCCCACCTGCCTGCAATTTTGTCTGTGACGATATTGTCCCTTTTCTATGTTTCTTCTGACTGCTAGATCCTTCTGCTGTGCCGCACATGGAGAACGTTTGCTTCACAGACTGATGGGGAAGCCAGGGTGATGCAGGTCCTCAAAGAAAAATTCCCTCAGGCTTCGGCCATCAAAGTAGTGGATATATCAGGTAAGTAGAATCGTACAGGCGGGATCTGTTTTATGGTTTGTGAGGGACGCAAAGACAACTTCCAGCTGTGACCAACGTAGCTCAGCTTTCGTGATCTGGTCCGGCCAATGTGTCAGCTTACCCGATGGCTTCCATGTAGGGACCAGGAGTGTCCAGGTTCAAGTCTCAGCTGCGGGGTCTGATCTGCTTTTCCAGAGCATCGAGAACAGGGATTTTTGTTTTCTGGGAACTGTCTTATAAACTGCTATAAACCCTCCTCTTCACTGTACCTATTCTCTCTAGGTAGTCTCCATCATGGTTTTATAATATAGGCTTTGTCTACACTGACTTCCAAACATGACTGTCTTTGCCTCTGCTAGGTGCTAAGTTTAACATCATTTTCTAGTGTAGACACACTCAGGATTTATCAGAGTTGAAAAAATCCTTGCCCCCCACTGCTAGCAACCCGGGTAACAAATTGTGGCTATTATTTATAGATAGCTGATAAATAAGGAGACAAAATTGTTGCCCGTGGGAACTTAAAAATCATGGAAGAATGATCTTGTGATTAGAGTACAGGGCTGCAAGACAGGAGATCTAAGTCCAATTCGCAACTCTGTCACAGACCCATTTTGTGTCCTTGAGCAAGTCATGTCATTTCTGCCTCGGACTATGTCTATACTGATGCTGGGAGGTGTGATTCCTAGTCTGGGTAGACAGACTCGTCTTAGCTCTGCTTGAACTAGCATGGTAAAAATAGCAGTGTGGACGTTGTGGCAAGGGCAACTGCTCGGGCTAGCCACCTGAGCTCAGACCCAGGTGGTCAGGCAGGCTTGGCCCTCGGGTGGCTAGCCTGAACCACCACCCATCCACACTGCTCATCAGAACACTTTCCTCCAGAGCTTGGAATGAAACCCACGATTCCTTGGTTTCACCATTCCTTTGCTGTCCGTAAAGTGAACCCCACTGGCAAACTGTCTCATCTCCCTCAAGTGCTTGACCATGTAGAGGATGACAACCTACTATTGCTATCAGTTACTCTGTTAGCTCAGGTGGCAGAGTTCTGTGTGGTGGAGCTAAAGGTTCCAACTCTGCTGATAAACCACTTGGCTGTCAATGATGGAATTTCTGTGAGTTTCTTTTTTTCAATTTGTTTTTCAAAAACTAAGAAAAATCCAGCGTCAGTGTGTTGTGTGTGTAAATGCCAGAGTTAAGGTTGCCTGTGAAACCTTAATTCAGCCCCCTTGTGTGCTTGCATTATGACCATAGTCATCCCGTCCCGCCCGCCCTCCCCCGACTCCTCCCTCATTTAGTGCACAGGCTGGACATGCCCTGGCAATGAATCAGGATTATGTAGGGAAGGAGGCTATTGTCTGTAGGATCTCTGCCTCAAATATTGCAGAAGTTAGAAGGTGTGTAGGGAATGAGGTAGGGGATTGCAGGAAGAGAAAGGCGGTCTCATGGGTAAGGTGCCCTGGAATGTGCCTCTGCCACACAGTTTCTATATGATGCTGGGCAAGTCACTTAAACAACTTTTCAGAGGCGGTCACGAATGGTGTGTTTCTTGATACCCTACTTGAGACCTTGTGGTCCAGTTTTCCGATGTACTGAGCACTCACAGCTACAACTGAAGTCATTGGGAGCTGTGCTTAGAACATATATGATGCTGTGTAATGCTAAATAGTTTCAAAAAGCCAGTCCTAAACATCTCAATTTGAGCACCCAAATTAGTGGATACTTTTGACCTTTACTCTCTCTGTGCGTCAGTTGCACTTCTTAAAAGAGAACTCCCTCATCTCTCAGGGGTGTTGTGAAAACAAATTCATTCATGTTTGTGTGGGTTTGAGTAGTGTGTAGTAAATACGGCCTATGGCCACTGAATTACAAAGATAACAAAAAATATTGAATAGCTTCTCACACAGTGAGCAGTGCCCATTCTAAGCACTGAGTGAGGCATGGGTTTTGTGGGTGGAAAAAATAGAATGTGATCCTGTAATTAAAGACAGGATGTAAAGACACAATGTATATGCACAAAGGGAGTGAATTCAGGTTAAAGAGGCAGTCTTCAATCTGGCATTTCCTAACTTTTGAGAGCTTGACTTTGCAACCTTAATGTTCTTTTAACATAGTTTGTGTGTGTGTAACATTGCGTAGTCTAGTGATTCTCAATCTTTTCCATACTCAGACCTCCACCCTAGGACTTCCCTTCCATCTAGGCAGGACCTCCCTTTGGTTTAGCAATAAGGAAAGTGAAACTGATTAGCCTGACTTAATTGTATAAGCTTAAATACTTTTCACAATTTATGGGTTTGGTTTTTTTTTTAAGGAAGACTTTACAGCTTTCAGACATGCAGCATACGCTAGTAATTTGGACAAGGAAATCTGTTTAAATGACCTTTCCTGCCAATGCCCCTTAAACAATAATCAATCTGTATACTGCATACAATTGTAATGACTAAGACACTGATATAATCAATGTAATTTTGTTTTAAAGGCGGCTGTGGAGCAATGTATGAAATTCATATAGAATCTGAAGAATTTAAAGAAAAGAGAATTGTCCAGCAACATCAGATGGTTAATCAGGTAAGTTGTGTGGTGGGATCTGGAAGGGCAATGATACTCCTTTGTAATAACCATTGGTGTATTAATTCCACCTTTTGGAGTGTGGGAACTTTCCTACAAAAACTAAATATGTGCTGATGAAGTGGGGGGATTATTTCGGGGTATGTCCAGGACAGTTTGCCATTACCTGGCCAAAACCACTGCCAAAGGTGTTCTCTTAGTTATAGCTAACAGTTTCAGGACTTGGTACAACAGGGTGTGGAGACCCCACAACCCAATTAATTTCAATGTGTGTAGAGCAGATTTAGGAGCTTAAGGATTAGGTTTTGAATGTTGACCTTCCCACACCATCAATAACAGATTTCTCAGGGTTATTCTGTGTGGGGAGAAACCACCTGATCAGACATAGAAAAGCTATAGGAGACAAAGACCTGTTGGATCATCTAACCCAACCCCTTACTACTGTAGGATTCTTCCCTATGGGATTGTCTCCAGTCTAGTTCAAAAATGACCCAAGTGATGTGGCTTTCAGAACTTCCCTTGGGATGGGAGGTGCATTACACACAATCCCATATCAGAAAAAGTGTCCTGACAGTTTCCCTTTCTTAAATTGCTCCGTGTTTTATCTCCTTGCACCTCCCAAATGGTTCTGCTTTGTAAGGGGTCTTATACACTACTATAGTCTCCTTGCATGATTATCATAGAATAGACTATCAGGGTTGGAAGGGACCTCAGGAGGTCATCTAGTCCAACCCCCTGCTCAAAGCAGGGCCAATCCCCAACTAAATTATCCCAGCCAGGGCTTTGTCAAGCTTGACCTTAAAAACCTCAAAGGAAGGAGATTCCAGCACCTCCCTAGGTAACCCATTCCAGTGCTTCACCACCGTCCTAGTGAAAAAGTTTTTCCTAATATCCAACCTAAACCTCCCCCACTGCAACTTGAGACCATTACTCCTCGTTCTGTCATCTGCTACCACTGAGAACAGTCTTGCTCCATCCTCTTTAGAACCCATCGAGGAGAAGGCAGCTGGAAATAAGTTCCAACAAACCTGCTGGCACCCTAGCAAAACTAATAGATGGCTAGTGGTAAAGTTGGGGCTAAGGAGGATGTGGACCTTACAAATACCACCCCCACAACCCTCCTGATTTGTCCCATTACAAAACTTAGATGTCTCAAAATCTAAATGTTCATTAATAACTATAGTGCCCAATTGTGTGATAAGGACTCTATGCATAGGACTGTTCCTTGTCCTGAAAAGCTTACAACTGAATGTAAGGTGCTCAATACATTGAATTCAAAAAGCTTAAATTGTAGACTTGTGTGGTATATGCAGAAAGATTTTAATTGATATAACCTTAAACTTGGATTGCATGTGTTCCACACTCATTGGCCTAGGTTGATTGGAAAGAACATTCCTAGCACCATATCCTTTCCTTTGAGGGTTGCCTTGGGTTTTCTTACAAAGGTGTTTAGACCAGTGGTTCTTAGACCTTGCACCTCCACTTACCCCTGTCTGTGCCCCTACCCTGCTAGACTGGGGACGCGGACAGGAGTAAGGGAGCCGAGGCTGGGGCTGAGGCCGGCGGCCTGGGCTTGGGCCCCAGCTGCGTCCCCCGGAACATTCCTCTGTGCCCCCTAGGGAACCTCTGATTTAGACTGACCTAATAACACTTTAAAGAGGCATAGGAACTTGAAGTCTATAAGCGTAGTTTTGCGCTATCCAGAATTCTGTTGAAATGAAAGCAGTTACTTTGAGGAAAAGAAAGAGGTAATTATTCTTTATAAAATTCCTACCTGATGCATGTACTTCCTACAACTCTCATTTCTTTAACTTGAAGCAACTTCTTCAAAGTAATTCAGTTTCTGAAATCTGATTTAGTGCCATTTCTTGTGAACTCTTGTCTGGCATCAGAGCTAGGACCACTAGACAGACCACCAAAACACTACAGACCTGGTTTTAGCTGAAGTGATAACCTGGCAGTGAAAGGCTCTTTTGTCATCATCAATCCCCCTTTTCTGGAATAGGGAGCAATGCAGAATAGCTGGAGGCTCCACATCTAATTGGCTAATTTATGGAGACCAAGCAAACTGGGTTAACTACTGCATGAGTTTTTGAGACATTCTTTAAGAGGAATTGCAATGAATTCACAATGTACTAGATCATTCTAGCAGCCTGAGAGTTTTTCCCTCTGTCCCCTTTAAGGAATAAAAACAAGATGGCTACATCAAGGAAGTATTCACCTTAATCATGCTGTTAATTTGTCTCATTCAGTTTCAAGTGAGGAAGTCTCTCCCCTCCCCACCAGGGTCCAAAATCAGTGCTTGCATAAGGAACAACTGCTGTTCTACCATTATCTTTATAATGGTATCGTGGGCCATCTGCCTCTACCACAGACTTCTGTTCGGTTGTGCTCAGTTGAGTTGCTTTTGTGTAGCTTTGTTCAAAGACTTGTTTAATTTCTTATTTTAGGCACTAAGTGAAGAAATTAAAGCAATGCATGGACTACGGATATTCACATCTATTCCAAAGCACTGAAGATTAACCAGGCAGCATGGTTAGAAACATGGGAGGAGATAGGACAGGAAGCTTGTATTTTTTGGATTATGGACTTGTTTATCTTTAAATAATCAATATTTAATGGTCGTAAAATAAGGACAGTATTTCAGAAGCTATTTAAAGAGAGCCTATTTCATGTTTATTTAATTTTAACTTGTAGATTGATTTCTTATCCGTTCATAAAGTATGCCAAATCTTAGTTGGTTACTTTATCAAAAAACTAATCCCTGTAAGTCAAGGATGGAACTGGAATTCCATGGTTTGTGGCGCATGCTGCAGAGAGAAGTACGGGCTTCCAAAGTATCTTTCAGTACTAACATCTAGTGGAAAAGGACCACAACCGTGGTGATTCTACGAAGAGATCACGAACTAAAAAAAACAAAATAATAATCCCTGTTTTTGCTGTCTACTTGACTAATGTTCTGTTGTAGCTCAGAGGAAAATGTGGTAGTGAGGAAACTAGCTTACAAAGAAATTATTTCAGAGGCTGTAGAGTCCCCTATTCAATGTGCCTTCTCAGTCAATCATCTTACTTCAAACATGGCTTTGTAAGAGAAGCTTGCAGGATAATCCTGAGCTGTCTGGCACAGCTACTGTATATGAAATTAAGACTGTTTCTTAATAAATGAAAGGCTTTAAGTTACATTACTTCAGTGTAATGTCTTTGAAAGGATAAGGTGCTCAGGTTTCCTACTGGGCAAAACTCAAAGCATGATGCTCGGCGTCTGAATTATGAGGATCACCTTTCCTTCATGGCATGTGTGAAAGTGCTTGTTTTACTCAAACTCCTATGAAGTGTCAATGTTTGTCTTTGATAAGGATCTGCTATTCAACTTTTAGTTGGGCATGTCTATGCCTTAAGTTCAAGCTTTCTCATGGCAGATTTAATTGTACCTCAGCCAGTTAATTGTTAGCTATTAAAATGAGAAATTAAGTTTTATTAAGGTTTTATTGCATTATAAATAATTATACATTCATATTTTTGAGGAGCAATGACTTTTCTGGTAAGTATATTAGTCAGTGACAGATGCTTGGTAAGCATGGAGGAATAGTAACTGTAGTTAGGTAAGCCAAATCCTTGCACCTTGATGCTGTTTTTTTTAAATTAACAATCCATATGGTAAGTAGAACACTGACTAGAGGAGCACTAAATTACCCCTGCGTGGCAGGATTTTAGAAGGTTGGAGTCTAGCTTCTTCCTCTGCTAGGGCCACCTGTTATCAGGCAGGGAAGTAGAGGTGCAAAGTATTGCACCTACTGAAGGATTTTCCTTACTATTTATTTTGCAACTGCTGCAAGGCATGCTGCTGGTTTAGTGGACATTAGTTACTGTTATTTAAATAGCAAGAGATCTCAGTTACGTCCTACCTACCAAGACTGAGGTATTGCACTAAAACCTCTCTACTTAACTGATAGCATGTTTGCAGGTGAGTGCTTCTTGATTCATGAAACAAACAGGACTAAATACATAATGTGTCTTGGGAATGTAAATTCTGAAATGCATAAGATGTCTGTTGTTTTAAGTAGCTATTTTAATCAACATACACACTTCAAATATTTCTGTACTGCTTTAGTTTGGGAGTGGTATAGCCATGCTGGCCCAATAATATCTTATCTTTTTACTGGACCAACTTGTTTCTAATGAAATTTTAGGGCCTACCTGGATGATAACTGCAGTGCAGGGTGCCGTCTCGTAAAGCTTCATGGAAGTAGTTGTTGAGGAGAGCTGTAGCTAGTAGCAAGTAACTGGAAATATCTCATTAGTTACTGCCCTAAAGTTATTGATGCAAAGAACTTGTTTATAGAGGCTGTGAGGCTTTTTTTTTCCTATGTAACTTTCATCAGAACTCTGGTGCCCATGTGTCTATTATTGCAGTCATTACATTTTGTTTGAAGAGCCTGAGGTAGGCCTGACTCAGCCACCTCATGCAACAATTTTGAAAAATATCCCATCAAAACCGCTTCTGTTCAACAATAGCAGAGGCTAAGAGCCTTTACAGTGATACAGTTCAGCTCTTCTGCAGCAGCTTCAGTTTATACAATGGAAAACTTTTTTCCAGTGTAGTAAATATCAACTGAAGTACTTTGCACACCTATAGCACATTTCTTGGGAGGATAGACACTGCTTCAAAGGTATTACCAACCCCTCTATGATCACTTGATATATTTGGGAAACAGAGAAAAGATTAAGTTGCCCAATCTCATGCAGGAAGCATAGGGCAAAGCCAGGACTAGAACTCTGCTAAATCTTCTGCCTGTCCTTAAAATATGTTACTAGGAGCCAGAAGCAGACTGATACACCGGCTGTAGATAAACAGTCCAAACAATTTAAGTTAAAGTAGAGCACATTGCCTGTAGATAGGGTCCTGGTTTTCCCACTCAGTGTTGTTAACTTCAATTGTAAGTTTCTACAGCTGCATTTCTATAGAATTTCCATGACTATTTCCTTAAGATCTGTAACAGGCCTTTTTGAAAATTTTACCCTTTCCCTGAAAGTGACTTTTCTTTTTTTGGATAAAGCAGGATCTGCTGTTTAAGGTGTTTCTGAAAAGGTGCTTCACGTCTTCATACTGCTAGAAAGGAGATGCAACATAAGATACTAGTATGAAGTGTCCCATCAGCTTTCCAAAATGAACAGATACTGAATTCCCCCTACACTTCCCTTCCCTGAACATTTAACTGTGGAGGTGACAGCTGCAAACAGAGAACATCATTGTTACAGTATAAAGAAAAAGAGTAAGAAGCAATGAACAAACACTATACAAAGCTATCGCTACACTGCAGAGACTGACCATCATTTGTGCTTGTTGTAACTGGTATAAGTCTGTAGGTTAAAATCCCTAATAGCCTCAGTGTTTTCACCTGTTTAAACCAGAAAAGCATTTGAATACCACATGCTTTATTATTTGATTGAATGGAAGTTACAAAAGTAGATACAAAATATTTTGTAAAAAGTACAATAAATTTACCTAAAAGTAACCAAAAAAGCCCGAAGTAAAAACTTTTATTATAACTATTAATGTAAAAATACTATTAAAATTTTCATATTAAATTCACTAATGTTAAACAGTTTTTTTGCCATGGAGTAACGGTTTAGTCAAGTTGAAGGAAACATGCAGGAAACCACACAAGGCAGAGCAGCAGTATTGATTTGTAGTTAAAGTTTGTCCCTAACACTGAAAGTAGCAAGAGGTCTAAATACTGTAATCAGTTTTGATTCACAGCACCACTCCCCTGCAATGCAAGTTAAGATGTATCAACATTGTCCAAACAAACTTTTCTGCCTACTTGAACCAGCTGCATGAAAGAACCTTGCAACCCTAGTCCATCCTGAGGAAGTGTGTGTATTGATATAAATATACAAAGAACTTCAAAAAGTCATAATCTAGTACAGGATTTCTCAAACACTGTCAATTTTTCCTTTAACAGACAGAACAGCCTACCCCTCTAAATGATTAATTTCCCTCCTGAATTCTTAAATTAACAGTGCAATTCAGAAAACTATCTAGAATCTGACCAGAGAAACCCAATAGTTTTGTCAGGAGTTAGCTGAAGCAGATCACTGGACACTTGCTGAGTTTCAAGTGAGATCTATCCACTAATCTGCCCCTCATTGCTGGAGTGACCAGTGCCTGCCTTGGAAGAGGGCAGAGATTGAGGAACAAAATACAGCTTAAAGCTAACTAGAAAAAGTTCTTTTGCCTTAAAACAAATGAAGCCTTACCTACCTTTCTCAATGATCACAGCAATGTTTCTTTATAATGGAAGAAAGGTTGAGTAATCTCCTATACTGAAATCTATTCATTGCAAGGAAGCTCAGAACAGATACATAAGCACTTAAGGTAAAACTAAATTATCAAAAAAGTTGCATTTGTGCAAGGCCAAGGAGAAAGCTTGCTCATTACAGATGCCAAGCAAAAACCACCAGTTTTATTCACAGTCCTATTATGAGGTTTTAAATATGAGCAACTTACATAAAAACATTGCAGGCTAACCCTAGAACAGTGTGGTTTTAAACTAAGTTTAATTTGTACAATTTTTGACAAACGCTGTAAACTTAAGTAGCTGCTATCTGTCCATTTTGGGTTGGTGAAGCAGAATGATTTCAAAAAAAGCTTTTAGCCAGTCTTCCCTTACAACCTGTAAAGGCCAGATTCTGCAGCATGCTGCATGCTGTCCATTCTCCTTAACTTCAATCAGAGCTTGCTGGACCCTAGGTAAACCAAGCATGAATGTTTTTTGAATTTGACTGATTCGAAAAACAACAACAAAAGGGACCGGCTAATTAAAAAGTGAATTCCTTCAAAGCCACGTGCCATTTCAACCACTGAAGTCCAATCAGTAGGCTATAAAAACATTCCTGCATTTGGACAAAGCATCTGTCTTGCTATTTCAGACCCCAGAATGACTTGTGCAGCACTGGTAGTTAGGAAAAAGGCTTTTCAACTTTATAAACTGAGTCAGTTTGAAATCACAGCCAAAGTGTATAGGAGACCATACAATTTTACTTTTGTCCCCTACCCCATGTCCACACTTCAAAGTTAACTATTGTACTTTTCAGAAGTTAATTATGAGCGAGCACTCGTTTGTTCAGAACATTTTGTTCTTAGTCAGCAGTGCTTGGTCAATGCATGTGCAGTGTGAGAGCAGATAAATAACGGCTAAGCAAGAATACAAAGTGTGAAAAATACTGATAGAACATAGCTTTGGCAATGTTGTACTTTATGGTGTTGGCCTGCTCACTCAGGGACTCTAAGATAGGATGACAAACGAATCAGCTGAAATGTGGCAAAAACGGCTTCATCTTGGGAACAGGCTATATATGTATTTTACAGAGATAATTCAGTGGGTCGCTGGAGTTACGAAGTTTGGATTTTAGACATTTAAGATTGAAAATAAAGTCATCTTGTAAAAAAGCTACATACTTTTGAAATCTCCCAGTACAGACTAGTTGGTTTGACATCTAGGGCAAACAGTGGTATGGGTAAGCAAAAGCCGTACGGAAAGGAATCATTTAACACACACTTCTGTGTGGTTCCACTAGGGGCAGAGGGGCCAACAAAGGCAGAAGTGGCACAGGATCCATATGGATGCAGGATTTCAACCCCACAGATCCCTAGGCAGTCACGTGGGACTCTCCTGGACCAGTAGGCAGAGTGCCATGACTGCTTGCCCATTCAGGAGCTTCACAATCCCTGAGAGTGGGGAGAATTACACAGCGTGCAGTGAGTGGATTTACTGGTGCTTTAAGCATCATTAATTTTACACATCACTGAACTGCAGTTCACAGGTAACAGGCCTGCAAAGAGAAAAGGGGCTGTGCAGAAGAGCAAAGGTGGTGAGGTGTGGCAGGGGGAAATGGACCATCCCCCATGGTGCTGACTTTTCCCTTTGCACAGCTCCAGCCCAGCTTTTGCTGGTGTTTCTCCCATGCACCATGTAGTCAGTTGGGCAGAAGAAGCATAGGGGACTAGATTATTAAAAAGAAAAATGCTGGATGCCCCCTACACCAGCAAGGGAAATTAAAAGCCAAAGCTACCTAAAAAGAAATATCAAGGTTTCAACACAAAATTCCACCTATTATGGGTGGAACATGTCACCTGTCCCAGCTAGGACCCCTTTGTCTCTGAATTGCAAAGTCTGCACTACAAGTTAACTTGGTTTCTAAGAGACTAGTATTTAATCATGTAAATCAATACTGTGTATTAAAACAAAATGACCTCCAAGCTCTAGAAACCTGTCAGCCACAAGTTTCTCTCCTGGAATGACACATGCCACAAGTAACATCAGAACAAACAGGATGAAAAGAACTCAGGATCAGGCCTTCAGAATGGAATGTTTTCTTGGTTTTTTTTAAACAAAACACCGTTAATGATACTCATGATGTCTCACAGTCCAGCAAAGAAACTAGGTCTCAGCTCAGATTTTTCACAATCAGATGGTGCTGGCGATAAGTGTCTTAATTTGTCAAAATACAGTAATAACTCCATTAGTTAATGGTGACACTTATTTAAAAAAAGAACCCTCTGCAGTTCACATTGGGGTACATGCAGACTGTTTCTCTTCTAATGAAGCTTCCACACTTATGCTTTTGTGCCAGTCTTAAGTTTTTCATCTGTTTTTTTTAAGATGGGTTCTATTTTGCTTTATCTTAGTCACTTTTTGGATCATAACTTCATGTCCATGCAACTCATGGCTAGTCTACTATTTTACTTAAGGCTCTAAGGCAAATTCAAAGTGCATCTAGATACAAACTTAAAACAAACTACTCAAAAAAAAAAATTAAAATAAAAGCATTCGTAAGGAATACACTGGTAGTTTTTCCTCCTATTTTTGATCCAGCATTTAAAAAAAAGGTTTTGAAAGTCACTCAATGAGTTTCAGTGAATTAAGTTACCTTTTTCCTTTTTTTAAAAACCACAAAGACACACATGAATTTGAAATGGCGTACACTGAAACAAAAATCCACAGGTGTATCCAACTGTTACTTAGATTTTTTTTAAAAGGGAAGCACAGGGCGCACACACACACACGTGTGTGTGTGTGTGTATATGTGCAATTCAAAGTCATAACCAGCTGAATACCAGATTGTTTTTTAAATTGCTTTGGTTGCTGAAGCTACATATACCAACCTATACCTAGTAACAGCCTAGTTCTAAGAGAAAAATGCGGTGTGTTTTAAGTGTAAATTGCATCCATCATAAAATTTGCAAAAATAGTTCTATTTCCTACATAGAAAACAGTGGAATATCAAAGTTCATAACGTAATGCACTTATCAGAAGTATTAAACAATTTTGATACTAGCAAACAGAGCTTTAAAATGGAACTTTGTTGAGCAACTAAACGCTGGATGGAATAAAACCCAAACCAAAATATTTGCATTTGCAGTTTTGCAAACAATTTCTAGCCAAATATAGTATCTACAGAATTCTTACCATCTGTTGTTTCATGTCAGATAAATTACAATAGCCACATTTTTGGACGTGTTTGAAAAATTAAGTGTTATGTGGCCAAATTTTTCCACAACTCTCCTGTAAGTGTTACGCATCCAAACTCCTGAAGGTACACTTGAACATTAGGCAAACATCTCCCCCATCCATGTGCACAAAACCTCGTATGCCCAAAACTGCAAGCTGAGTTGAGGTCTCAAAGTACTTATCCATCCAGTTTCTAGAGCAGAAAGTTAATTCTGGAACTGCTAATGCAAACTATAATGCTGTAGTTCTGCATAGAAAATTATGCAAAATTTCACTAATTTCTATAGATTGACATTGCAGGGATTAATGCATTCATGAACCCCACCTTTCCAAGTAAAAGATCTGATAAAGTAGCTTTTAGAATTCATAGCTACTTTGCTCTGAAGACACTTTTTCTGAATTGCAGACCTTGGATTTTACATGAAATTTGACCTCTTTGCAATGAAGCCCTCACACCAGCTACTACGATGGAAGAAGGGCAGTAACTGTGCTAGACTGGAAAGCATCTGTTTTAGACTCGCTAGCTGTGGTACCTGGTTTCTCAGGGACTGTGCCGCTAAAGACAAAGTGGTAAAGAAATAGCTGCAGCTGGTATACGAAGCAAGAAAGAGTAACCATGTTTGAAAGCAGAAAGAATTCTTCCAGGGAAAATTTATCTGTCTTTGGATCCTAGCTTTTCAATTAGTTCCTGAAGAGGAGCCAACTCACGCCTGTCAATCAAGTTGAACTCCTGCAGGGGGAGAGAGAAACACAAAACAGGATCAATTTAAATAAAAATTGCAGTAGACAGAATAAGTGACATGCAACATCCATTTAATTCAAAACTAAGGCAAAATAAAGAATTCCAGCAATTTACAACAAATAGCTTGATACAAGTGACTTTAAAATAATACTTCGTTTATTTGATAAATGCTAATTAATCCTCTCAAAGCCCAGTCTGGTTGATATTCTCTAGAGCTAGACTAAGTTCTCCCCCAACAAAACTGAAGTTCTGTGAAAGCAACTACATTGACTAAATTTTTTAGAGAAAATTGTTAAAGACAAATTTTGATTTGAAATTAAACAAAAAGTTGGTTTTGTTTTGATATTTTTCATTCAAAACTGCAGTCAGCTAGCCGTCTAATATTGGCAGCAGAAGTTTGTGTTAAGTGTCCATTGGAAATATTATCTGATTTCGAGGCCAGAAGAGCCATGGTGATCAGCTAGTCTGACCTCCTTTAGAACACAGGCCATTCAACCTCCCCAAAATAATTTCTAATGCTTATCTTTCAGAAAAAGATCCAAGCTTGATTTAAAAATGGTCAGTGATGGAGAATTCACCACAACCCTTGGTAAATTGTCCCAATGGTTAATTATTCTCATCGTTGAAAATGTATGTTTTATTTCCAGTTTGAATCTGTCTAGCTTCAACTTTCTGCCATTGAATCATGTTATACCTTTCTCGGCTAGATGGAAGAGCCCATTATTAAATATTTGTTCCCAGTATAAGTACTTATCAACTATAATCAAGTCACCTCTTAATCTTCTCTTTGTTAAACGAAATAGATTGAAGCTCCTGGAGTCTATCACTATAAGGCATGTTTTCTAATCTTTTAATCAATCATTCTCACAGCTCTTTTTTGAACTCTCCAATTTATCAACATCCTTCTTTAATTGTGATACTGAACATAAGAACATACAAATGGCCATACTGGGTCAGACCAAAGGTCCATCCAGCCCAGTATCCTGTCTACTGACAGTGGCCAATGCCAGGTGCCCCAGAGGGAGTGAATTTAACAGGTAATCTAGTGATCTCTCTCCTGCCATCCATCTCCACCCTCTGATAAACAGAGGCTAGGGACACCATTCCTTACCCATCCTGGCTAATAGCCATTAATGGACTTAACCTCCATGAATTTATCCAGTTCTCTTTTAAACCCTGTGTGACAGGGTCAGGCCAGATGGCTACAGGAGAGTGATAGAAGGCAGATATATTAGCCCCAGGTTAAGTAGGTCCCTTTCCCCTGAGTAAGGTAACAGGGAAGGTTTCAGGACAATCAGGAACTTTCTGGAAACAATTAAGGCAGACAGGCTGATTAGAACACCTGCAGCCAATCAAGAAGCTGCCAGAATTAATTAAGACAGGCTGGCTAATCAGGGTACCTGGGTTTTAAAAGGAGCTCACTTTAGTTTGTGGTGTGAGGAGCAAGAAGCTGAGAGTGAGAAGGTGTACTACTGGAAGACTGAGAAGTACAAGCATTACCAGACATCAGGAGGAAGGTCCTGTGGTGAGAATAAAGAAGGTGTTGGGAGGAGGCCATGGGGAAGTAGCCCATGGGGAAGTAGCCCAGGGAATTGTAGCTGTCACGCAGCTGTTACAGGAGCCACTGTAGACCGCTGCAATCCACAGGGCCCTGGGCTGGAACTTGGAGTAGAGGATGGGCCTGGGTTCCCCCCAAATCCCTACTTGATACCAGAGGAGTTGACCTGGACTGTGGGTTCCACCAGAGGGAAGGTCTCTGGCCTGTTCCCCTGATCCACTAGGTGGATCAGCAGAGACTGTGGGGATTGTTCTTCTTCCTTTTCATGCTGGCCAGTGATGAGGCTAACTGAGTGAATGGCAGATTTGAGCCATGAAAGTGGCCAAAATGAGGGCTGCTGTGAACCTCTGAGGAGAGCAAATCTGCCAATAAGCGCAGAACCCACCAAGGTAGAGGAGGAACTTTGTCACACCTGTTATAGTCCTAGCCTTCACAACCTCCTCAGGCAAGAAGTTCCACAGGTTGACTGTGCGCTGAGTAGAGAAGAACTTCCTTTTATTTGTATTAAACCTGCTGCCCATTAATTTCACTTGGTGGCCCCTAGTTCTTCTATTATGGGAACAAGTAAATAACTTTTCCTTATTCACTTTCTCCACACCACTCATGATTTTATAGACCTGTATCATACCCCCCTTAGTCTCCTCTTTTCCAAGCTGAAAAGTCCTTGCCTCTTTAATCTCTTCTCATACGGGACTCATTCCAAATCCCTAACCATTTTAGTTGCCCTTTTCTAATGCCAGAATATCTTTGAGATGAGGGGACCACATCTGTATGCAATATTCAAGATGCGGGCGTACCATGGATTTATATAAGGGCAATAAGATATTCTCCGTCTTATGCTCTATCCCTTTTTTAATGATTCCTAACATCCCGTTTGCTTTTTTGACTGCCGCTGCACACTGCGTGGACGTCTTCAGTGAACTATCCACGATGACTCCAAGATTTTTCTCCTGATTAGTTGTAGCTAAATTAGCCCCCATCATATTGTATGGGGTTATTTTTTCCAATGTGCATTACTGTACATTTATCCACATTAAATGTCATTTGCAATTTTGTTGCCCAATCACTTAGTTTTGTGAGATCTTTTTGAAGTTCTTCACAGTCTGCCTTGGTCTTAACTATCCTGAGCAGTTTAGTATCATCTGCAAACTTTGCCACCTCGCTGTTTACCCCTTTCTCCAGATCATTTATGAATAAGTTGAATAGGATTGGTCCTAGGACTGACCCTTGGGGACACGGATTTCCAGCAGCATTATACCAGTGCCAAATAGGAAGGTAAAAATCCGTATTTCTACTCGAGATTCCCCTGTTTATGCATCCAGGGATTGCATTAGCCCTTTGGGCTACAGCTTTGCTCTGGGAGCATGTGTTCAGCTGATTATCCACCACAACCCCCGCAATCTATTTCAGTCAGTTTCCCAGAATAGAGTCCCCTATCCTCTAAGACAGACAAGATGTATACATTTACATGTAGCCATAGTAAAATGCATATGGTTTGCTTGCGCCCAAGCTTACCAACCGATCCAGATCACTCTGTATTGGTGACCCATCCCTCTTCATCATTTACCGCTCTCCCAATTTTTATGTCATATGCAACCTTTGTCAGTGATGATTTTGTTTTCTTCCAGATCATTTATAAAAATGTTAAATAGTGTAGGGCCAAGAACAGATCCCTGCAGCACCCCACTAGAAACACACCTGTTCAATGAGGATTCCCCATTTACAATTATGTTTGAAGACCTATCAGTTAGGTAGCTTTTAATCCACTTAATGTGTGCCATGTTAATTTTATATCTTTAGGTACCAAGTCAAATGCCTTACAGAAGTCCAAGTATACTGTGTCAACACTATTGTCTGTATAAACCAAACCTGTCATTTCATAAACAAAGTTAGTCTGACAGTATCTAATTTCCATAAACCCCTGTTTGGTATTAGCAAAAAGAAAAGGAGTACTTGTGGCACCTTAGAGACTACCTTCATTTAATTCTTTATTAATCGAGTCCTTTATCAGATGCTCCATTATCTTGCCTGGGATTAATGTTAGACTGGCAGGCCTCTAATTACCCAGATGATCCGTTTACCCTCGTTAAATATTGGCCCCTTAGCTTTCTTCCAGTCTTCTGGAACTTCCCTAGCGATCCCAGACTTATTGGAAAAAAAACCATCAACATTTATGGAAACATTTGTATTAGTCTTGTAGATTCTGTAAATCTGTTTTATATAAAACCTTCGTTCTGGGTCAGATTTAACTTGATAGTGTCCCTTTAAATTTGTCTGTAGAATGAGTCACTTTAGGACTAATAGCTAGTAATTTAAAATTTACCTGTACAAAGAAGATAAAGTGCTTAAAGGAGGTGTTGAGATGGGCCTCCTCCTGGAGCTGCATCACAGAGTCAAAGTGCTGGTGGTAAATATGGGCATAGACCCTAAAGAGACGCTTCAATATAGTCTTTGCCACAGACATGAAGTTCTTAGGAAAAGGGACACCTGAAATGTGCAAACAAATGCAGAACATTTTTTAATCCAGTTTAATATATGAAAGCAGAAAGCCCAGCTGCTGAATGAAAATTTTCTGCCAAAGGGCACTAGACTTAATCAGAAACAATGAAACCCCAAGCTTCAGTAAGGGCATAAAACTTATTCTATTCAGTTGTAAAAATCTAGTCAATACACTTTTAATAAATTATATAAGAAACTGAGATATGGAGCAAATAATCACTTATGCAAAGCATCACTCACATCCCCTTTCCACAAACTACCGAGCATCCACAGTTCTCTTTGAGGTCGACAAGAACTAAGGGGACTTAGCACCTTTTTAAAAAAACAGACCCTTTGTGCATATAGGCCCTGATTCAGCAAGGCACTTATGCACATGTCTAACTTTAAACATGCAAACAGTCTCCCTGAAGTCAATCATAAACGAAAGTGCTTGGCTGAATAGGGATGGGATACCCACTGGCCATAGGGGCCAAGTCTAATTATCTAACATCTGTATTCTAATTCTTGTTCTGATATGGACTTCCTGTGTGACCACACAGGGCAAGTCATTTAAATTATCACCCTAATCTGTAAAAAGAGAGTTAACTCCCTTTTGGAGAGCTTCTTAGGCCCCAATCCCACACACGTTTACATACAAGCTTATCTCTACTACTATGGGCAGTCCCATTGACATTAATGGGACTATTTTTGGAAGTGAAGTAAAGCATGTGTGTAAGTGTCTGCAGGATTGGGGCCTTAGCTATACTCCATAAGGATTTTAACTCAATGGGACTAGTACTCTTTAGTCACTTAGGTACTTTCAAAGATCTCACCCTTAGAAGCCTAATTATGGACTTTAAAAATTTTGGCCAGTATCCTAAAAGTGTTCATCCTAACTGTGTTAACAAATCGAAAGTCTAAATAACTCTTAAACTGAAGCAATTTTGTTTTCAAGTCACAAAGATTTTATACCATCCATAGGAATTTTCATTAAAAATACTAATTTATTCTCTAATGCTGCAGACACTTATGCACCATTTTAACACTAACCATGCATAATCCCACTGAAGTCCTTGCAGCTATTCATATTACTATAGGAACACGTTTGCAGGATTTTTTTGACTAACAGTTTTATAAAATTCAGACAAGATCCCCTACCAGTAATTACATATAAAAACAAATTACAATATAGTTCATTATACATTTTAACCTACATTTGCAAAAGAACACATTTTCAAATTACATTTACAAAGCTTCAAGCTCATTTAAATTGATTACAAAAAACAACTAAGTGACTTAAATGGATTAGTTAAGTCACTCTATACTTACCTTCAACAAACAAGTATTAGTAGACAGCAAAATAGGAGATCATAACATATGGAAATGTCTACTGCTTTTTCTACCCCAAAAATCTGCATATTGAATTAAATTCAGTATGAGATTTGATTTATAAGGAAAAGTTAAGCATTTTAAACAGTGGTGGTCCATAGCTTGTTCCTCCCCTCTCCCATCCAGAGCAGGAAACACTTTCAACTTTCTCTCTTTATTTGGGTTACAAGTGAATTATGTAACTGGAACCATGATACTTGTGTACTTCGGCTAAGTTTTCATTGCAAAAAAGGTGCATTTTTATGCTGTTAGGTTTCTTGATGCAAAATCCTACTGGAGACAATTTGCAAGTAGTTTGTACCCAGTTGGGGTAAACCACAGGGCATGTACTGTATAATCTATGAAGCAGTATTAATTTTCAGTGAGGTTCGGGCAGCTAATTGATCCTTAAGTGTTTGAAACATTAGATTTTTAAATGATACCTTTTAACTACTCTACACAACATCATGTCTACCAATAAGAGAATTTTTAGGATGCACTGCAAAGAACATTAAGAACTTTTTCTTATTTTAAACAAATTTCAAAATAAAGTCCACGGCTGGCAAACACCTGGCAACAAATTTCATTTGAAGAGTTCTGAGTTTGTTCTTACTGGAGTTCACTTTCTTGGCCATATTATACCCCCTAATCCTCACCATGGGAGATTTTTATCACTTAGAAACTTTGAGATTAGATTTTTCTGCTTATTTGGAGATGTGAACCTGACATACAGTAGCTTCAGTAAAGACACAGATTTGAGGTGAGACTTTACGAGGGATGGTGTTAAATTCTAGTTCTAGTGCAGTGGTGGGCAACCTGCGGCCCGTCAGGGTAATCCGCTGGCAGGCCATGAGACAGTTTGCTTACATTGACCGTCCACAGGCACCGTCACCCGCAGCTCCCAGTGGCCAAAGTTCGCCGTTCCCAGCAGATTATCCTGACAGGTCGTGTGTGGTCTGCGGGCTACACGTTTCCCACCATTGTTCTAGTGATTATAGGATCAGAATCTACCCCACTATCATAGCTGCAAGTTTGTCATCATGGGAAAAATGTCACAGATACCATGACTTTCCCATGCGTCTACGACCTGTCTCTGTGTCCATGACTTCAATAAACTCGCCCTGCAACAGTGACTGCTGTCACTCCTGTCCCATGGGGCTGGGCCCGACTTCCAGCTTTGGGCATTGCAACCTGGCACACGGGGTCACAATGCTGCTCAGGTTTGGCCCAGCTGCCCCTCCACCATGACGAGTGGGGGGCCAGGCCAAATTTGAGTTAGTGGTGTTGTGACCTGGTGCATGGTGTTGCAATGGTGCTCAGGTTTGTCCCAGCTGCTTGTGCATCATATCATGATGGACGGGCACCCAGACCAAACTTGAGCAGTGCTATGACTCCATGCACTAGGTTGCAACACCTGGAGTGGGGAGCTGGGTCCAAGCCCAAAGGACAAGAGCTACCCCTAAAGGGTGAGCACGGGGCAGGCTTGATCTCCAGCACCTGCACCCCTCCGTCCCACCTCTTCATTTGTCACAAAACCCATGACTTTTACTAAATGTACCATAACTACTCTGATTTTTTTTTTTTTAAATGCTGTGACAAATCTGCAGCTCTACCCATGGTATATATTCACACAGGAAGGATTGGGTGACATGATTTGAAAAGAGAGAGCCTGGATTCCCAACTTCAGACTAGATGAATTTTTATACCAGTATTATCCAGTTAAAAATAGGATATAACAAGAGAAATACGCCAACAACCAGTGACTGCCACCATAGCTTCTCTCTAATGCAGCTAAGTACTTTTATAGCCCTCACCACCACAGTATTCCCCTGCCTAGTGCACGAATGTCATGATTTCACTTACCAATCTTTGAAGGAAAGAGGGTTTCATCATCCAACTGGTCCTGAACCCATGTCATCAAATAATCAATGTACTTCGGAGCTGAACATTTAATTGGTTTCTTTATATTGGTACCATCTGCCCAGTGGTATTCATACCTATGGAAAAAACCAAGGTTTCTTTAAACAAAGAAAAATAATTTTACTTTTTCAGATACTTCTTTATTAGGCACAGGCTCTCTCTGTTTTACTTGTTAAACAATGGTAGTGCAAACAAATTTTTTTTAGCTGAACCATGATTAAAAAAGGGGCTCGATCAGAACCCAACCAGGAAATTGGAATTTTGGGTTCTGGCTTAAACCAGCTTCCATGTCATTTTTATACACAATTGTGTTAGTTTCTTTTTCTTACGGTTTAGAGTCTCCACTTCCTATTGTTTCCACAAAGCGTACAACGTGGCGATTGTGCAATTGAGGAGAGCTGACCACAGCTCCCTTTAGAGCCAATTAATAATGCTGCTTGAGCTGCCATGAGGAGATGTACTAGAGAGGTCCCATTTTCCCCTTCCAAAGTTTAAGTGATCTGCCTCTGCAGCAATCCCTTGTCCTGCTTGCCCTGGAGTGAAGGGTCTGGGCCAGAAGCCACTGCAATGCAATAAAGATGGTTCTCTTTCTTTATAATCTATTGGGAAGGTAAAGATTTTTAAAAAGCTGGAGTAAACTGATACACAGAGAAATGAAATAGCTTGCCCGAGAAGTCCAAGCTGGGGACAAAAGCCAGCAGTCCCTATTTCCAGTTGCTATTTGAATAATTTGATATAGCATTGCCTTTAATATTTCATAATGGCTTCTTTGGGCTTTAACCCATCGTTCCTGAGTTATGGTAGAAGTATACGTAACAATGAATATTGCATTATAGTTGACGTTCTATATGCAGTAACAGAGTCAAAGACAGAGTCCCAACTTTAAATGTAACCAGGGTACTTTGCGAATATGTAGTATTTTATGATTCTGTGTGTAGAATTAACTTTAATGTCTTAAATGTGCAATGTGACACATTTGACATGGAAATCATGGGCCAGATCCTCATCTAGTGTGAACTGGCATAGCTCCACTGAAGTCAATGAAGCTACATCAATTTATGCCAGATGAGGATCTGGCCCTATATCTTTAATGTGATTAAATTTAACATCCTTGAGGGGAGAAAGAGGCCAGAGAAACCCACCACAGCAGCATTTAACTTCAAATAGGGGAACTACACAAAAATGAGGAAGCTAATTAGAAGGAGCAGTTGCAAGGGGGAAATGCCTGCAAACTGCATGGAGATTCTTTAGTTTGAGCCTCTATTATGGTATTTTTAAATGTATACCTCAAATAAAAGAAAACAGATAGAGGACCAAAAAAATACCACCATTTCTAGACAAAACTACAGACTAAAAGAAGCAATTAGAGGCCTTTTAAAAATTGGAAGTTCAATCCTAGTGAGGAAAACAGAAAGGATTGGGATCTACAACATAATGAGTGGCGTTGAGATAGCAAATAAGGAAGTGTTATTTACTCTGTCACATAACACAAAAACCAAGAGTCGCCCAATGAAATGAATAGGCAGCAGATTTAACACAAACATAAGGAATTACTTCTTCACAAAACGTACAGTCAGTCGGTGGAACTTGTTATGATGGGATGCCGTGAAGGCCAACAGCATAACTGGGTTCAAAAAAGGATTAGATGAGTTCATGGACGATAGGTCCATCCATGGCTATTAGCCAAGTTGGTCAGGGATGCAACCCCATGCTTCACATGTCTTTAAGCCTCCAACTGCTAGAAGCTGGGATTGGATGGACAAGGCATGGATCGCTCAAAACTGCCCTGTTCTGTTCATTCTCTGTGAAGCACCTGGCACTGGCCACTGTCAGAGACAGGATACTGGGCTAGATGGACCATTGGTCTGACTCACTGTGACCATTTTTATGTTCTTATGCTCCTGGTTTCTGACATTTTAAACTCTTAACCATACCACAGAACAGGTTTAATTTTGTAATAAGATTAAACAAAAATCACTAAAGGGAGAGTGCTAATGAGTTTATTACAGGATTTATGCAACTTATGTTTCCTACACTCTGTGGGAGTGTACTTCAGAGTGTGAAATGAAGTGTGAAATTAGAGGCACTGAGACCCAGCTGTCCTGGCAGTCTTTCTAATGAGCTATAGTGCTTTTCATTTCAAAGCATCCACTCTGGACACAGTGGATTCTGGGATGAATAACCCATAGCATAGGAAGCTGAAAATTTTAAGTGCGTGTCCCACCTCCCAGGCCCCCTCTAATACTAGGCAAAATTCAGAGATAATGAAAAGTTACATTGGTGGGATGTATGCATTGAGAAGCTAGGAGAGGAGTGTGTAAGACTGTCTAATATAAAGCATTCTGTTGGTTGCTCTTCCTAATACACCCGTTCCATCTGCCCATTCAGCATTTAAGTCAATGATCTCACACATCATCAATAAACTCACATTAACTCTGAATCTTGCCCGCCATTGGTGGGAGGGAAGGAAGAAGGCAACCAGAACGACTAGTTCAGTACAGACAGCTGCCAGGATACAGGAGGGTCCAGAGGATCAAAGTCTGTATGTGAATAACCAAAAATGGTGTATACCCATAACTGCGCTATGTGTGCCCTTAAATCGGGAAGGAAAATACTATGCATCTTTATTTCTTACATTTTTCCAAAACTTGGCAAAATGAAGAGTGAATCTTTTCTGTGGCTGAGAGATGTGCTAAATTTTAAACCAAAACCATTTGAGTTATTCCAACATGCTAAAAAAGCACATTTGAAAAATGCCTTAATTGTAGTTTTCACCAGTGTTCTCATGCTCAGCCTAGCTGACTGTCTTCCAAGTTCCCTTTTACCCCACCCCCATGCAAAAATCATTTGGGACTGGAAAAAAGAAGAAAATTTTAGTCAAAAAGGCATTTGGGGAGGAACTGAAGGTACATGTAAAAAAATCACAATTAGAAGGCACTGTATTATGTACTATATTCCTCATTAAACGGGCATCCATCAGAACAAACAGCGAAGAGTCCTGTGGCACCTTATAGACTAACAGACGTATTGGAGCATAAGCTTTCGTGGGTGAATACCCACTTCACTGGATGTATTCACCCATGAAAACTTATGCTCCAATACGTCTTAGTCTATATGGTGCCACAGGACTCTTTGCCACTTTTACAGATCCAGACTAACACGGCGACCCCTCTGATACTTGACACCATGAGAACAAAGAAAGCTCAGCTCAGACCAGATGCGGTAGCAAGCAGTAGCCAGCGAGCTGAGCCAGAACAAGAAGATGAGCTGACCAAACCATATAGATAGATAGATTACTGGTTGTAGGAGAAGGAAAGAAGTTATAAGTTTGGCATGTTATCCTGCAGTTACCAAGCAGAAACTGACCACAACTGTTGAATGCTAGAGATGGAAGGAAAAACAGAGTCATGAGTGTAGCTCATTAGGATTTAGCCAGTATTACAAAAACATCTATCTGGGGTCTGATTGTACAAGCTCTTTGTGCTTGGGAATCCCATAGGGTACAGTGAGAATTTGGCTCACTTGAAGGCTTGCAAGGACCTATATAATTCACAAGGGAACTGGTGCTCTATAAACATTTGAGGGAATTTTTTTTTTAAGTCTTATTACAATATACCTAGGGCTGAATACTGAAGCCTTTATACATGCAAATATAAAGTATGACTAATTCCATTAAAGTCCAGTGGACTACTATTCAGGAAAAGCATTTGCAGGAAAATGGATGTTGTTTTGCTAAATGCTTTAGCATCATTTGTTAAAGAAGTTATTTAAAACGTTCAGGCCCTGATCCTGCAACGAAAACCATACAGCAGACCTCTACAGAATCGCTTGATTTAAGTTGAACACATAGCTAATTGTTTGAGGAATCCAGAGCCTTTGAGTGTAAGCTCATTACAGCAGGGACTGTTCCTTTATCTGTGTTTCTACAGTGCCTCACACAAGAGTCCAAATCTAGACTGGGGCCTTTGGTGCTACCACAACAGAAGTGTTTTAATTCAGATCATCAGTTACTTTGTAATGAGTGAAATTTAATAATTTTGATCCTGAAGAAAGTGACCTCTATATATTTAAAAAAAAAACGTTAAGTTAAAGCTGGCAACTAGAGTCCCATTTTAAAAATTGTTTTCAGGGAATGTTGAGGAAACTAGTTTGAGGAATTATATGCAGTATCTATTGCTGCTAACATCCTTTTGCTGATCATGAATCATACGTCCCTCCATTGGCTTCCAGTAAGGAGAGCAAAGGCAATTCAAGCTCTGAAGACATCAGCAAGACTGTACATCTGCAAAAGTACATCTAAAACCCTGAGTCTGAGACTGATGCACAGGGTTTTGTGATCTAAGTAATTTCAAGGGACCACCCAAACCTTTATGTAGGAATTGACAGTAGGTCTCCAAGAAAGCAATCTGAGTTCTGCAGTGTTACACAGAAAACTTGGAAAAACTGCATACTTTACTCATATGAAGTTTCTCTCTCGCTAACAAACCCCAACAGTCAAACTAAAAGCAGACATCAAGTGTTCCAGTTCAAACAGGAAGTGTTGAAAGGAAAGCACACCAAATATAGAAACAGGAACTTTCTAAGCTAAAACTTTCAAGCCTAGATATTACCAGTTAACAAATAAAATAAAATCATAGGACACGGTTTTACATTGAATACTGCAGGTCAGCCAGACTCCTTTTTCACTGAGTCATAGTTGTAAACTTTCATTAGTCTTTGCTGACTATAGTGAACAAAAATCTTCTACACCTCCAGAAGAAATGCCACAATCAGAATACCTAGCTGTGGCATGTGCCACTAAGCTCCAATCTAGTCAGTGTTTGCAGTAAACTGCTGGAAGAAAAAAAACTGTAGTGAAACTTGTTTCTTTCTGCCCCGAAAGAGATGCTTTATATGTGCTACCTGCCATATTAGACACATCTGAATATGAGACAACTCTCATGTGCATTCAAACCCATCACGTACTTCTCTTTACCCCCACAAGACATCAGACCTACTGCCTGCAACACTTTGCCACAAGAGCATATCCCTTCCCACCGCAAGAGATATATGAGCCTTCCTTTGAGATGACTAGACCCTTTCCACAGAACAACTGGCACTATTAGGTTGCTCCAGTAGATAACACATCTGATCTTGTGCTGCTAAAAACCACAATGCTTTATGAGTGCATGGGAAGTTTTTGTGGACATGTGTGAAGCTACAAAACAAGAGTCCATTACCGCTGCAAGAATTCAGAATACTGTGTATTCTTGGCATGGAAAACACAACCTACACCAAATTAAATAATAATAATAATAATAATAAAAAAAATTTAAAAAATGGAGCATGTTACTACAGAAGTCCCTAGTCCAAATAAAGCAAAGGGTTTTTATGAGATATTCAGCATTGGGCTCGATATATTAATGTTTGTGACAACAAAGTAAGTAGTCTATTATATTGCTGAGTTTCTCATATATGTTTTGTATTCTTCTGAAAGAAGTCTGGAGTTCCTGTGAAGGCTCTCCTTCCTGTTTTGAACCAGTATAATCATGACCATTCAGCTTCCCCTATTTCCAGCCATCCATCTCTGTCACTGGACAGAATTTATGACTTTTTCTACCCCTAGGTACAGAGCCTAGATGCTGTGGGTGGGTGTTAATGAAGTGAAAACAATTGTTTTTTAGTTTTCAAAATCAGCATAAGTGGTCTGAGTAAATTCTTCACATATGTGAATAATCTAAAAAAAGATTCTTGATCAATAGATTAATATGCAGTTCTGTAACGTAACTAAGGTGCTTTAAAACAAAATGTTTTCTTGAAAAAAAGTTTCACTGAATCAATATATTTGGATCATGAATATGACAGGAATCTCTGTGATCTTCAGACCAACAGAGATAATGTTGTGACCCATCCTTCACTCCTGTGTAAATATACAATATTAAAGACACCAGATTGAACCAATGATATCTCTAAGTCCAACAACCTCCCTCTGACAGCACCAGTACCCGACAGCTCACAAGAACGCAAAGTTCCCCAAAATGCACCTTGTCAATTTTGCAGTGCTGTATGTGGGGGGATAGGAAATATTCACAGGGGCATGACAATGAGGCTATAAAACACCAAATGATTATCTGTTCTTTTTCCATTAATGTTGCATGTTTTTTTATATTTGTGACCTACCCCTGTTTATATATTACGGCTGGTCTACTGCAGTGAGTTTCCTACCTTGGTCCAGCAGACATCACTGGACAGCTTGCTTCTGTGCAGAATTCTGTGATGGTCCCATATAACATATTGATCTGATTGAAGAAATCCACAGCTGTAAAGATAACACATCAACTTTAAGTGTACATGGAATTTAAAGACTTATGTTGATGTTATCTTCTCTGGTGGATTATCTGGTCAGATGGAAATACCATCATCACTAGTGTGAACACAACACATCATTTTCAGAGAAAAGTGGTTTTCATTCTGTATTGCATCACACTGCCAGTAACAACCTTTTCAGAGTGAAGATTTCTATTCTCTAGCCATTTTGATCTGACCTTTTTTTTTTTTTATTGGAACACCATAGTCCTATTTCACTAAAATATTTAAGTCTAGTGTGCAATTTCCCTTGGTTGAATTCAATCTTTTGGGAAAGCCGTGTAGTGACTGCCAAGCTCAAAACCTTAGAGTGCTGAAAACCAATGTCTTAACATCTGAAAATAGACTCCCCAGCTTGCAAACAATACGGGGAGTCAGCATTAATCTGTAAGTGTAGTGGTAAAATATCACATGCTAAAATCATGCCGAAATGACTTTCAAAGTCTTTAGTTTGAAGACCAGTGCAAACATTTTCAGGATCAGTAATCTTTTTCTAACCTCTAGTCCTAACGGAGTGCTCAGAAAAAAAAAATCCCAATCCTTGCACTGATTATTACTCCACTAGTAAAACACGGGTATTACAATGTGCTCCTTACAATTTAAGGCAGACACTTTCAGACTAAAGATAGCCTGTATATAATTTTCTTGTTTAGTTTGAGAACAGCCACTTAAAATTTCTTAGAATATATTAGTATAGATCAGACTATACCTGGAAACCCTTTTAAAAAGGTGAAGTCTAGTTTAAATTGTTTCATTGTAGTCCAGCTTGGAATTGACACTCGTGTTGCCAGTGAATTAGTCAAGATAGGAGTTTTAGTGTAGTTGAACAACAAGATTACTTAAACTGCTATTAAATAAAAATTAATCCACATTTATTAATAGTTTTAAATTATCAAAATTGATCCAGTGTTCATATTATGTACAAAAGATACTATGCTTATATGGTACATGTCTTGGAAAATATGGAGTGTGTCTACAAGCTTCCATCACACACATTCCTGCCTGACAGAATGTCATCTGAGCATAAACCAAGAGTTAAACGGTGAGAATGTGACACGTGTTCTAGGCACCACTAACGTTCTTTTTGAAGCCTGTGACAGTTACTGTTTGCTTAATAATCCAATATAATAAAACAAAAAGCAAAAATAAAATGAACAGAGAAATATTGGTTTGGAAATATCCCTCTCCCCTCAAAAGAATTAGGCTCAGATTCTTCAGGTATGTAAGTGTTGCTGCACACAGCCTCACAACGCCTAACCAATTTAGGAGCCTAAATCACATTTTCAGAAGGGATTTAGGCACTTAGGAGCCAAAATCCCACTGACAGTCGATAAATCTAAAAATGAAGTATCCAGTCAATATTTGTAAGTGTGAAAAGATGCTTTAAAATACACAGTTTTCTCAAGTATGCAGCCAGTTATTTTTTCTAAGGACTTACTGTTAACTGCAATCCATTCATTGAGGTCCTCTCCTTCTGGCAACATAACTGCTTGTCTAAGATTACCACTTCCCAAGGTTGCTTCTGCATGTTTCAAGAGCTCGTACTGATGGGAGCCTTCAGGAATATTCTTCTTGGGTTTGAATGTTTTAGAGGACCGACTGCCACTGATAGAACAGATACGGATTTTCAATTATGTTGTCAATAGTAGTTCTACATTTCAAAGTGGAACTTTTAATTCCAAAGACTATATATTCTCATATTTTATTAAACATCTAACGGAACATTTATCTGTGTACTATACTAGCCTTGCTGAATTCTCCTTGCTCCTGGCAAGTGACATTATGTTTTTCATTATCACCTTTCTGGTAAAAGAGCAGGGTGAGCAGATTTTGTGCCTGGGCTGGTAAGTTTTCATGACAAGACCATACCATGCAACCACATGACATGAATTACTGTAAGAAACACTGAACAGAATGTGGTTGATATTTAACCAATTAGATTTCATTTCAAGTTTGGGGCCTGACCATGAAATGCTTATGAATGTAGTCCTTAGACATGAAAATACTTCAGTGAGAATAATCATGTGAGTGAGGATTATAGGATGCTGCCCCATGCAATTATTTACATCAGTCAACTCATTGGCAATGCGTTTAAAGTATGATTGAATATTTTGCATGACAATTTTTAAAAAAACTTTTATAGTACCTTTCAGCCAAGGAGTTCAGAGTCTGTTACCAACAATTTAATCTCACAACACCCCGTGAGGCAGGTAAATATTCCCATTTTACAAATAGGGAAACTGAGGAATAGATAGGTTAATGCATGTCTAAGGTCATATATCAAATCACTGGTCAAAGTTGGAATTAGAACCTAAGAGTCCTGGCTACCTAGGTTCCCCTGACCCATTTTAGCCAGTCCTTCTCTAATAGTAACTGTTTCATGTAATACAATGTTCATTAGCACGACAGATTTGCTGATGGAGAGATAAACCCAAATAATTATAGAAAATAGTTATCTACAGAACCACACCACATTGAGTATATGCAAAAAATACAAGTGTCGTTACAGACCATACTGCAAAAAAACAATAATCATACAGGAATCCTTTACCTAGGATCAAAGGCTATAGTGATCACCCTAACTCCCAGCATAGTTACCTCTCCTTTCCAGCCCGTTTTTAAACAATTATGCACATCACCTTCAAAAGCCCAGCATGCTGTTCAGCAGAAATGGCCCTAATTCATTGTTAAAAATCTATATTTTCCTGGACATACCTATGATGATCCAGACTACCAGTCAATTACACGTTTGGGCTGGATACCGGGAGCTTTTCTCATATTGAATAGTACTTATGAGAACAGTCCCATTGAAATCAATGAATCTATTTGTGCACATTAGTCAACCCAAGTAAGAGCTGCTGAATCAGACCCTTTGTGAGCAGAAAGGACACAAAGAAAAACATATATTATATAAATTTTATAAATTATAAAACCAGGTTCTTCTGACAAATAGCGCCTATCCCACTGGAGTCCAGATCCTGAGCGGAGCCTCAAAGGTGCCATTACAATACAAACAACAAGTAGCAGTAATAATAATAATACATGGCAATTTAGGGGGCCATGTACACAAATAGCCAGAAAAATCAGGTTATCAGAATGTAAAGTGGTGAATCCAGATATCCTTAAACAGCAATAGCCACTTGCCTTTGTTGACCATGAACAGGGGGCTAATTCTTCTCTTGCTTACACCCGTGATTTACACCAGTGCAAGTGACAGGAGAATCAGGCCCAAAGTTTTGCTGTTAACCCTATGATGGAAATAAACACACTAGTTTGGTGCAAAAGCTTTGGTACTACCAGCAATACACTGGCAAATCAAGCTCATTTGGCTCATATGCGTGTCCTACTAGCTGCCTGGTACAGCCTGAGTCAACAGCGAAATGCTAACGGTGCAGATTCTGGACTCAGTGGAGTTCACCCTGCACATGACAGAGGCCTCTGCCTTGAGCACATCAAGCTTTCAAACCATGCCAGTGTAACCCACACACTGTGTGGTGTTGTGTCCCATCTAGTGGCACTGAGACCACTTAGAGAGAGAGACAGATGAATGAGTTTGTTCTACAGCCTTAGCTAACAGCCAGTTGGCTTTTAGCTCCTGCGGTAGAGGCTCATGCACTAAGCTCCAGAGGTCCCGGGTTTGATTCCACCCATCCACCCACCCACCCACGACTGGGGTCTGCGGCGTTACACCAGCATCTCCCCTAGAGCAGCAGGGTCAAACCTGAATGATAGAGGACATCTACCCGGTGCCAAAGGTCACAGCCCTGTTCCCTGCACCCGGGGCTTCAGGCTGGATTCTGCAATCCTCCTCTCAACCCTCCCTGCTCACACATGGCACCTGCCCTACATGCAGGGTCTGCAACCCCCCAGGTCACGGATTCCTTCCCCACCAGGCCGAGAGCCACCAACCCCCTTTCCCCCACTCCATGCCGCTTCCCATGCCAAGGGCCACCCCCCCCACAGGCCACCGATACCTTCCCCCCCAACCTCTTCACAGGTCCCACCCCCACCGAACGAGCATCCCCCCTACCCCATGGGCTACAGATCCTGCCCCCCGATCACCCCCAACTCTCCTCCCTCCCCCCGCCAACCTCTTCACAGGCCCCCCCCCGATCCTCCCCCTCCTACCCCACAGGCTACAGATCTCCGATCACCCCCAATTCTCCTCCCCGCTCCCCAACCTCTTGACGGGTCGTCCCCCACATCCTACAGATCTCTGATCATCCCCAGTTCTCCTCCCCCCTTCCCAAACCTCTTCACAGGTCCCACCCCCGCCTAGGGAGCATCCCCTCCTACCCCACGGACTACAGATCCCACCCACCGATCACCCCCAATTCTCCTCCCCCCCGATTCCCCCCTCCTATTCCATGGGCTACAAATCCCACGCCCCACGATCACCCCCATTCTCTCCCCCCAACCTCTTCACAGGTCGTCCCCCCCGATCTTCTCCCTCCTACCCCACGGGCTACAGATCCCGCCCCCCAATCACCCCCAATTCTCCTCCCCCCAAATTCTCCCCTTCTATTCCACGGGCTACAGACCCCACCCCCTGCAATCACCCCCAATTCTCTCCCCCCCAACCTCTTCACAGGTCCCCCCCTATCTTCCCCCTCCTACCCCACGGGCTACAGATCTCCGATCACCCCCAATTCTCCTCCCCAACCTCTTCATGGGTCCCACCCCCCAATCCTCTCCCTCCTACCCCACAGGCTACAGATTTCCAATCACCCCCAACTCTCCTCGCTCCCCTCCCCAACCTCTTCATGGGTCCCACCCCCGCCTATCACGCATCCCCTCCTACCCCACGGACTACAGATCCCGCCCCCCGATCACCCCCAATTCTCTCCCCCCCAATCTCTTCACGGGTCTGCCCCGATCCCCCCCCACCCCACGGGCTACAGATCCCGCCCCCCCGAATTCTCCTCCCTGCTCCCCAACGTCTTCACAGGTCCCACCCCCGCCTAGCGAGCATTCCCTCCTATCCCACGGAGTACAGATCCCGCCCCCCGATCACCCCCAATTCTCTCCCCCCCCGATTTCCCCCTCCTACCCCACGGACTTACAGATCCCGCCCTCCTGATCACCCCCAACTCTCCTCCCTCCCCCCGCCAACCTCTTCACAGGTCTCCCCCCGATCCTCCCCCTCCTACCCCACAGGCTACAGATCTCCGATCACCCCCAATTCTCCTCCCCGCTCCCCAACCTCTTGATGGGTCCCCCCCCATCCTCCCCCACAGGCTACAGATCTCTGATCATCCCCAGTTCTCCTCCCCCCTTCCCAAACCACTTCACAGGTCCCACCTCCGCCTAGCGAGCATCCCCTCCTACCCCACGGACTACAGATCCCACCCCCCCGATGACCCCCAATTCTCCTCCCCCCCCCCGATTCCCCTCTCCTATTCCACGGGCTACAGATCCCACCCCCCCGATCACCCCCAATTCTCTCCCCCCCAACCTCTTCACAGGTCGTCCCCCCCGATCTTCTCCCTCCTACCCCACGGGCTACAGATCCCGCCCCCCAATCACCCCCAGTTCTCTTCCCCCCCCCCCGATTCCCCCCTTCTATTCCATGGGCTCTAGACCCCACCCCCTGCAATCACCCCCAATTCTCTCCCCCCAACCTCTTCACAGGTCCCCCCCCGATCTTCCCCCTCCTACCCCACGGGCTACAGATCTCCGATCACCCCCAACTCTCCTCGCTCCCCTCCCCAACCTCTTCACGGGTCCCACCCCCGCCTAGCGAGCATCCCCTCCTACCCCACGGGCTACAGATCCCGCCCCCCGATCACCCCCAACTCTCTCCCCCCCAACCTCTTCACGGGTCTGCCCCGATCCCCCCCCACCCCACGGGCTACAGATCCCGCCCCCCGAATTCTCCTCCCTGCTCCCCAACGTCTTCACAGGTCCCACCCCCGCCTAGCGAGCATTCCCTCCTATCCCACGGAGTACAGATCCCACCCCCCCGATGACCCCCAATTCTCTCCCCCCCCGATTTCCCTCTCCTATTCCACGGGCTACAGATCCCACCCCCCGATCACCCCCCCCACTCTCTCCCCCCCAACCTCTTCACAGGTCGTCCCCCCCCGATCTTCTCCCTCCTACCCCACGGGCTACAGATCCCGCCCCCCAATCACCCCAACTCTCCCCCCAATCTCTTCACGGGTCTGCCCCGATCCCCCCCCACCCCACGGGCTACAGATCCCGCCCCCCCGGCCACCCCCAACTCTCCTCCCCGCTCCCCAACCTCTTCACGGCCCCACCCCCGCCGCCTAGCGAGCAGACCCCCGCCCCGGGGCAGGCTCCCTCCCCCTCGCCCCGGGAGCCCCCCGGCCACTCACAAGAGGAAGCTCATCTTCAGGCTGCGGAAGGGGGAGGGGGGTCCCGGCGGGGGGAGGGGAGGCGCCGCTGGCTGCGTCCGGCCCTGAGCTGCGCAGCGAGAGCGAGCCGCCAACTGCCTCCCCGCCGCGAGCGCCGGGCCGGGCGGGGCCGCGCGCAGGATCTCGCGAGAGGAGCGCGCGGCCCCGCCCCCCCCGGGGCAAGGAAAAGGGCGGGGCGGAGAGGAGGGGTTGGCTGGCGGAGGGAGCGGGTGGGGAGGGGAAGCAGGATGGAGGACAAGGTGAAGGGGGGATGGGGCGTTAGCGGTACAGCCCCCGCCCCCACCCATCCGCTCTTCTGCCCCGTGCGTGCCTCTGGTTTCCCTTCCCTCAGGCGGGGGGACCCCGATACCGCCAGCAGTTCGGTCCCATGTCTGCATCAGCCTGCCACTGAGATACCTACCTCTTCGGGTCAGGCATGGGGGGCTACATCCAAACGGCTTTTACAGGCCTAAGCAGGACAGAAAATGCATAGGTCCTGCGTGGAAGGGCATCAGCCTGCAAGGCTGCACTCAAGGGGCTTTGGCCTATGGTGCTGGCACAGTGGTGTTTTGGGTTAAGGGGATATGGGGAGGGTGGGGGCTAGGTGATAGCACGGGAGGGGAAGGTGCTTTGACCTATAGGCTGGGGGGCTGCGGCCTAGGCTCAGACTGGTATAATTGTTCCCAGTTTGACATCAGATGATTTTATTCTTCTCCCCTGCCTGCGATTATGCATCTTTTGCCTTCATCACCTAGTAATGGGAGATTCTCTTATTGTTTATAGGAATTGCAGGAACTGTGTCTTTTTTGTCTCTGCTGCTGCCTGACTGCATACTTCTGGTTCCAAATGAGAGGTGCGGTTGACTGGTTAGTTCACAACTTTGGTGTATGTAACTCTGAAGTTCTACTGTATTAAGATCCAGTCTGCATTATGAAATAATCATAGAATATCAGGGTTGGAAGGGACCTCAGGAGGTCATCTATAGTCCAACCCCCTGTTCAAAGCAGGACCAATCCCCAATTTTTGCCCCAGATCCCTAAATGGCCCCCTCAAGGATTGAACTCACAACCCTGGGTTTAGCAGGCCAATGCTCAAACCACTGAGCTATCCCCCCATGGTTTAAGAACCCCCTGGTCTAATTGCTCATTCTTTCTGTATTCTTGATGAACCTATCCCAGAGGCATAAAGCAGACATTTGAATGATAAAATCCTGTGTTACATAGGAGAGCTGCTTTACAGGTGTGTCCTTAAAAAGAATATCAAAACAAGGAAGTATCCTTGGCAACTCTGGGTAGGATGCATCCAATGAAGTGAGCTGTAGTTCACGAAAGCTTATGCTCAAATAAATTGGTTAGTCTCTAAGGTGCCACAAGTACTCCTTTTCTTTTTGCGAATACAGACTAACATGGCTGCTACTCTGAAATCTGGGTACATTAAAAACCAAAATACACCCAGAGGCATGTACACTGTATCTTTACCATCTTGTGCAAAGCTCCTGAGAGCTCACATGAAGTAGGTGGTGTCAAACCAAATAAGTACTTACTTAGAAAAACTCCAAGATATATTCAGGATGTTTCAGGAATTTCAACAGGTGCCACTCTTTACTGAATCAGTATTCCACTCAACTAGCTGCTGGGGGTAGTGTGCTATGGCAGGTGCCACACATAATTTTTGCAAGGGGAACTAGGCACTAGTAGAATACAAATAATTATTAAGTCTCTTGTTATTCCTAGGAGGAAAGTAAGATATCAAAGAATCATTCCACTGTGTACTGTGCTGGAATGAAATGTAGCAATTTAATAGCATACTTCATCAAGTTAGCACAGGAAGTCAAAGAGATTGCTGTAGCCAAATGAAACTGCAGGGAGAATTTAAAGGAAGCAAAATGTCATTTCATGAGTGGTAATTTTGCAAGGGCATAAAAACATCCCTGCTGGTAAATGGAGGAATAAATTGCTCATACACACTGTGGGAGAGCAGTGGTAGCAACACCTTTGTCAGGCTTCACCCTTGGAAGAAAAACAGCTGTTGCTTACCTCTCTTTCAGATTAAATTAACTGTACTGAATTAATCAATTTAGCAAAACTGGGGAACCATATATATATGTGTGTGTGTTTAACTGTAGACCCTAGCTATCCGCAGAAGGGACTGCTTAGCGGTCTAAGCATAGCGATTGTAATAACACCAAGGCTTCCAATCCTGCTTGAATGGAAACCACAAGTTCAAATCGTTTGTGGTTTGACTCAGCCCTGAGCCCATCATCCTCTCTCAATAGCAGCCATGTCTTCAAAAGCGTTCACTGATTTTTTCGGATGAGGTGTCTCAAGTCCAACACTGATGCACTCAAACTCAGCAGGCTGTTTGAACCTTTGATCTAGATCGATCGATTGATTGATTTTCTATGTTGTTTGTTCTTTTCAGACAAAAATCTAAGCCAGCCTGACATAGCAAAGTTCCGGCCTGCTCTGCCTGCCTATCTTTCAAATGCATGGTATGATTGACATTCCCCTATAGGGGATGTTTCATGTTTCACAACAAGGGCTGGGGTTTGTCCTGCTGCCCTTGCTCAATGTTTCCTTTCCCTGTGCTGGGTGGAGGCTATTAGTTGTGTCCAGGTGCTCCCTCTGCTGTGGTCATGGCCTTGGCTGCACACGGCCATTAGCTGGCTCTCCTCTCTCTGCAGGAGCCAGCCTCCAGTGCCTGGTGCAGGACGGGGAAGGTCCCTATTCACCCCCCTCTGAGCTCAGAGACAGGCCCTGCCTATGGCTGGGGCAGTGTCATCCATGCATCCTCCTTCCGCCTGTGGCTTATGCAACCCTCAGACCCAGTGACAGCCACCCCGCGAAGAGCCAGCCAGCGAGCAAGACACACCCCTCTATGGCCCAGTAAGCCCCGCCCATCGCGCCCGAGCTTCACCAATGAAAAACCAGCACACGTGCTTTTTGTCCCGCCCCGCCCCCCGTTGCTCAGTTTCTCACGAATCACAGCCTGGCCCAACTGCGTCCCTTTATCTGACCCAATCACAAACCGAGACCGGTGCTAAATCCTGCCCCTTCCTTGTGTCCGCCAATCAGATCCCTTTATCCAGTTTCCTTTACGTTATCCCTGTCGCAACCAATCGTGGTCCAGTTACGTTATTTCCCCGCTCTCCGGCCCTGTTTTGCCTCAGCGCCTGCGTCACTCCGGTCGTCCACCAATCAGCGTGGGGCCGGCTTGTTCCGCGCAGTATGATAGGCGCTGCTCCAGCCGATGGGGGTGGGTCTGGCGGGCTGGGGAAGCTATATAAGGGGTTTGTTAAGCTGGCTGCTTCCCCGCGCGAACCAACGGCTGCGTGTCGCGTGTGGTGGCCGGGCTCGCCTCAGCTGAACCATGGTGGTACCCGCGCTCGCCCCGAGCCTGCTGCTCCGAGCCCTGGGCTGGGCGGGACGAGCTCCCCGCGGCTGCTGCTGTGCCCTGAGCCCCCGTCGGCTGCACCTCACCGCGCTCAGGTAGCGGGGGGGGGGGGCTGGATAGACGTCCCTTTGCGGGGGGGGGGTCGAGAGGGTCCCCTGGGGGGAGGGCGGAGTTGGGGAGACGTCTTTGTGGGGGAGGGATAGAGAGGGGGTCCCCTGGGGGGAAGGGTGGAGTTGGGGGAGACGTGTCTCTGAGGGGGGGTTCCTGGGGGGGAGTGGGGGAGACGTGTCTCTGAGGGGGGGGGGTCCCTGGGGGGGAGATGTCCCTTTGTGGGGGCGGGGGGGGGGACTCTGAATTAGATGGGAAACTGGCAGTGCAAAGCCCAGAGACGTGCCACTGGGCAGCCAGGGTGCTGAGGGGAAGATGGGGGTTGGGGTTGAGGAGTGATCTCACTGGTGTCTGAGAAATGAGACACAATTTTCCAGTGAAAAAGCAATGCGGGAAAACTGACTCAGGGTGGAGAGACCACAGAGCCACCCAGCTGGGGAAAAAACAAACTGGGCATCCCCATCCCATGCAGATGGTGGCTATATTGGGGATCTAACCACAAATACTGAAGCCCTGTCCAGGGTAGATGCTGAATGCAACAGGGAGCAAAGTCTAAACATACTGAGAAATCTGAACCATGCAGTTACTATGCGGGATTGCAACCCCCATCTTGGGCAGATGGTGGGTACAGTGGTGATGAAACCCCAAACACTGGAAAGCTGTGTCTGAAGCTGATGCTAGATGTATGGGTGGGGCGATGTTAAATCCCAAACATTGTGAATCTTTCTGTCAGGCCAGGACTTGTATTTACCCAAATTGAAACCCAGGGTTTGCTGTTGTACACTTGTGTTGCCCGTAAAGTACAGTATTGCTGAAATGAATGGGAACTTCTGCTCTGTTGGCCAGTTCGCTTTGGTTGAGTACTCCCAGTGGCAGATAGCAGATCTGCAGGCTGATGAAATCCTATTCCCTGCTTGCATGGAATAGCTGCTTCTAATGCTCAAGATCCAGGGCCCACACTGACTTTGCTCTAGGCAAAGCACTGCCCTTCTGGTCTCCCCACACTCCTGGTGTGGCTGTGGGGGCACAGGTGTAACTGAGTTAAATGTAATTATATGTGGAGGGGAGAGAATACATTTTCTGGGTCTGAAGAGTAATTTAGTGCCAAGGAAAAATCTAAAAGGAGTGGGGAGAATTCTCCCTACAAATCATCATAAGCACTTTCCTTTCAGGCCAAAGACCATTCTGCCAGAAAGGGAGGCTCTTTAGATAATTCAAATTTGTCTGCAAATCTGACAACCTAATTCATGATATTGCTTTAATTGTCCACCCTATAGAGTTGTTAGAATTAATTAGTACAGCCATGAAAATTTACACACCCAGACATATAAATCTCACCTGCTCTCACCCTGAGGAGAAATCTTAACTTGGTTGTCAAAAAATCACTTGTGATAGAAAAGTATCATTTTGCAAGTGTGAATGAATTGTATATTTTAAGTAAAATGTTAAGTATGTATTAAATTATTGGTATGTGAGGGAAGAGCCAAAAATTTCTTTCTTCTCAAAGGTTTCAGAGTAACAGCCGTGTTAGTCTGTATTCGCAAAAAGAAAAGGAGTACTTGTGGCACCTTAGAGACTAACCAATTTATTTGAGCATAAAAAAGCACAAAAGCTTATGCTCAAATAAATTGGTTAGTCTCTAAGGTGCTACAAGTACTCCTTTTCTTTCTTCTCAAACTACCTGTTTCCCAGCTCTGAATGTTCCGTCATTTCCCAGTAGCAAGAAATGTATTTTTGTCATCCTTTTTTTCTGTGGTTTCCATTATCACTCAAGAAATACATTATGCTACAGTACTTGCGTCAGTCTAGCTTTGAGACCTTTCTGTTGCTCCTTCCCTTTCAGGAACTCCTACAGAAAATTGTGGCTACGTGCTGTAACTGGGCAAAACTGCCTTCCAGTGAGATGGTGCTGTCTCAAGTGTATTAAAATTGTTTCTGGCTTGCTCAAGATGCAAAGTGCCTAACTTGTGTTTTTCAGACTTTTAAAGGAGTACTTCCAACTTTTCTTCACCCTTAGGCTCTTTGATATATCTCAGCGCTTGACTCTCTTGGAGGGGCATGGGGGAGAGAGGTTAATGCTCCTGCCAATAGATATGGAGCTACATTCTGGTCTTACAATGTGAATTTGAAAATTATTCCACTGATGTCAACCTATTTAACTGCAATCAGATCAGTGGTAAAATATTTTGGGGGGCTGGTGCTCCCGTGCACCTCTTACATCTCGTCATCTCTCTTCTTGCTCCTACACCCTGCCCTCCCCCTTTTGTTCAAGCCTAATGTCTAGTCAAGGAATTATGTAATGAAAAGCTGCTGCCAAGGTTTTGCCTTGGCATTCCTGTAGACTCTGGCAAGGGATACATTGACACTTTGACCGAAACTTAGATTCTTTTATGAACTTCTAGTTCTGTTTATAGTAAAGATAGCTTGCTGGACTTCCTAAAAGTCATTATGTGACTTAGTGTATGTGTGATATTAATCAGCGTTTAGCTCTGCAGTTAAAACATTTAGCATTTGAAATGGTGCCAGTAGGTTCATTTCCCTGTTAGAGGGAATAATCTCAGTTACATTTGGTAGTACCTAAAAAACTATCTGACTTCCTTAGGCGATCGCCTTTTGGGATTGTCAGCTAGGTATAACTTAATTTCACAATAAATTTACCAGACAGATGAATAATCCAGTTATTTAAATGATGTTTGTGCCCCAAAAGAATCTAAGGAGAAACATTTAAAATCTCCAAACTAACACACTGCTGCGTCAGATGTGTTAGAGTACAGATTGTCCTACAGAAATGTTCACACCCCAAGCTACTTTGTGTAGTGCCCCCTGTCCATTCAGGTACCTCCTTTAGAGCTAATCTCCTTTTGGGTTTTGATGGACAGGCCTGTGTTCTTCTGGGTCCTGCCACCCACTCAGCAGGGTGCAGCGCTTTTCTTCCCACATGAATTTATTTCGCAGTGCCTCCACCCCTCTTGCTCCTTCTTGGCAGGGTCACCAAGTCAGCTTGGGGGGAAAATTCTAATCACAGGGTAACCCTCACTTATTTGCCAGATAGTTGGAGACTTCCAAGAAATAGCACAAACACATACAATATATTTAACACAGTAATTATATTAAACAGGAGATAAATATAACAGGGTAAAACTATTCTCAGGGTCACTGGTACCCACTGGTAATACCTATGAATTTCCTATCGTGATCTGATACAGCAAATGTCAAATTAGTGTCCTGTTGGTACATGTACTTTATAGGCGCCCTTGATGACTTGTGACCATGATATCTTCTGTGCAGCAGTGAACAATGTGACTGACTAGATTCAAGTGGGATATGGTGATAAGTCCCTCCACAGATTTAACAGGCAGCAGGTTAACAAAATCCCCAAATCCTTACCCCCTGGCTTGAGGATGCAGTTCAGGGCGAAAGGGGTCTCCCAAACAATTTCCCTGACTAGCTAACGAGCCTTAGTGCACTCTCAAACAACTGTGAATGATCCTCTGATTCAGAGATGGCTCTGGACTCCTCAGTCACTGGAGAGGGCTGATGCTACTGCAGGCAGGTGTCCTCTTCATGCAGGAGTCAGGCTGCTGCTCATGCTTCATGCAGGTGCCAGGATTTCCCCTTACCAAAAAGGGCTCAAGGTGCAGATTACAGAACTATACTAAAATCCAAACTTTAGTCTCCCACCCTAGCGCTCACATACTATCAGCAGGCAGCAGCCTTGGACTAGTAGCCGGAGCAGAGCTGGCCATGTGGTGACTGATCTCACCTAGGGAGCTGGAAGGCTAGCTCAGCTTGTCTGGGGGAAGTTTCCCCAACAAAGCTCAACAAACTGGAAGTCACCTTGGAGCTGGAAAGGCTCAAGCTAAGGGATCTTGCTTTCAGGTCCCCAGAGGCCAGTTTTCAGGGGGAACCCTGCACACAGGCCTGGGGGACTCACCAGCTCCCCACACAGCCACTCCTGCCCTTTCCCTGGCTGGCTAGTCCAGATTGCTCCAAAATGGCTTCTCCCTCTCCTTAACTCCCTTGGAAGAGTTTCTCTCTCTCTGTTGGTTGCTGAGCAGACTGGCTCCCCCTCTGTACCAGGGACAGCGTGCCTCTTCCTGATCTACCAGCACACAGAGCCCCAGGAATCCAAGTAATCTCCTTGGGGGTTACATTTGTGTAGGCATCAATTTCTGCCTTGAACTCCCTTCAACCAGACACAATCTGTATGACTGTTCCTATAGCCTACTTTCTCTCATTGAGGCCCTAATGAGAGAGAGGGACCCATGGCTAAAGCTCCAGGCCTGGGATTGTACCCTCAAAGGAGACTATTGTCATTTGGTTAAAACAAGGGGAATGGAGGGCAGGACTTGCAGTATGACCTTGAGAGGAAAGTCACTTAAATCTTTGTTCAGCAATCTAGAAAAATGGAGTATAATATCTGGTATGTGTGGGTGTTAGTATTAATGCATGTTTGAAGTGCTTTGACAACTTCTGTTGAAAGGTGAAGGTTTGAGTGTTTAAAAGAGAACTAGATAAATTCATGGAGGTTAAGTCCGTTAATGGCTATTAGCCAGGATGGGTAAGGAATGGTGTCCCTAGCCTCTGTTTGTCAGAGGGTGGAGATGGATGGCAGGAGAGAGATGCCCCAGAGCGAGTGAACCTGGCATTGGCCACTGTGGGCAGACAGGATACTGGGTTGGATGGACCTTTGGTCTGACCCAGTATGGCCGTTCTTATGATATCAGACAGTCAGTAATGCAAATTAGGAGATCTTTTTAGTTTCCTCCCTTTTTGACAATGCTAGCCTAATCTATTTGACCAATGACTTTCCTTCCTAGATGGTAAGAGAGTAACCCTAGTAATCAAATTTGTGGACTATTCTGAATGTAAAGTACTCTGCTAAATTTAGAGCTGTAGGGTATATAATTTTGGAAAGCAGCCTGGAGCAGTTCTTGAAAATAGCAAATTTAATTGGTTCTTCTAAAACAATGTTAAAAATTATTTAGCCTAAAGCTAGTTTAAAATAGTATCTGAAGCTTGAATTTGAGTTTGTCTTGTAAGAGGCTTAATAAATTTTTCCTTTGTGGCTTTTCTGCCCAGATGTGGGGAAGACCAGTATTTGACCATAGTATTGTGGATCATGCTTTCCCTGGTAGTCATTTGCAATTTCACGGCCATGAAAAATAAGTCACGGACCGTGAAATAAGCCCTTTTCCATGAAATCTGATGTTCCTTTGTTCCTAGGAGCGCCCCAGCAAAGAGGCCTCCTAGCTCTGGCTGGGGAGTGACGGGACTTGTCCATCCCCTGCACAGCTGCTTTGGGGGGGGGGGCAGGGGGACACTAGACCCACCTCCGGGTGCCTCCCCCCGCTGCAGGATGCTCTGGGACTGGGCAGCACCCCAGGGCTGCTCTTGGGTATCTCTTCCGGCTGCAGATAGCTCCGCACCCTCTCATCCCCATTCTGTTAAGCTCTGAAGGCAGCACAGAAATTAGGGTGGCAATCCCATGACCCCTCTACAACAGGTTTGCAACCCTCCCCTCCACAATCCCCTTTTCAGTCAGGACCCCCACAGTTACAACCCTTGACCTGAAAACATGAACTTCACCAATTTTCAAATCCCATGGCTGTGAAATTGACCATAATGGAGGTGAATCTGGTAGGGCCCTAGAAAAACTCATTATCACCACCCCTTGTTCCTGCTGCTGGCCATAATAGTCTAGCAGGAACAAAACTGATATTTTTGTAAGTTTTGCTCTTGATAAGAGAGTGAGTGCTTTTTATGCAAGCTGTGATATTAATACATTTTCTGAAGCTCGGATGTAAAGGAAGCTGGTGTGTAGCAAGCTGGTGTGTAGCCTTTCAGTTAGTGTAAATTGGCAGCTGTGTAACCCCTTTGGCTAGTACTATTTCTGTCAGCTTTGCCTACTGTGTGGTTATCCAGTTTCCTGGAATGCATTGGCAATAGTTATGTATTCCTGATACCAATATAGACCAGGAATGTATGTAGGGGCTTTTTTAACATGACTCAAATGTCAAAGATAAACACTTGTATTTTATTCTCTCTGCTTCAGCAAAATTTCATATATTGATCAAGTGTCAGTAGTCTGTTTTTAAAGCTGTACTCATGACACTGATACTAGTTTTTGCAACGGTACTTGCATATTAAGATAATTAAAAACAAGCGGAAGAATACTTGTTGGCAACAAATTCTAAGATAATATGTATCTAGGATATTATTCTGTTCCTTTACTATGAATATTATTCATACTCCTTTACTAACCATTTTCCACTGAAGTTTATCCATTATAAACTTCAGTGGAAAGTGGTTAGTAAAGGCATATGAAATCTGAGTAAAGGGCAAATAAGATAAACTTGCATAGTTATGTACATTATTCTGAATGTGCTGTGGTTTTTGATAGGGAATTAATATGGACTTCAATTTTTGCTTGTGCAAATTATCCACTTTAAAAGATCTAAGTGTTAAACTGAAGAGTTAAAAATGATCCAGTAGAACTTAGCTGTAGTGAAATTCCATTTATAGTGAAGCAAATTGAAAGTCCCACATTTTGTTTCAAAGAATTTTAGTTATAGTAAAAACTCTGCTAAAATGAAATTATGTACTTTGTATTCAGGGAGGGGAAGAGGATTATTTAGCTATATGAGTTTTATTTGCTTGATTGCTGATTTAGAATGTAAAATGTACACTGGACAAAAGCATGACAGGAGCGTGGCTTTCCAGGAGAGAGCAATCCATGAACTTTCTCAAATTACATGAACGGTCAGCAAATATAAAACAAACTGGCCTAGGAATTGTCTTCAAATTTATTGGCTTGAGTATGCATCATTTGATTTTCCTCAGAAAAATCTATCATCTTCCAACTTTGCTGCTATTAAACAGGATATCTAGCTAAGCAGAATTGATTCTTGTATTGGCCACTTGAAATGGGTTTTATACAAATGTGAAGTATGGAATATAATATTTGTGCATAGGTCTAACTCGGTACAACAGGAACTGCTGTAATGACCTACGTTAGCTGAATTTCTTGACTAAAACGTTGGGGGTGAAGTTTGGGTAGAAAACTCAATATGGAGTGAATGTTTTTAAAAAAGGGTCCCTGCTCAGATAACCTATTTTCTTATTTTTTTCAGAAATGATGCAGTCATAATTTCTGGAAGAAAACTGGCTCAGCAGATCAGACAGGAAGCCCGACATGAAGTTGAACAATGGGTAGCAGCTGGTAACAAGAGACCCCATCTCAGTGTGGTTCTAGTTGGAGAAAATCCTGCAAGTCACTCCTATGTACTTAACAAAACCAAAGCAGCTGCTGATGTAGGTAGGTTCTTGCACTCCTGTCTTTGTGCCCTAACTAATAGGACACTTAACAAGAAGTATCTTTAATTTAAGACCCTAATTTAAATTGGACTTCTCATATGCTGGATGAGGATACGCAATTTTCAGCTTGCTGCCCATGGAGACTTTTATCTAGTTAGCTTAGTAGTGGCCCTAGTGAACGCCCCACATCTTCCAATGCTGTCGGCCTGCTTTCATCTGACATGGAGGTACAGTCCTGAATGCAATGCTCCATCTTCATCTGTATGATAGACCAAGCAGGAGCATTGTGGTTTGCATCTTGCTATTTGAACGTAAGATATTTAAGTCCATGGTATGTAATATCTGTTAATGGAAGATTGAGACTTTTAAACTTGTCAATAGAGATTATTTCTGTAGTGTAAAAATCAGTATGAATTAAGAATGTTCATTTCTGGACTTAGTCTACATTTGAACCTCTCTGTTAATGTGGTGTTTAAAATGACACTCTAGGAATCAGCAGTGAAACAATCCTGAAACCAGCCTCCATCACTGAAGAGGAGCTGCTTGATTTGATCAGCAAGCTAAATGATGACACCAATGTGGATGGCCTATTAGTGCAGCTTCCCTTACCTGGTGAGTTGGTGGAATTTTGAGGAGCTCTTACTGGGCTTGTCTTCGCTACTGGGAGATCCATGCAGTGGGTGTCAATTTAGCAGGTCCAGTGAAAACCTACTAAATCGACGGCAGAGTGCTCTCAAGTCAACTCTCTCTCTCCTCTTCTCTCTTCCCCCCCGCCCAGTGAAGACAAGATCACTGTGTTTGCACCTTTACCTAGAAAACTTTCAAATGTCTTGTGTGCAGTGAGAGATCAAGTTAGAGTATGGCTCTGCCCTGAACCTGCTGTGACGCTGCACTTCCGTTGCTCTCATGTGTGACGCATACGAAGGAAATGGCATTCTGCCATTATGCTGTTCAATGAAGAAAAGTTGGTTTGACTTCCTTTGTAGTAGCAAAAAGAAAAGGAGTCCTTGTGGCACCTTAGAGACTAACCAATTTATTTGAGCATAAGCTTTCGTGAGCTACAGCTCACTTCATTGGATGCATACTGTGGAAAGTGTCGAAGATCTTATTATATACACACACAGCATGAAAAAATACTTCCTCCCACCCCACTCTTCTGCTGGTAATAGCTTATCTAAAGTGATCACTCTCCTTACAATGTGTATGATAATCAAGTTGGGCCATTTCCAGCACAAATCCAGGTCGGTGTCATCGTCCCGTTCTCTCCCCCTCCCCCCCAACTCACTCTCCTGCTGGTAATAGCTTATCCAAAGTGACCACTTTCCTTACAATGTGTATGATAATCAAGGTGGGCCATTTCCAGCGCAAATCCAGGGTTTAACAAGAACGTCGGGGGAGGGGGGGGGAAACAAGGGGAAATAGGCTACCTTGCATAATGACTAAGCCACTCCCAGTCTCTATTCAAGCCTAAATTAATTGTATCCAATTTGCAAATGAATTCCAATTCAGCAGTTTCTCGCTGGAGTCTGGATTTGAAGTTTTTTTGTTGTAAAATAGCGATTTTCATGTCTGTAATCGCGTGACCAGAGAGATTGAAGTGTTCTCCGACTGGTTTATGAATGTTATAATTCTTGACATCTGATTTGTGTCCATTTACTCTTTTACGTAGAGACTGTCCAGTTTGACCAATGTACATGGCAGAGGGGCATTGCTGGCACATGATGGCATATATCACATTGGTGGATGTGCACGTGAACGAGCCTCTGTGTGGCTGATGCGATTAGGCCCTGTGATGGTGTCCCCTGAATAGATATGTGGGCACAGTTGGCAACGGGCTTTGTTGCAAGGATAGGTTCCTGGGTTAATGGTTCTGTTGTGTGGTATGTGGTGGTTGGTGAGTATTTGCTTCAGGTTGGGGGCTGTCTGTAGGCAAGGATTGGCCTGTCTCCCAAGACTTGTGAGAGTGTTGGGTCATCCTTCAGGATAGGTTGTAGATCCTTAGTAATGCGTTGGAGGGGTTTTAGTTGGGGGCTGAAGGTGACGGCTAGTGGTGTTCTGTTATTTTCTTTGTTCGGCCTGTCCTGTAGTAGGTGACTTCTGGGAACTCTTCTGGCTCTATCAATCTGTTTCTTTACTTCCGCAGGTGGGTATTGTAGTTGTAAGAATGCTTGATAGAGATCTTGTAGGTGTCTGTCTCTGTCTGAGGGGTTGGAGCAAATGCGGTTGTATCACAGAGCTTGGCTGTAGACGATGGATTGTGTGGTGTGGTCAGGGTGAAAGCTGGAGGCATGTAGGTAGGAATAGCGGTCAGTAGGTTTCCAGTATAGGGTGGTGTTTATGTGACCATCGTGGCTGCTTGTTGGGACTGCATTGTATACGCAACTGCAATCTAGGTGGTCTAAAAATAACATCTCCAAATTTAAAGGGGTATTTTCACATTCATTGCAAGAAATATTGAATGCACAGGGGTAAACTTGAAGTCCCTATGGTTAATTCCTTGCTTGTATTCAAGGAACTATCGAAAGCCTGTCAAATTCATATAGCTGTAGGGCTAATATAGCCACTTGAGATTGCAATAGAAATATTTACACATGTAAATATCTGGTATTTGAGTTACATGAGGTAGCCTCAAGTTTGCCATAATGCTTTAGAATAGAGGCTAAAGTGATCATTCTCAGCTAATTACATTTTCTTCAGCTGATTAAATGGAGTTGGCTGCACCCTAATGTTGACAACTTACTTTTTTTCAGAGCATATTGATGAGCGAAAGATCTGCAATGCTGTGATCCCAGAAAAAGATGTTGATGGTTTTCACGTGGTGAATGTGGGGCGCATGTGTCTGGATCAATATTCAATGCTGCCAGCTACACCTTGGGGTGTGTGGGAAATCATCAAGAGAACTGGTAGGGGTCATAAGAGCAACATTTTAAGTGCTGTTCATCTCCATTGCAGTTTAAAGTTGAGTGAGTTTTAACTTCTTTTCCAATCCCATAGGAATCCCAACCCTGGGGAAGAATGTAGTAGTGGCTGGCAGATCAAAGAACGTTGGAATGCCCATTGCAATGTTGCTGCATACCGACGGCAGACATGAGCGCCCTGGAGGTAACAGCTCCACCACATCGTGCTGTGTTCTTGTCAGAGTTTGCAGGCTAGACACAATGGTTCACTAAGAGGGGAGACGCAGAGAAGCCCGTGTGCTGTAGAATGTAATACTGATCAATAGTTTCCTGATTACTGGATCACTGCTCGTCCTTGCAGTCAGGGTGGTGGTATGTACTACAGGCCATGCTAATTTGTGGCTAAAGATTTCATGGCACTTGTAAGGGTAAACACATTAACTGCATTGTCCTTGAGTAAATACATGGGGCACAAGTTTATTGAAGTGATTTCCCCCCTTTCTATCAGTGGTTCGGTAAGAGGACCTCATCCACAACCCACTTAACAATATGGGAAAAGCAATGGTTGTGATCCATAGACTGAACTCATGATCTTTGCAGACTGTAAATCAGTTGAGGATCCTTCAGAGTGAAAAGCTAGAATTTTTCATGTCAAAGCCTGAGAAAATGCTCATTAGGACTAATCTTGCAGGTGATGCAACAGTAACAATATCACATCGCTACACTCCTAAAGAACAGCTCAAGCAACACACGATTCTGGCTGATATTGTGGTAGCAGCTGCAGGTAAGACCATTAAACTCTGCACTAAAGGCAAGATTCCCACAAGAGAGAGACTTCCTGTACTGATGCTGCTTTATATAGGAATCCGTGTACTGAGGATAGCATCAGGTCTTGGTGCGGTGTCCTCCATGTCCCATGTGCAGTTTGTGCTCTGTGAGGCTGGATGGCACTTGCAGAGTCACTCCATGCTGCTGCAAGGAGCAGCCAGAGGGAGTTGTTGGAATGAGGAACTCCCTTCTGATCTCCTGTGTAACAAGCTGTTGCAGCCAAGCCAGGTCGTTAATTTTTAAATGAATGTGGACAATCATTCTCTGATAAATGACTTGCCTGCTCCCACTATCTGAGTGAAAGGGCAACATAATCAAATTGCGAAATTGTAGTGGAAAAACCCTTAAGGCTGTGGACCTATTTTACTATAGCAAGTGAGTGGTTGATGGTGGAGAGTCAGGTTGAGCTGCAATGCTAATGTTCTGTGATATATCATCCAGTAGTTTATGCCATCTGGTTAGATCCAGGAATAGCTCAGATTGTGGGACCTGTGTCCCTGCTCATCTCATCTCCTTTTTCTAGTGCAGTCACAAACAGTACATGTGCAGAGGAGTGTCAATGGGTCTCTGCTTAGCCATGGAACCATGCAGGTGGTGGAAGGCCACTCTAAGTATGGGGCCATCAGCAAAACTTTGGCATGAGTGCTTGGGAGCCATGAGGACACTGGATGAGGAGGAAAGGGTTGAGTGAGCAAAGAATTACAGAACAGAATGAATATCATGTAAAGAAAGACAACGATAGTGAAGGGACTGAAAAAGGTGATTGGGCTGAAGGTGGAAGCACACAAGGAGTGAAATAGTTCATTTTAAGACATGCATTTTTAATGTAGCTCTGTAATGTGCCATCAGGAAAAACAAATGCAGTGTAGAGGTCATTTAATGGCAGTGTTACTGAAACCAAATCGCAGTCACTAAAGACTTAACTATTTCTTCTTAGGGATACTCATGACTTGCGTGACATAAATTTAACTGGCCATTCTAAATGTCTGGTAGTACCTGTTAAGCATGGCCCCACCTCATCAGCTGCTATTTACCCACATCTCTGGCACTGATAGCTATGGACTCTACATGCTCTTGCGGGACTGCCTTCTGTACTAAAACTGAGAATTTTCCCAATAATTTCACTTTTTTCCCCTTTTTTGTAATGTAGTGTTCTTGCATTACATTCACTTGATGACTTTGGCACAGGCCTGTACTAACGCAAGGCAAACATACTGGTTATATAAACTTAAGCACTTCCAAGAACTAAATTTCTATTAATTTTTTAAAAATAAAATATTTTGGTTCTAAGCTACTTGACAGCTCTTTTTGAGGTAAATTTAACTTTCCTACTATTTCCATTTTTTCCTCTTGAAAATTACTTGGATATAATGGACTTTAAAACAAATCAAGCTGTTGATCATTAATCCATAAAATGGAGTAGAATAACTAGTTTATAAAATGCTTTTGATGATAATGCATGATGGCTTGGATGGACATACTTACATTTTAGTTTTGAGAATCTGCTTTTCTGTCTCTTTGCGGTGGGCTTATTGACTAGTTTTACAGCTGTGCGTTTTATTCAGTATCAACTCACCATGGTGTAAGTGGTTGGTGGTTTTTAAATTTCAGGTATTCCTAATCTTATCACGGCTGATATGATTAAAGAAGGAGCAGCTGTTATCGATGTTGGGATAAACAGAGTGCAGGATCCTGTTACTGCCAAGTCCAAACTAGTTGGAGATGTGGATTTTGAAGGTACAGAAGCTGTTTTTTGTATCAACTACTTTAAGAGCATTCAATGTCTTGAGTATTTAGAAGGGCAGGGAAACCCCACTTATGACTGAACTGATTTAGACTGACATTGAGAAGGTCTCTTTCCTACATTGTAGGACAGATCATGAATCTGATCTTGTACCCTACTTGAGAACTACTTTGGGAACAGTGCTTCCTGTGCCATGGTTAAACCATGGGGCAATTGACATGTCGAACATCTGCAGCGTTCAGTCACTTGATCTAACTCCATTTTCACAGCTGCACAGAGAAACCTTTCTCTTAACCTGATAGTATGCAGGATTGACACCTAATTACCTGCTTTGATCATGCAATCAAACTGTCTTTTGAAGAGTTTTACGTAATGTTAGGTTTAGGTAAATGGTGCGTGTGACAGGCAAGAGACAGCACATGTTCAGACTGTTTAAACTCCTCTTAATTTTACACAGAACTGTGCATGGGACTTTGATCGTTGCTGGTTTTGAATTATTCTGCTGATGTGAGTTCAGTAATTACACATTAGTTAAGATGCTTGCATTTTTCATTTCAGTGTAGCCTTTTATGACTTATTAGTGCAGCTTCTCAATAGGACAAAAGTTTTAAAAGCCTGTGTGGTGCACCATTCTCAATTCTAACTCTCCTTCCAGGGGTAAAGAAGAAAGCCAGTTACATCACTCCGGTCCCTGGGGGAGTTGGGCCCATGACAGTTGCTATGCTGATGAAGAATACAATTATTGCGGCAAAGAAAATGCTGAAATCTAAAGAGCTTGAAGCCTTAACTGTTTAATGGTGGACTTATAACATTCCAAATCAACTCCCAAAAACAGGCCGATAGAAATGCAATATTTTTATTTATTGTATAGAAGTGAATTCAATGAGACTTTGAAGTCATGAGATATTTATTTAAAGCATAAGTATACAAATGATTGTATACAAAGGCTTTAAGCATCTAAATACCTAGGTCACTCCATCTGTTTAGTTTGTAATGATTCCCAGTGATGTTGGTGGGGTTTTTATATTTAAACTAGTTACATTTTGAGAAGTCTAAAATTTGCAGGGTGGAGAAAAAGTGCTTCTTATACAGAAATGTACAGTACTCAGTCTTTCGGAGGGTTTCCAATTTGCTAGCTTCTAATATCCTGTGTATCATTCCAGAGTGAAAGAATAATAATCTTCAAAGTAAAGTGCTTTCATAGGTCCTGACATTTGACCACATTTATAGGATTGTTTGCTAGCATTGTTGGACACTAGGGGGTGCAAAATAGTATATCGCATGTTGAGCTCAAGTTATTTTTCTACAAAAAAAAGTTACCCAGGTTTTAAAAACGACTTACAATGGAAAAGCTCTTAAGTCTAACTGCTTGTTCACATCTAGGTAGAAGATGTCTTAGCAAGATTACCTTTCAACCTGTTTGCTCTTAGCATTGAAACAGTTCTCCCAGCTATTGGTATGTAGCTAGACCAATATTCAGTACTGGGCACAAGTTTTCTTTAGCCAAAGAACAGAGGTGGCTGTTGACTCTGCCTTCAATATTTTCTACTACATTGTGAGGCATGAAAATACTTAGTGAATAACCCAGGTTAACTTTGATTAAAAAAAATTATTGAAAAGCTTGGTATTAGGAGCAGTGTTTAACATTCTTGATCATATAGCCTGCCAGTTAAAGTGCTGCAGGGCATTTGGCTCTATATATAGTTGCCTTGGATAACTTCTAGAGAGTTTAAAAGTAATACCAGACCAGGTATACCAACTGCCTAAAAAGAGCTGGGATAGCTTTTTCTCCACACAGCTAAATCACTTCACTTTGGTTCTGGTCAGACAGCCATTACACCAAATGGCTTGGTTGTCTATTCTGGACTAGTCAGACTCAATGCCATTACTAAACTCACTTCCATTTTTGTCAAAGAAGCAGACTGCTTTGCATTCAGATTTTTTTTAAGGTGATAGCTGTCAGCTGTAGTTGGAGCTGCTGCAGCAGAAGTGAACTGTAGTTTAAATTCATTTCTGCTGCTTATCGCTGAGAACTGCACCAGAATTTGTAGAATAGCTTCTTTAATGCTATCAGTACAAAAGGGACTTTTCAAGTTTCTTTCCATCTAAAGGGAATGTGGCTTCATATTAACTAGGATGAAGATTGGATTTACATTTCTTTCTAGACACTTGCCTCGACAGCAAGTCGTGTTTCTTCTGAAGGCAAAGCCGCATACGTGCCCTGGAACGTAGTTTGAAACAACCGGCTCCTGCTGCCAAATCTTGAAGAGGAAGAGACCTTCATTGTGAGCAGAAACATCACTGGCTGCCTTACCTGCTGGAGCTGGGAGTGCCTCTAAGGACTGAAAGCTTGTCTAACTGCAAATGACTGTGCTGCTAGGTCCAAGAACACCTGTTGTCATATAAGTGTTACCTGGATTTCTCCACTAGACTGGTCTTAACAAAAATGCATCCCTCCTATACAACAACTTGCTGAGAGTAAAATTCAGGTTTCATCATGAACATGCTACAAAGTGAAGAGAATTTAATGAGATTTATTGGATTGTTAATAAAATGTAAAATAGCTACTGTATCTAGTAGCTAAGTAGGCTGCTAGTCTGGTACTTTTCAAATCACTTTGCATATACAAAAAAGTGTAAACAGCCTGAGACACTGAAAACTGCATGGATTTAATTAAAACTGATACTGTACTTTATAGCTTCCTTGATTTAAAAGTCAAGCATATATTCTTGTGCTACATGGAACACTTAGCTGAGTCAACAAAGCCTTTTCAATTTGCTTTGAACATTGAAACTGAATGGACGTATTACAATATTAATTACTTTTAAAAAGGTTAATCTATCATGCTTTAGCTACCACAGACAAGACTGATACAAAATAAACTAGAAAATATACAGAACCAAGTTCAAATAATTATTAGGTGTTAAGGTAAAAACTAAGTGGCTGTCACTTCACTGTCAACTGGAGTAATACTGTTTTATTAATCTCACATTCAAAAACAGTCTTGTTGGGTACTCAAGCTAGAAAATTCTATAAATAAGAAACTGAATTCAAGTTTTCTTTTTGCTTAAATATTTACAAAGAACCAGCATCTTTTTCAGTCTAAGGTTCAAAGCAGTTGCAATATTTAACCAGCATTCCAGAACCCCCTGTAAAGTGGACTTTGTCAGAACCAGGGCTTTTTTATCCTAAAAAACCTTAAGCCTACTAGTAAAGATGCAAGCAGGTGGAATTTATAACAAAGCACTGAGGGCTCTCTGCAGTAATCTTAGATAGCTGATATTTTCCAAAAAATAAAAATCAAGTTTTATTCAACAAAACCCTCAAGGCAATTTTTTTGTTGCTTTCCTTTCTGAAAAGTGCAACTATGAGTGAGTAGGTACAATAACATTAACCTTTCCAAACAGTAACAGGTCTTTTAGACATCTGTTTCAGATGGGAGTGAGTTTGCTCTCGAAGTCAGTTCACCATAGGGCAAAACTGCCAGATGCTATAAGCCTGCTATGTACAAGAGCCATGTTTACAGAAGGGGCAATTGTAGAGGAAACAAGGGTAGGCAAAAGAGAGAGTACGGCAGATGCCCTAAGTTTAAGGGTTGAGGTGTTTGTATAAAGATACAAGCTAAAGTGCTGTGAACTAAACTGGTGCAAATACAGACTGAGGTTATTTTGTATTTACATAAATGTAAATGAACTGAATTTCCTGCCCCTTAATGATTTTGAAAGCATGGGGGACTGAAAATCAAAAGTAGAACAGTCTCTTAAAAACAAATTCTTATCTGTGACCAGTACGCAAGGGACTGCTGCACCTTATAATCTGAACTAAGAAAAAGGAAACATGTTTCAAGTCACTGACTTAACCAAGAATGAGACTGGTGTGGAGTTGCAGAAAACTTTTGAGCCCAGTAAACTGGGAAGTGTATCAACCAAACTGTTAATTAAAACTGGCACAAATACACTTATGTATATCACTGCCCCTTCTAGACACAATTTGAGGATGGTTATCTAAGATGCTGTCACCAATCTACTGATCACTTATGTTGAGGCTAAGTAGCAGATAGTTTCCTTTCACCCAAGTTATGGATGAAATTCCAATTCAACACAAGTCCTTTGGTTTCATCCCACGGTTAACTCAGCTGTCTGTAATCCCTACCTCTTTCCCAGTAGCACAGGGGATGGATAAGGCCAGCAATCCAACATTCATTCTAACCATTTTTTAAATGAGGAATTAAGGTTAACTGACAAGGGCATGTAAGTCACTTTCCAGCAGGACTGCTGTTGCTACTCAATTGTCATAGGACTTATTCTAACAGAGAATCCCTCTAGCTCACGTGGCAGGAGCTGGTGCTTTCAGTGCAGGAAGTTCTATTGTCTAGCTGCCTCTGGCATCTACCATAAAAATATCGCAGGCTGTGGATTTCTCCACTCCTGTTTGCTGGAAGGGAAGGGAATTGATTAGATCAGTTAGGGCTCTTCCATCTCTAACCCTGAGATTAACCAAACATTTCACAGCTCATAAGTGCTTCTTACCTTCCAGACAGTTATTTGTGTGTGGCTGGGTTGAGCAAGAGTATGGATGGTCCTTTTGAGGAAGATCTGTGCTGGAGTAGAACATGCTGCAAGGTAAAAGCTGGAAGGTCATTGCCATTGCCCCTGTAATGGTTACCTGTGGGACTTTCATCAGCTGACATGGGTGGGGCCAGCTTTGATGGTTGTGGGTGGGTTACAATGAACCATTATTTCAGTCTGACTGGCCTGGACAATGACTGGCTTGTGGGTGTCAGCCTCTTATACAAGATTCTCCATTAAAAATAGTTACAAAGTCTCCTTAGAACACTATAATTATAACTTGGAGGGGGGGGAGGGCGTGCATTAGTATGAGTGTGGGAAATGACTGAGTTTAGCTTTTTTTGCAAGCCTAACCCCTTAAAATTGCTGTTGGCCCCAGAGAGTGAATGCCACTGGGTAACAGAGTTCCTATAGAAAACACCCCCTCCCTCCCTGCAAGACAGAAGCTGATTTAAAGGGCTGTATTTTTAAGCAGCAGCCAGGGAAGTTTTCCACTTCTAAGCTCGATTCTAAACATTCCATAACTTCCCAAAAGGGGAATTTTTCTTAGCCCTGTTTTGTATACTTTGTGCATTGTTTGCTGCATAGGGTGTATAAAACATGCAGTGAACTGCAGTTTACAGTCCTGAAATGCAGCCCCCCCCCGGAACGTCACAGATTACTGCTCAAGCATTGGGTAGGTGGTGCTCATCTTATCTGTGAATTCCTCCTGGGCCAACTAACGCTAATAGGGGCACAGACTACATGAGAATGGTGGAGTTGAAGCTTGCACCGGAAAGGGCATGACTCTCCACAGCTGGTGATGTCAGGGTCCAGATGCTGAAGGAAGGTGGCCCTGCTATCTTCAGAGTCTTCATTGAAATAGCAACAACCGCCTGGGGCCTAAGGTCCCTTATTACTGCAGGGACCAGAGTCCTAAAGTACCATTTCCACATTTCTTGCATTGCTCTGCAGCTGGCGGTGGTTTCTTGGCCCAACTGAACGGGGTGGAATTCCACAGCAGTTCTAATTTATTATGCTAAAAGCTAATGGAGAAATGAGTCCTGCGGACCAATGATCTCCTCAGTCTGTCACATAAAAAAATATGCCCAATTTTCTTATTTATATATCATCACAAAGGAAGGGCAGTGTGGGACTACAGTGTGGTCTCGCTGCCCATGTCCCGAGGGTGCTTTTCTGTATCACTGTCTTCATAGTCCGACTCCATCTCTATCTTCACCTGGGGCACGGCGCAGAGAGGGTTTCGGGAGTAGTTAAACGCAGGAGATGATGGGCAGGAAATCTTCAGGTGAAGCGTAATACTAGAACGGAAGAAAGCACAAAAAAGGGATTACTAATTCATGAGGCTGGGTTAAAGCCATAGTCTTTTATCTAACGAAAGCTCAGCACAAGGAAGTCCTGAGATCTAGTCCCACCTTTGACGCTGGCTACCTATAGCTTTGGACACGTTCTTCATGGCTCATTTTCCCCATCTGTATAATGAGGATCTTGTGGGGAAACCTGGATCCAGCTGTCAGTCTGTTCAGCTTGGGCCCAGCTCTCCTATAGAGAATACCGAACTCACAGAGTTCTTGAGAGAACTAGTTAAGATTTGTAAAGTACTTTAAGAGATGAAGAGTCCTGTATATTAATTCTTCATGTTCAAATCTTTCAAAACACCTCCGAGCTGCTCCATGTTTTCTGAGCTTGGGAGGCAGAATAAAAGGAGAGAAATCTAATAAGAAAGAAGGAAATGCTGTTCCCATGTGTTTTAATCTGTGGAATTTACAGCTACAGGATATGATGAGACAGATAATGTTGTTGGCAAGCTGTTCAAAAATGATTACACACCTAATAGTAAGGCTGTTAAACTAAATATGATCAGAATTTCAAGGGCTATTGATTCTCTACCAAATTCATGGCCGTGAAAAACACATCACAGACCATGGAATCTGGTCTTTTGTGTGCTTTTACCCTATTCTATACAGATTTCATGGGGGAGACCAGTGTTTCTCAAATTGGGGGTCCTGACCCAAAAGAGAGTTGCAGGGGGGTTGCAAGGTTATTTTAGGGGAATCGTGGTGTTGCCACCCTTACTTCTGCACTGCCTTCAGAGCTGGGTGGCCAGACAGCGATAGCTGCTGACCAATGGCCCAGCGCTGAAGGCAGGAGACAGAAGTTAGGTTGGCAATACCATACCAGGCCATCCTTACTTCTGTGCTGTGGCTGGCGGCAGCTCTGCCTTCAGAGCTGGGCTCCTGGCCAGCAGCTGCCACGCTCTGGCCACCCAGCTCGGGCAGCAGCAGCAGCAAGGGTAGCAGCATTGCAACCCCCCCTTCAAAAACCTTGTGACCCCCCCATATACACACACACACTCACTCTCTCTCTCTCTCTCTCTCTCTCTGTCCCTTTTTGGGTCAGGACCCCTACAATTACACCACCATGAAATTTCAGATTTAAATAGCTGAAATAATGAAATTTACAATTTTTAAAATCCTATGACCGTGAAATTGACCAAAATGGATGTGAATTTGGTAGGGCCCTGACAATAGGGCACCAGCTGATTCATAGTTGAACAACAATGCTCATCTGCCCCCTTGGCCAATGAAGTCCTGCGTGTCTCAAGCTGGGACCCAAAAATGATGGCTTCCACGACTGGGCACTTCTGAAAATTAGGCCAGAATTTTCACAACACACCTCAAAGACAGGCAAGTATCTCCAATATACAGAGGGCTAAACAAGGCCGTAGAGAGGCTACGGTCAATGGGACTTGTGCACCTAAGTCATGGAGCTACCTTTGAAACTCCCACCCAAGAACAACAAGCTTTAAGCTTTCGTAGGCACTAGACAATCAATCAACAATGCAGATCCCATTGGCTGGAGAAATTCCATCACTGTGAACAAAACCTCAGCATTTAGACAGGGCACATGTGAAGTGGAGATAAACGTGTCTCACTGAGTGCAAATGTCAACCAGACATATGCACACGAACCAGAGCACTAGAACTGACCCCAAACCAAACCTCCAGATGCCAGGAGAGTCTGTGGGGCTGAAAGCATCCTGGCCTGACTGGTAAATGGACCAGACCAAAACAAACAAACAAAAAAAGGCCAAGGCATCAGTCAACATTCCATGGTACGATCTCTCATGAACCACCAGGTCTAGAAACTCGTGCTATACCCCCTCACTATATGTCTGGGAATGCCAGCTAACCACTGCACTACAGAGCTAAGTGTACTAGCTTCAAGGTGCTAGAAATGTGAGACTCTAAGAATCACACTGTTCAGTTTGCACGACCACTGCATCTAACACTTGCAGAGTAGCATCTTGGCCTGTGACCCAGCCAGTCAACACCTGCACCAGGGCAAAACAATCCTGGGGAAGAGCAGATCCAAACTCTGTGACTGGCCCACCATATTTATTGTAGGCCCAACCAAAACCCAGGATCTGAACTTTGGCGGATCTGGACCTGAATGGTACAGCTCAGGCCCATTTCTTTCTATTTCAGTGTTGCCAACTCTCATGATTTTATTACAAGTCTTGGATACCTGATGTTTTCCCTAAAGCCCCAGCTCCTGGAATCATGTGATGAGGTGAGAAGCTCAGCTTTCATTAAAAATAGAGAGGAAGTTTCCAGTGCTCATGGCTGAGGAGAAAGGCAAGAAAACATGAACCTAAAGACTCTTAAGAGCAGAAAGAAAAACAAACCCAAAATTATTTTAAAAAATCTCATGCTTTTTAAGCCAATTCATTGTTTCAAGTGCCGGGGGCTGGCAGTGCTGCTATTATGCAGATGAGGGTGCTCTGAAGTGAAAGGGCTTCAGTATCAGGGTCAAAACCTTCACGTGAAGCAGGAGTAAGAAAGGAGGAGACAAGAGAACTGGAGGTTCAACAATCCAATGAATTCAAAGTGGGACACAGTTATTCAGTCAAGTAAGGGGATGGTCTTCCCAAAACGAGCTCCCAAAATCCAGCTGTAGGGTTGCCGCACGAAGCATTAAAGTTTTTGGAAGGGAAGGATTGGGGACAGGATTTCTACAGATTTAGAGCCAGCTGAAAATTGCCATCAAAGGAAGGATCAAAGCCAATGACAATCTGGTCCGTCCCCCATGCCAATGCACAATTATTGCATATGGGGCATTTCCTAGTGCGCTGTTACAAATGGCCCAAGTGAAGGGGCTCCCAACCCTTTACCCTCTGGAGAAGATTCCACATCTCACTGCTGGGAAGCTCTTCCCTGGTATTCAGTCTAAACTTTCCCTTTTGTAACTCCATTCCATTTCTCCTGGACTGGTCTGCTGTACCGCACTAAGAGTTGAAGGAAAATATGAAGAAACCTTCACCTTATACTCAGATTTGAAGGAGGAAAAAAACTGGTACTTAATAAAACAAAAAAAACTTAAAACTTTTCTTGTTTCCTTTTTAGGCATTTTCACATAGACTACCCATCTACTCAGTCTTACACATCCAATCATCCCTCCGGGTATTTATTCTACTATCTACAGGCATTTGTAGCATTAGCTCTCTAGATTCATTCTGGGACCACCTCTGTTAAACTACCAGAGGGGAAAGCGTCTTCCTGGGGTATTTCTGGCCCAACAGGGAAGTGGAGATACTAGAATTTTCACAAGTGAAAGTTCTCTCCAGCAAGAGTTCCTGCCCAAATTTTGTTGAGCTCTGGATAATTCAGCCCAGTATCTGATCTGACCTGACCTCCAGGCCTTTTGAACTTTGCCCATCCCACTAAAACACCTGCATGTCACACTACACCACCTGATTAGACGCATTTGCAGCGTGGCCCCTGGAGTGTTAGCTGCAGGGAGAGCAGAGAGCGCCACTGGGGCTTAGTTCTCCATGTGCCACTTTGGAAAGTGGAGAGATATTGCATGGCAAGGGGGATGCAGAAATACCAGATTACCTGCCCGTGCCAGATACACAGACAGCCTGGGGAATTTGCTATGTCAGAGGTCAGTACTCAGCAGAGCAAGGAGTAGGAAGGACATTTTTTTCCATTATGTGCAGCATTCTGCAACCTCTCAGGTGCATTATGGTTGGGCTTCCCCTTCCCCCCACTCCTTTCTCTGAATGATGAGATCTGCTCTGGCGACATGGTCTGCTCTGATCTGCTCCGACAACAACCAAACCGTAGAGGACAGGAATAGCAGGGGTGCTGTGGGTCAGCTCCAAGCTCTGCACGGGAGCCCTGGGCTGGAAGAGCAGGGGATTCCATGAGTTAGCACTCTGGTGCACTGGCAGGGGGACTGACACAGCAGGAGGGGCTACAGATTAAGGTTGTGCCCCCCCCGTTTTGATGGCATCAGCGGTTGTGAACAGCGTAATGAATGAATAGTATGTGGGTGCTGGGTGCAGCATTGGTGGCCTGTGATATGCAGGAGGACAGACTAGGTGATCTGGTGATTCTTTCAGGCATTAAACTCTGTGACCTTTAATAGCTGTGACTTAAATGACCAGGCTGTTTGGAATCTGTCTGGCAACCCAGTAACTTTTGGAGAGAAGACCCAATGCTCCTCTCGCCTGCACCCGTCGGTGTGGCTGTTTACGCTGGGGTTTTAGTGCTTTTGCCCAGGTGTATCTGCAATTCCTTCGTGAAAGTGGGCTGCGCCGATGTAAAACGTGCCGCTGGGATAAATTTTCCATGATGACGTTCTTAGTAAAGCTTAACTGCTACCCCCTAGTGTCCACTTTTTGTGATAAACAACAACATCTACACAACAAAAAGGACAGGGGGACTTATGGCACCTTAGAGACGAACAAATTTATTTGAGCATAAGCTTTCATGGGCTACGTAAGCTTATGCTCAGATAAACTTGTGAGTCTCTCAGGTGCCACAAGTCCTCCTTTTCTTTTTGCGGATACAGACTAACACGGCTGCTCCTCTGAAATCTACACAGCAGTGCAATTTAGGTATGGGACCGACATATCCCTATTCAGGGCCAGTTCTAGAGGGTGGGCGAGTGGGTTGCCAAACCAGCTGACTGCCTGGTTTTAATTTTTGCTGCCACTGAGGAAGGTGGGGAAGGCAGGAGGGGGCTGAAAACGTTTTCCACTCTGGCTGGCAAAACAGCGAAGGCCGCTCATGTCTCTGTTCACCCTGATTCAAGTCAAATTTTCTTTAGCTTTGGGAGAACAGCGCCACTTCACTCTCTCTAATGAGGTTAAACAAAGCAGTGTTTAATTAGAAAAAAATCCAAAAAATTTCCATACTTATGTTACAAATGAGACCTTGATTATGAAATCAGAAAGAAAAAAAAGTCTAATTTGCACCCTTTGCTTGTTGCATGTCTCTCATTTGGGATAACGAAGACACACCGATCAATTTAATTTTTGCTAACAATCAGGTCCTAATCAATTTCACCTTCAGGATCTCATGCATCAAATCCAATGCTGCAATCTTTAGCGATGTAAGGGGGATCCTGATTGGCTTTAAAAAGCCAAGTTTCCATTAGAATTAAAATTAAAAAACGTTATGGAATCATTTGTACCAGCCTTTTTGTTTAATAAAAGCTCCATTTTTACAAAGTCCAAAACAACGAGACCAACTTAATGGGACAGCGTCCCTTTGCATAAAAGTTCCATCTGATCTTCAAGATGTCATGTTTCAGAACAGATTCACTGGGGTTACGCCAGGGCTGAATTTGACTCATTGCGTTTCAGAACCTAGCTAATGACATATATCTGGAATGGTGCAGCAAAAAACCTACAATCCAGAAAAATCTGAATGCAAGATTGATGTCTTATCTTTAACTCTCACTGACTCCCGTTTGGAAGTTTAATCTCTGCTTACCTATTTCCATAAGTCACAACATCCAAATATAGTCACACTAATGGGAAAAGACTGCAAGGTGCTGTACACAGAAAGAAGATCCTGACAGCTGGTACTACAAACGCAGTACACACAGGAACATCAATCCCCATTTTCTTTGTGGGCATCACGAATTTCATGCTGGTGGGTACACATCAGCCTATTTGATAACTGGGATTGGTGGGTAGAATCAATCAAAGCAAAGGAAGGGGGCCCAAAACCTAGAAATCAACAGATCATAGGGGACCTAAAAAGAAACAGCAGGGACCGGTATGCAGGTCACAGCCCTGGAGGTTAACGTCCTCTTTTTATCTGCGGAACAGGTGTAGTACTGACAAGCTTTTCTCACCCTGCCATGGAAGGACTCACTAGCCAAGAGAGGGAGGAAGCTCAGTCCTTGGCTTCTCTACCAATGAAGGGATCAATTCATATGAATTGTCTTGACAGTTTTGAAATCAGACTGAGATCTCCCAGCTCTGCCAACACAGGCACCGCGGGGCCAGCAGACAGCAACAACCTGTGCTGGATTTGAACCAGCATCATACACTTGGTCTGGTCACAAGGGATTGTATGATTCAGGGGACCCAGAGACTTTTATTTCCTACTCTTTGTTATCGACAGACACACATCCAACCCCCTAACTGAACTCAGACATCATTTCTCCAACAGACTGTAGCAGTGTGTTGGCTCATTCAAGCACCATCAGCCATGGTACGGGGCCACAGACAGTCTGTTTTCTAGACTAACCCGCTGGCCGATGCAGTGCTTCCTACAGCAAGTTAAACAGTGCTTTTAGCTAGCTTTGTTTTAAATCTCCCAAGCAAGGGGGTGACAACTGCCCTTGAGAGGCAATTTATACCCTTTAGGGTATGTTCTCTCAGCAACGATGGGGAGTTATTGCAGCTTGTGCAGACATACCCAAGCTAGCTTCAATCTGCTTCGCTGCTCTGGTATCCAAACTAGCTAGATTCAAGCTGGCTCAGGTATGTCTGCTCAAGCTGCAGTCGTACCTCGTGACCCATAAATCACCCCGTTGCAGAAGGCAAGCACAGGCCTGATGCCCCATTTAAACCCCTGTGATTCAAGTGGCCGATGGGCCCTTGTGCTGGCACAAGGGTGAATTCCATCCACAGAGTCCATTGTTAGAATTTTTCTTCCTCCGATCAGCCTGAGTTTTCCCTCCCTTCACTTCACCCCGTTGCTCCTAACTAGACCCTCTCCTGTTGCCTGAACCAATTCTGATTCCTGCCTGGCGTTCACATTCATGGAGGTGCCTGATAGGGCTTATCACTGGGGAGGGATGATGAGCCTGTTAAATGTCATTTACCTGCGATCCAAGTCTGAACCGTTAGGAGAGGAATCAGAACGCAAAGCTCCAGCTGGAGGACCTCTTTCCTGAAGGGAAACACAGATGCATATGAAACCGTTTCAGGGTGAGGAAGGAACAAAACAAAACAAAAAGAAATCCCCAGAGACCATCCCATTTAGAGGGAAAAGACTGGCACGGCACTGCACAGCTGGGGCTATGCAGGAATGAGTCCTGAGACCTCAACCATAAGTTCAGTGAACTTGCATGGTCATCTCCCTCCACCCACTAATTGGTGGGAGAAAAAAAACCATTGGAAATACTGCATTTTTAAATGACTACGGCAACAAAGGGGAGTGAGCGTCAAAGGCGCAAATGGGAGTTAAGCATCCAACTCTCTGTTGAACGTCGAGGTGCTTTTGTGTCTTTGGAAGTCATCCCCTAATTGATGCAAAAGGGGAGATGTGGATACAGAAATCTGCTGCTTTTAGCTCTTTGATTCCGGATTCATCTGACTAGGTTTTCCTTTTAAAATTTTAAACTCACTTTTTCGAGCATGGAAGCCTCAAGTTAGGTGCCTAAATAAGGATTTAGGAACCCAAGTAAAATGTTGCTGAGAGCCTCTAGCAGCCATCGATTTCAATGGGAGTTGTGGGAGCTGAGAAACTCTGAAAGTCCAGCCACTTTTACTTAGGTGGCAAAATGTGGGTTTAGGGAGTTTAACTTTGGGCAAATAACAAAAAACTAGAGGAAAAGCAAAAAGGAGCTAAATCTCTGCTAGTTAGTAAATGTAGGGTCAAAGGGTGCAATTTTCAAAAGTGTCTCTGTGACTTAGGAGCCTAAGTGCCATTTTCAAAAGTGCTTTTGGAGTTAGGAGCCTAAATTGCATTGAAAGTTGATGGAAGCTAGGCTCCTAAATCACTTAAGTGCTTATTCTTTGGGGGCAAATCTTGATCCCATTGAAATCACTGGCAAAACTCTCCCTAACTGCAATGGGAACAGGATTCCGCTCAAAGAATTGGCATTGGTTTCCTCACAAACAGGAAAAATAAATCCACCAGCTAGCCACAAAATCCACACACTGTAGGCCTGGGGTTCAACCTTTCAATCCAGATGCAAACTGCTCCCAAGTTCAGGGTTGCTGGGATCCTCTTGATGGAGAGCCACGAAAGAAAGGCATGTTTATCAGACAAAAGGGAAGGGAAGTTCAGCGCACGTCACAATTCAAATCGCTGGCTTTCCTGCTGAGATTGCCAATGATGATGCTGGACTCTATCCACTGGGAACAGAACTAGACTCTTAACTTCTCTTTTATAGGCAAGAAAACACCCCTCAGATGGTATCAGCTCTGCATCTCAATCTAGCCAGGCTGGCTTCAAACCTGTCTCAAGCCCAAAGGCCCTGTGTAGCCTATTGCCAACCCACTGATCAGTAGAATTTGTCTCTACAAGGCTTGCAACAAAAATGGAGGCCAATTGCCTCAGTGACACTTGAAGGACAACAGATCAGAGGATTGATACTGAAGGAGTTTCACTCTTGGAGAACGGACTTGGGAGAGTCCGGGCTCACTGGAAACAGGACTATTTAGAGAGCCAATAAATATCCTGAATCTCCATCTAAATAGGAACCGGAAGCCATAAATGGGGTGCCATTTGGATAAAGCCTGGAGTCCGCTTGAGTTGCCGACAATGGCAAGTCCCAATTCACTTCCAACAGAAGATTAAATGTTATGGTTAAAGTTTTCAAAGCAGCCTAAGGCAAAGAGGTGCCCAAATCCCACTGGGAGTTGTGACCGTAAGTACTTTAGTCCTTGTGAAACCCCAGAGGAGACTGTCCCATACAGCGACCATGAGGAAAGAGAGAAGGAACCGTAAACAAGGACAGCTACAGAGAACCAGACATGAACACTGACCATTTATTTCTCTTCCAGGAGAAGTAAAGGCCTTTCCCTAATATCCCAGCAAAAGCTGTGACAGGCCATGTGTCAGGATACCACAGTGTGGAATAATTTATTGGTTCTAAGAAGTTCAGCCTCCATATGGCTGACATCAGAGGAATCTCATAGGATAAGGTGGATCAGATGGACATGAGTGGCCAAAGACAGGACAGTAACTGAATTTAGAGCCGGTGCATCTTACGCCTTCTGCTGCGCCTCTCAGTGTGCAACCTACACCAACTTAGACATGTTGATGGGTAACTTAACACTCCCCAGACATCACCACATCTGGAATTTGCTCACTGAGCCTGAGGGATTCCAAGAGGGCGAGTCGAAGATGGTGGCGATCACATACTGAGGAGACCACACAGTAAATGATGCCGGCTTTAAGTCCTCAGACTCCACCTCGGAACCTGGCTCTTTGAATTTTGGGCCAGCCCTTCCCCTCGCAGGGCAGCGGAGTTGGCAATTCCCAGTACAAGCACTGCCAGTAACTGGATGCTCTGTGCCTCAAGCCCACTCACATACAAGAGAGATGGACGCAGCTAACACCATCGGGGAGGTTGGAGTGGAGCGGAACTTGGGAACATTCAGAAGCAAGCGTTGGCTCTCCACCAGTCTCCCCCAGAAAAAGGCACATTCCAAATAAGCCAGCCCCCTTTCCCAAAGTGAGAAGATAACGTTTTATTGAAGGACTCAGGAAACCCTCTGACTTGCAGTAGCCTGGGACAGGAGAGACAGCAGAGGGGGAGGGCTATTAGCACAGCTGGCTTTCAAGAACGCACGAGTCTATTGTGCACAAATGCAGCTTTGGTTAATGATTTCCCTGGGCTGTCACGGCTTCCTGTACCAGGCTGCAATGACAGAGGGGACAGGCCCAGAGAAGACAGAGTGAACATTTCCCCCAAAAGGACCTGTCATTTCCGGTGCTGAGCACCCGCAGTTCCAACAGAGCTCGGCATGTGCCCAACACTCCTGAAAACCACGTCTGAGGTGCCTGAAGTTGGGTAGCCAAAATCAGAGGCCCCTTTGGCTGCTGGTCATTTGCCTGTCGTCCCATAGGGAGACGGTAACTAGAACCCAGGTCTCGTGACTCCCAAACCGTCTGGCATGTTTGAATCTTTAACAGCAAGCAGCAGTTTCCACTTTACCAGTGCACAATGAGCAACACTGTACACCCATTAACAAACAAAATTCTCATCCCCCCTGCCATGGGGCAGCTAAAGTGTTATCCTCTGCATATTTACACATGGGGAATAGGCACAAGAAGGTTTGTTCTCCATCCAGGTTCTGATAAATGCACCCATTGCTATGGGAAAGTGACTTGCCTAAGGGCATGCAGTATGTCAGTATCAGAGCCAGGATTAGTACGACGGAGTTCCTGGCTCTTGGTCCGCCTGTGGGCTGGTAACCCCAGAGGAACAGGTTCTTGAGAGAGGTTTCTGGCATTTCTAGGCCAGAATGCGGAGTTTTCAGGCAGCAAAACAATTTTAAAATCAAGTTTAGATCTAAAAAGCAGCTGATGGATCCGTGTGTGTTCTTTTCCTCAAGCCTGTTTGCGGACCTCTTATCTAGACATATCTACAGCTTCAAAACAAGCCAAGCCAAGCACCTGCTTTTGGTTAGACTTTGATTAGTCGCAAAATAGAGCAAGTTGTCGAGGGTTAGTAAATGGTAGTAACGTTGGAACCTAAGCACTGTACTTACTGGTAATGCAATGGATACCATTTTGGGGGTCTGATTGGACGGGTTCCATTGGGATCTTTATAACTGAGGGAGTTGGGAACCGAGGCTGGGAAAAAAGCGGGAAGAGCCAGTGAATACATTGATTCATACAGACGTGTCCAGGGTTAGCATGCCTGAAAACATACTCATGCTGATGAAAATACAGATGCCCTTCCGCATTAAATGAATCTTTCTTATGCATATGGCAGAAGGCCAGGATCTTCAAAGGAGTCTAAAGGATTGGGTACCCAGTTCCCATTGAAAATCCTACCCTAGACATCTATGTATCTATTTGCATGGTGGAAAGATCAGCATCAGTAACACTAATTAACATTAATCAGGGTAATATGTTGCCTGCCCATAACAATAGCTTACATTTCTAACACCATTCATGCTAAAGGATCCCACATAAACTACGGTAACACCATTTATCTGAAATGGTTTGGGGACATCAGAAACATCTGGCTATAACAAGGGGATTGGATGAGAGAGTTACATTACTTGGTAAATAATTCACAAAAGTGGACATAACTAAGATTAGAATAAGCAAGATTTCTGGGTCAGAGATATTTGGATAAATGAGATCCTCCTACACACAGAAGTCACCCTCCACTAAAATGCAGCCAGCTCTGGGGGGAGGTGAGGGGAATGTGGCAGCTCTTTAACAATAAATGCTATGCATCAGTTTAAGACAGGCAGTGAAGAGAACCATTGTATCCAATTCAAACGGCAAGTGGAGACTACATAGGTAGAATCAATGGGGAAATAAACCACATAGTTTGTAAAGCTCGGATGTGTCTACAAAATTTCATCCAGATACTTAAACACAAGGAGTTTGGTGATCAGTTTATGCCCAAAAGCATAAACCCTGATGGCCCTTGTAACTTTTACCTTAGCTAGTAATATAACTGTCACTGCTAGTTTTAGTCAAATCAATGCCTCCTCCTTTGAGTCTTACGGAGACAATTGCTTCAATACTATCCTGCAGAGGTGAGTTCCACAGGTTAATTATGCATTGAATTAACAAAGCAGGTCTTTCTATTCATTTTAAGTGCGTTGTTTTTGAATTCATTATTCTCTTGAGTCTCCCACCTGACTGAAGTCCTTCCCTTGAGGCTTCTAATCATTTTGGTTGCTAGGACTTTTGAGGATGAGGTGACCAAAACTGAACACAGCATTCAAAACATATTTGAAATCATCCTTTATCCCCAAACTGCTCACCCAGGCCCCTATTCGAGACAGCACTTAAGTCCCAGTGAAGTCAAAAGGACTTAAGCACATGCCTCAGTGCTTTCCTTAATCGGGGCCCCCAGTAGGTGCTCTCCCTCACCCTTCCCAAGCATGCTGACAGGCAGCCACAAATGGGACACTGGGTGCCCAAGTCCAGTTGAAGCCGGGTGCCAACTGCCCTTTGTGACTCTCCTTTTTACGGGGTAGTGTAGTTGGAGGGGTTCATTGGCATTCAGTACCCAAGAGTCCTTTCTGTTCCTGGCCCTTTGCTGACAGTCCAGCCATCAGATTTTTGGTTTCCCTTCTCTTCCATTTATACAACACGAAGTGGTTCTAGTCACGGTTGCATTTTCGCCTTAAAAGTTCTTTATGGGAAGTGCAGCTGTCTCAGTGATACGGTGAGAAGAAGAATCCACAGGAGGGGTTCCCTTAGCTCCCAATCTCTATCCATAACTCTGCTCAGGATTTTCAAGGCTAAAGCTGGTGTTTTGTTAGTTCAGCCACGTGCTTTTATTACTCAGGTGACGCAGACAGTAGACCAAGTTACTGTGGAACAGCAAAGGGCTCTAGACAGCCCTTGAGACATGTCACTTGTGCTAACGGATGTTATGCACGTATCCTCATTGTGGGGATAATGGATTTGCAAAGCCTGGAGGTTGTTTATTGTAACCCTGCAACAACATTGGAGAGACTTGGAACTAGGTTGCCAACTTTCTAATCGCAAAAGAACGAACACCCTTGCCCTGCCCCCTACCCCACCCCTTCTGTGAGGCCCAAGCCTTGCTCACTCCAACCCCCGTCCCTCTATCGCTCGCTCTTCCCCACCCTCACTCGCTCATTTTCACCAGGCTGGGGCAGGGCATTGGGGTACAGGAGAGGGTGAGGGCAGGGACTCTGGGCTGAGGCCGGGGTGCAGGTTCTGGGGTGCAGCAGGGTGCTCTGGGCTGGGGGATGTGGAACAGAGGGGTCTGGAGTACGGGAGGAGCTCTGGGCTGAGGCAGGGTGTTGGGTGTCAGAGGGGGCTACGGACTCTGGGCTGGGGGTGCATGTTCTGGAGTGGGGCCATAAATGAGGGGTTCAGGTGCGGGAGGGGGCTCTAGACTGGGGCAGAGGTGCGGAGGATGTGGGCTGCGGGCTCTGGGAGTGAATTTGGGAGAGGGTAGGGATTCTGGGCTGGGGCAGGGGGTTGAGGTGTGGGAGGGGGTGTGAGGAACAGGATCTGGGCGGCGCTTACCTTGCAAGGCTCCCCGGAAGTGGCAACATGTCCCTCGGCTGCAGCTCCTAGGCAGAGGTGTGGCCAGGCAGGTCTGCACGGTGCCGCCACCTGCAGGTGGCGCCCCAACAGCTCTCATTGGTCGCGGTTCCCAGCCAATTGGGGCTGCAGCCAGCGCATAGGGTAGGGACGGCACACAGAGCCCCTCTGGCCGTCCCTCCGCCTAGGAGGCCAGAGGGACATGTCGCTGCTTCTGGGACCGTGCAGAGCCAGGCAGGGAGCCTGCCAACCCCACCAACCGGACTTTTAACAGTCCGGTCAGTGGTGCTGACCGGAGCCGCCAGGGTCCCTTTTTGACCAGACATTCTGGTCGAAAACCAGACACCTGGCAACCCTACTTGGAACACAAATTGTGTTCCAAGTGTGGTTCTACTCAAAGAGTGACTGTGTAAGAGATGGTACCACCTTAGCAGATCTGCTCCCTGTTTGTGTTGAGCCCTGCTCAATTTAGTACTATAAACAGGTATTTACTGATTTTGATTCCCGTTATCCCATCGGAGCCAACCCGACCCCGAGAGAGAGAGCTGGATTGTATTGCTTCTTCTGCATCATCTACAGAATTGTTTAAATTGCAATCAGTTGCATTTGGGGCTCTTCACAGAAGGTCTGCACAGGTATCCGTGAGGGGAAAATGTGGTTTTATTCCTGGGAGATATGCAAGAGAGACCCTGCTTGACTCTCAGTTTCCAGTTGCAAGCTTTGGCAGGTTGAAAAAAACCAAAAAACCTTCTCAACTTGGAAACTGAGCACACTGAATCTGCAAATCAAAGAGACAGGACCACCACCACCTACCTCTTCTCAAACACCTTTCATGAGTAGATCTCAAAGCGCTTTTCAAAGGAGGTCTGTATTGTTCTCTCCATTTTACAGATGGGGAAACTGAGGCATGATTAACATGGACCCTCACAATACCGTTTGGACAGAACTATTTTTCAGAACAGAACTGCTGTGCAAGTGGGAGAATCCTAAGGGCCTTATCTGAGCACTGGAACCAGTGAGTGACATTAACATCCCTGAACACCTGTAACACTAATGGACTGTAAGCCCCTTGCTGTTCCTCTCAAGCATGGACACACCTCATCCTCACTCTCCTCTTCCCCTTTGTTGCCTTTCTTCTTCTTCTTCTTGTCGTCTTCCTTCTTTTTCTCCCTCTCGGGGATGATGTTATCAATCCAGGCCAGGTCGTGTTGGGAAAAGACGAAATCCAGCATTTTCCTCACTAAGATTAAGGCTAAAATCTAAGGGGGGAAAGGGAGAGAGATTTAAACCACCACTGCCAACATGGACAGAACAGATCCAGATTCATGTCTAGAGTCCATTGAAGAAAACAGGACAGACTCTGACTTGCGCTATAGCGACAAAACACAGTAGGGAAGGGGCAGCTGCGGGGCCGACCAGTGCAGAACAGAGAAGGGGGCCTGGAGCTTCTGGCTGCGGGCACCAAGACAAGTGGCTGTCCCCTCAGGACACGCTATGAAACCTTGGCAGCCCCAGAGAAAACCGTGGCTGGTTACATGAAACACTCCCCATGAGGGAAACTTTATGGAATGTAATCTATCTGCATCAGAAGTACTGAATGACTGGAACCAAGGGATTCAAGGTATGTCAAGCCCCAGGCTGACACCTCCTTTCATCTTGGGAGAAGGCACCTGCTAATACCGGTCACTTTGTGGAGTGCTGACGGCATCCCAGGAAGATGAGCTAGTCTCTTTAGTCCCAACTCAAGGATATGGTGAAAGGCTGAGCTTTAGGGGGAAGCTGGGAAGACCTGCTGAGAGAAGGCTTTTGACACTCAGAAAAACAGACCTGCTGCCTTAAGGCTTTGGTCTCTATTTAAAAATAAAGACAAAGCCCAGGAAGATCAGTGGTTGTATCCCTATTGGGGATGGAGCGGAGGGGACCGCATGGGGACCCCAGCTGCTCACCCCCTCCCCACACCAGCTGTCCCGAGGAACCCCCGAGTTTGTGTAGCAGCCCTACCATCACAGGGAAGATGATAGCCGCCACAGTGGACTTCAGGATCCAGAGGATGGCTAGGCAGACGATCTGCACCAGGGTGAAGAGGTGGATCCGGCGCAGCGGCACGTGGCGAAGGAAGGCATAGTCAGGCTGGTGCTTGGCTGGCATCAGGAAGAGCTTGCAGCGGTCCCAGAACTGCCAGAGAAAAGGCGTGCGTTATTCGCCATCCTCGAGGAAAGGCTGAGCTGGGCTTGGTTCTGAAACGAGCAACTGTCAAGAGCTGGCTGGAGAGAAGAGTGCTGCACGGACACCTGCCAAAGGTTTTGGCTCAGAATGGTCCTTACTTGGCCCCAAATTAGGCCAACTTCCCATTAAGCCCAATGGGAGATTTGCCTGAATGAGGACTTCAGCTCTAGCCCAATGGGCTGCTACACAGATTTCAAGGCTAGAAAGGACCATTGTGATCAGCTAGTCTGACTTCCTGCATTACACAGGCCAGAGAGCTCCCCCTGAATAATGCCTTCTGAACTAGATCAGCTCTTTGTATCTTTTACACAATACGCTCTCAACTGGAGAGGGTCATTGCAATCCAGTTTGTGGTTGCACATGTTAAGACTGGGTAATTAGATCTCATGCTTCAGGGCATATACTGATTGTCACTAGAGGTCAGGAAGGAAATCCAGCCCCTGTCTACCTCCCTGCCAAATGTATCACCGCATGCCTGGCCAAGTGAATTATTGGATAGGAGTTGGGGGGTTACCTTCCTCTGAAGTCTCTGGTATTGATCACAGCTAGAGACAGGAGTGGGATCTGCTCTGGAAATCCCATGTTCTAATTATATAAAGCATTAGCCAGGAAAATGATCTTTCCTTGTTTGTGCAGTGCTAATACTCAACCGTGGTTTCCACAAACAAACTCTTCAGTTCGTATTTATGCTCTCGGGAGCTAAAGATACAGCATCTGCCTTAAAATAGTTTCTGTAGTTCAGACCATATTAACCTGGAGCCTAATTTTATCTTAAATATAGCTTTAACCTCCATTTCAAAAACAAAACAAACAAACAAACCAAAGTGATTAAGACTCAATGGGCCAAATTCCTTTCCGATAACACCATTACAGTCAGTGACATTACACCAGGGATAAACTCTGTCCCACTATGTTTAAACTGAAATTATCCTTTGGGTTAACATGAATTGGATGTCAAAAAATTCTGGTCATTTAAGGAATTGCTGTGTATCCTCCTGTCCAACTGACCCAACCCCACTTCTATCCATCCACCCTTCATCACTGTAGTATCTGAGCACCACAAGAGCTGGGACGTCTGCATTCAGACACCACCCTCCAGAGCTCAGAGTGAAGCAAGAGGGCGTGATTCCCACGGAGGGTTTTGCTGCATCCCTGGGTCCACAGCCAGCTAAAATCCAGCAGCGCTCACAGAATGTTCTTAGAATGGCCAACTCTTGGTCCTGAGCCAAAGGCTCTTTTCAAGCTCAACGTTTTAGTAATTTCAAATATGGCCTGATTAAATTTCAGCCTCTCCTTTCCAGGAACAGCCCTTAATCAGTCAGGCAATAAACCATGTGTCTGGATGAGTCAATCTTCCTGCACTTTGTAGGACCTTCACTCGGTCTCCAGGTTCTGTGTCAGTTTCCCAATGCAAGGCAAGTCTGCAGCTGATGGGGAGGGGTGGATTATGCGCCAGAAGGGAAGAGGGATTTGAGAAAGCTTTTCCACCATAAACAGAATGATGTTCATAGCATCAACCACTGCCCTCTCCCTCTCCCCAAAGCAGAGCTTTCTATAACTGAGGAAGGGCAAAGAGCCACAGACTCCCTGAAATTCTCTTATAGCCAATCTTCCTTATTTGGAAAATGCTCAGATACTATGCTGATGGGCCAAACCCTAAAACGGCAGAGGTCCCAAGAAGTGTATCTCATTTACTCTCAGTGCTCCGAGCCTCCCCTTGACTACAGATCTCTCTAGCAATTGGAAGGACCCAATTCCACCCTTAACCATACAGGAGGTTGCCCGTGGGTCCATTCAGTTTCCTCTGCAGCTAATAGCATTGGTATAAGCAATAGACGAGTCAGTTTTTATCAAAGTGGTGTAAACAGATGAGGAGCATAAAGATGGGGACTGGGAATATGGTAGCAGCACATGAAGGGAACAAGCTCAGTAACACAGATTAAATTCTTACCTGAATGCCATTCAGAGAGGCAACTCCCATGTAGAGAAAGACACCATACAACACCGGCATTGGAATATACTGTGGGCAGAGGAAAAACAAGCACACGGTGCTTAGATGTCTCCTGTGAACCACTGCAGAAAGAACATTTCTAGCAGTGTTTGTCCAGAACGACATCCGGGGGAAATCCTGGCTGAAAAACAACCCTGGTCCACAATCAAGCAGATAGATGCTGTAGTGACAGGGTACTACAAATACCATATAGAGAAGAGGCAAAACGAATGCCTAGGGTTGCTTCTGGGGAGATGCAGCCACACGCTCTCCCTTACTAAAGTCTCAATTGAGCCCTACATTTGGAGGTTTTTTCCCCTTTTCAAACGTTTCTACTGTGATTGACTTGAAGTGGACCACATCTGAGCTGAGCAAACAGGATACTGCTCTGACGTTTTGGGGAGGTCAAGCCACACCTGTAAGGGGTCATGTCACCACCTGCCCTGTTACTCCGGGTGCCGTAAAATGCTATCCTAGTGTAGCTCAGAGCCCTGACACAGACAGCCAGCACGCAAGTTACCTCCTGGCTCCCACCGCCCAGTTCCTTTTTGCTGGGTGACCCCAACACCTTCCCAGTCCTGAATTCCCCCTAAACCATCTGCCAATGTGACACTCTGCTGAGGTTCCCAGAACTGAGTTACTGGGTACAGATCTACACTATGATAAAAGACCCACGGCACAGCTGAGGCTGGCCCAGATCAGCAGAGCTTGGGCTATGGGGCTTTAAAAGGGGCTATAAACTTGCAGCGCAGATGTTCGGGTTCAGGCTGGACCCTGGGCTCTGGGACCGTCCCTTCCCTCCCGTGCTCCTGACGGGGAGCAGGTTGGTGGGTGGGGGCACCTATTTTTCCGGGGCCCACCAATTGGCCCGGGGCCCCTGGGCATGGGTCCCGTTGGCCCAGGGGCTAATCTGCCGCTGCATTAGTGAGCTACCAAGGGCCACAATGTTTTACTACTTTTCGGATCACTGTTTGCTGTTTGTACAGGACCTAGAAAATCTGATGGTAACTGTCTGAAAATAATTGCTAACACTCATTTATAAACCCTGTAATAGTCAAAGCCATCCTGAATTTATCTGGTACTCATATATCAAGAAGAGACTATTACTGTTATGGTCAACTGATTAGTGTTCCTTCTATGAGACAGAAAGAACTGCACAACTGTGTGTCATAGGCCCTATATCACTAAAGAAGATTCTCCTTTAGCTCAAGTGGCAAGGAGAAGAAGGATCTGTGTTCTCTTCACATGAAGTTCTGAGTGACCATGGCACATAGCATAGCGAGCCCAATTTGTTCCAGTAGTTACCTGTCAACGGGGTGTTAGGTGGACTTCATGCCAGTCTAAAAGAGAACTCAATAACTTCACAAGAAAGGAGAGCATGTCCTACCCTTTCAAGAAATGGAGTCAAAATGGAATGGGAGCCAGGCTATGATCTAGTGCATGGGATAATATACTGTGGGATTCCGAGACCCTTCTCTGGCACAGTTATCCAGAAGGCAAAAGAAGAAGAGCTTTCCACCGTAATCCAACAATACCTCACTGGGCCATTGGTTCAGCACAGACCTGTATTCTGCTTGGTGTCTTATAGTTATCTGAATGCTGACTGGACCCCTGGGCCTTCATCAGCAAACTGTGCAGTGAAGAATTGTGTGAAGTAGAAAGAGGAAATTTTACCTTCAGAATTGGAGCCAGGAAGACCGATATCCCAGTCAGGACAAAGACAATGATTCCGGTGACTCTCTGCTCCCTGGCAAAGAGCAAAGACAGGCAGAGTGAAATGCGGCATCGAGGTGGGACAACTTCTTGTGTTTGCCTTATGTTCCGAGGGTGAAATGAACGGCTGGGACATTGAGAACCAACGGGCGTGTGTGGGTCTGCTGGCCTGTCTCCCCAGCCCAGGAAAGACCAACAGCAGAACATGGTTTATTCATTCAAACACAAAACTCACAACCCAAGCAGGCCGCAGAACCCAGGGGCCTTTCCCCATGCATCTCTTCTCCCTAACTCCAGTGCCTGCCACAAGCACTAACCTCCACCTCTAGCTCTCCCGCCTCCCAACTGAGCTCTCTTAGCTCTTCTTAGAAAACACCTGACCCCTTCCAACTGGATCTGATAACTGAAGCTGGCCACAGGCCCGCTGACCTTTAAAGATGACCCTGTTATATTGCCAGATATCTACAGAGAGGAATCTAGACAGATGGACATATATGGGGATAGACAGCCAGCCAGCCTGCCTCTAGGTAGGTTTTCATTACAACATTCCTCTCTTCTGCTCTCTGCTCCTGTTGCAGTCTCCCTAGTGTGATCTTTAACTCCCTCCTACTCTGGTCTGTTTGTCAACCCAGTTCTTTATTGAATTTCTCTCCCCCTCTCATATTCTTTTCTTTGTGAGAAATAAACCCCAGTAACCTTTGAGGTCTGAGTCAAACTTTAAAACCCGCAGCGTTTGAGAGGATTCAGCATTAGGCAAAACAAATCCAGAGATTGCCTCGATCCCACCGGCACGAGACCACGTCCTGCAAACCCCCCAGTTTGCAACATTTTAGAGGGCCTTAAAAGCACTTCCGTGGCACTCCCAATCCCCAAGTCATCACATCACCAGGCAGGAGTTTAGCTCAAAGAGCGAAAGCCCTGATGTCCCACTGACTTTCTATGAGATTTCGCCTCCTTTTGAAGAAGGGGCTTGCGTCCTTTGGTAAATCTGACAAAATTCAGCCAACCCTGGGCCTCTCCTGATTTTGCTGCTAGAGCTGCAGGGCTCCAAATCTGTGGCAGTGTCTTTGGCTCACACTGCACTTAACCCCTTGTGCACTCTGGCACATAGTATATCCCGGGTCTTTCCCTCTGCCACGCTCCATCGTGACACATCTACTCTCAGCCAGACAGGAGCTGTTGGGGTATTGCTGCCAGACCTGAAGCTACAGGGAGAGACCAGATGCTTGGGGACCCCACCAGGGATAGGCTGAAATACTAGTGTGAGAGTTTCCTGCTCATGGTCCATGTGGTCCAGGGCAGGAGCTGGATGTCATGGAGAGCGCTTGGGAATTAGGGGGTTTCCATTTTAATTTGGCTGAACTTCTTATCATCCTTCCTGTTTTACAGGATCCCCCCCCGGACGCTATCCCCCATCTTCCTCCACACACACTGCCAACACAGCCCAGCCTCTGGACCCGATTCTCCACACGCCTTACACCTCAATTTACCCCAGTGCAAAGTGAGCAAGAAGTGGGTTCCACACACACGAGCACCAGCACAGAGAGCTCTGGTCTGGGGGTGTTTTACAGCCGCTGTGCATGGGAGTCAGTAGCTACAAAAGGCACAAAGGGCAGGGGAGAATCTGATCTGTTACTTAGGTCTGCCCCTTCTGCAAAGAGATTTGGGACAGGTGGGGAGGAAAAGGGTTTGCATGCAGCACCCTGCCCATTGCACCCAGAGGCCCTTAATGGAATCGCTTTGCAGGCGCCCAAAATTTACTGCCCTGCAATGAGGTGGTGCAAAATACAGCTCTTCTGGGGAATAGCCCATAACAACTACTTGAGGTGCTGGAAACGTGGCTCCCATTTCTGTAGCTAGAAGCATGCCGGGATTACAACCTACCCGACCTGCATGCGGCTTCGTGGCACCCTCGGCCTCCGCTCTCCAAACCAAGGTAGCTTCACGCTAGACTTGGATGTGAACGGATAGTGGCATGGCCTTGTGAGAGCCCTCACCTCACTCCCAGGAACTGGGGCTGCTCCCCTGGCGCGCTGGTCTCCGTCTCCATCTTTAAGCTGTCGATGTGGGCTATGGAAATGACCGTGGCCGCCACATACCAAGGCAGCCCCATGAACGAGCACACGGCCATCAGGACCCCCACCCAGAACAAGTCCAGGTGATAGCCTGCCGCTTTCTGCAACAGAGCAGGTTTCTGGTTAGGCAACGGGGGCCTGACCCCATCCTCTCTGCTCCAGAGTGTGAAATGTTTAACACCGCTCCCAAGGGGGATTTTCAAGAGGAGAGCAAGGGAACTCGGCACCCACCTCCCATTGAGTTTCAGTGGAAGTTGGAGACCAAACTCCCTTCAGTGCCTTTGAACATCCCTGTCTAAAGAACTACAGAGACTGAGCTTTTCTCCCTTGACATTTCAGAAGTGCTCTAATTTCACCAAAAAACCCCAATGAAATGTAAGGGTTTTGCACCTGAAAATAGAACCAGTTTGAGGAGAACACAGGAATTATGATTTATTTCTATTCCTGCAGCTCCTAGGAACCCCAGTCATGGACCCCGCTGTGCCAGGCACTATACAAACAGAACAATAAGATAGCGCCTGCCCCAAAGAGCCGATTCTCTAACTACCAGACTGGATCAAACCAGCAGTCCACACTGCCCAGCATCCTGTCTTTGACAGTGGGGCAGTATCTGCTGCTTCAGAGGAAGGTGTAAGACAGCTCTGCGTGGACAATTATGGAATCATTTGCAGTTGCGTCCCTGACCTTCTGTTAGAGTTTGGTTTATATCCCTCCCATACCTTATTATCTTGATAATTAAAGAGCTCGTTTTTTGCAGCTAATCCCTGGCATTAAGATCCAAGAGGTAAACAAAACAGCCATAATTTTAGTGGCCATATGGTGGGTGCTACGCTGGAATTCTGTTGTAGTAGGACCTTGATAGTTCACCCTTTCATAATCTTCACAAAGCAGAACTCAGACCCCAAATCCCAATCGTCTGTCTAGACTGCTCCAAGATTTAAGAGTCATTTCTCTAGAGAACACACTTTAGAAGGCACCAGGACACACCACACTTAAAGAGCAGCACAGCATTCATGAACCTCTTGAATCCCACCTAGACCCTATTTTGACTAGCATAGTCCTGTCCAGGGGCGAAGCTCACCTCAAATGAACAAACGGAGAGGTAAGCATTGATTCCAATGTCCATAGAGCACCAAATTCTATCCTTACATGTGCCCAGTTACTTCTGTTGAAGCACATGTGTAATCAAGGGTAGAAGATGGCCCCGTTTCTGTCTGTTCTATGGTTTGTTGAATAGGTTTACAGCAGTTCCAGATACTATTAAAAGCCATACCCTCAGTTTGTGCTCCTTCCTATTGACTATGACGGCTGTGATTTGCTGGTCCATGAAGATCAAGATGGTAACCAGCAGAGCTGGAAGGGCGCTGGCCAAGTAGATCCACCATGGATTCTTACCGAACGGGAACACAAACCATCCTCGATCTAAGCGAGTGGGCTAAAAACATAGAGCAAGGCAACGGTTATTGCATGCTGCATTCTGATTCTGGGTCATAAAAATTACATTTCAAGAAAATGCCATTGCATTTGGGCAAATTTGTATGAAATCTTGGAAGAATACAAAAACCGGAGTCTGTTGTGAGCGTAATCTTGTTCCAGGACAATCGGAACCTAATCCGCATTGGGAACTGACCACCACCCTCCTGAACCACTGGATAACCATTCTAACCCACAATCACAGCGTGGTGAACTGGCTAGCAGGTATGCACATCACTTCCCCCTACTGGATGGAATTAGAATTGCTCAAATGTGGGTCATAGCCACAGGCACTGTGCCACTAACATTCAAGGGATCCTCCTTTAGCTCAAGTGCTAGGGGTCTGGGCTTTGGCAGCCAGAAGTGCTGCGGGCATTCTGTCCCCATTTCAGCATGGTTTTCTGAACAACCCTGGTGCAGAGCATAGTCACAAGCATTGTCTCATTGCTTCTCGTGCTCCCCTATCTGTCTACTGCATGGCCCGGTCTACACGACAAAGTTTTAGCAGCATAGCTATGTTGGTTAGGTGTGTGAGCTTTAGTCTGTGTAGCATTGACTAGCCCCGACAGGCCACATCTACACTAGGAGCACTTTCCTGGTGTAAGAATACTGGTATGCCATATGGGCAAAGCACTCCTGGGACAGACACTGCTTAGGTCAGCAAAGCTGTGCTCTGGACTGGCATTGTTAGACCACCTCACACGAATGAAACAAGCTAGAGTGGTAAAAGTGCAGTGTCTACACTAGTGGCTTTTGCCGGCACTACCCTGTCGGTCTGGAATCACACCTCTTCACATCCCTGCCCGACAGAAGTCTGTAGTGTAGACATAGCTTTATACTTAGGCTTGGTCTACACTTAAAAGTGAGGTCAACATAGCTACATCCATCAGGGGTGTATAACACCACCCATTTTTTCATGTTCTGTGTGTATATAAATCTCCTCACTGTATTTTCCACTGAATGCATCCGATGAAGTGAGCTGTAGCTCACGAAAGCTCATGCTCAAATAAATTGGTTAGTCTCTAAGGTGCCACAAGTCCTCCTTTTCTTTAAGGGGTTAGAGAGGCATAGCTTCGGCGACCTAGCTGTACCCCGATAGTCTCCATAGCGTAGACATACCCTTCGAGCGTAAGCTCTTTGGGGCAGGGACAGTGCCTTTGTTCTGTGTTTGTACGACACCTAGCAAGATGGTGCCCTGAACAGGACAGTTCCTTCCACTCTCCTCCCCCACCTCCCCGGGCGCTATGCTCATAAAATAATTAACAGCAATAATAACTAACTGTGACATCCTAACACAGCCGCAGATTTGTAACAATATGCATCTTGTCAGAGAGAGCTGAATACTTCGAAAGGGACGCTAGTGATTTTACCTTAAAATCGGTAGGCACTTGCAGTTTAGGAGTATTCAGTCCAAACAATACATCGAGACCAACGAACATTAGTATGGACATGAAGATAGAGAAGTCACTAATAAGTTTGCGTAGCTAGAGAGAGAGAGAGCACAAATCAAACACAAAGAAAAGGCAGAAAAGTGGCAGAGTTCGAGCATTAATCAGAGAATGAAAATAATTTGTGTGAGACACAGTGTTAGCTGATTCATTTCAACAGAGAAATGGAATGGGTATCTACTGAGATCAGTATCAGCTTGCATCAGCTGGAGTTGGAGTCATTTCCGAGTGAATGATTAATATCTACCTAAGGTACTCATATGGACACTGTTACCTTGTGAGCACCTTCCATTCTTTAATGGGGATGCTATTATCCCCATATTACAGAGGGGAAACTGAGGCACAGAGAGGCTAAGTGACTTGCCCAAGGTCACATAAAAAGTCTGTGGCAGAGCAGGGAATTGACCACAGGTCTAATCCCATCCTGGCTCCTTAACCACTGACCCATCCTTCCCATCCCCTGCTCTAATCAATGTATATTGTGTGCCAGGGGATAAACTTCCTTCTATGTGATGTTTGCACATATATCACTGAGGCTGGATGTTCAATGTCCATAAATTTGATGGCTGGGGGAGACGGGGTGCTCAAGAAATATTTTTGCCAATAATTTCGCCACTGAAAAATCGGATCAGCCAATAAAGTGTTTTGGAAACTGAATCCCTTTCATCCCATTCCTAATGTAGCTGTTGGAAGGACAGTCTCAAGGGTTAGCTGGAAAGGAATTGGAAAGAACAGAAATCAGGAGAGGAAAGAACTTCAAAACTGCTACATTCAAACCTTAATTATACTGGGAACATGCAGCTTTGGAGTGTCCAGGCCAAACCAGGCATCTATTCCACAGAACAGCAGAATGGAGAAGACAATGGAAAAATCAGCAATGAAGGCCCTGACCTGGAGGCAGATGGGGTTGGGAGGGAAAGGCTGGTTAAACAGGGTGGTTTACAGATCTCCAAGCATGCAGTACACCACAGGGACATTAAGAGACACACATGCCTGATCTCCTTCTCATACAGGTGTAACTCTGTTGATGTCAAAGGAGTTACTTTTGATTTGCACTGGTGTAAGTCAGAGCATCCACATCAGCATTACCAGTTTTCGTGATTTTATTGCTCGTCTCACAATACATGCTGGTTTTATTAAATCCCAAGCTCCTGGAGTCATGTGAATATGTGAAACTCTCAGCTTTCATTTAAATGTTCCTAGTCCTTCTGGTTGTGGAGAAAAGCTTGGAAATGTGACCAAGCGCAGCTTAAAAGCTCACAAATCAGAAGGCAAATTAAAACAAAACAGTTAAAAAAAAAAAGCTTATGTTTTCAGGTTGGCAATATTGGCACATTGCTTTATTAAAACATTAAATCCTCAACTGAAATCTGGAAGAGGGTTTTTAAATGGCAGCAACTTGTAGTTTTCCAGAAAGTTAATGCAAAGTTTCAAGAACGTTCACTTGTCAGATGTAGAAAAAATAAACTCAGAAACATGGCTCTATTCCTCGTAATTCTGCAGTTGGTAGAAATATCAGCTCGTGGTGGCTCGGATTCTGCTACTTGTAAATGAATTGTATGCATAGAAAAAGTTCAAGAATCTTTTAGAGAGATGCAGACTTCACAGAAATGGGAAGTGAAAAGTATATGGGCATCTTAAATTTATCCTGAATTTTAAATGTTAAAAACTTGCCATTATGAAAGCTATGACTAATAAAAATGTTCCCACAACTCAAAAAAGGCATCCTAATGAAAGCAGTATGCAGTGTTTGCAGCCCAATATTGCTACATCCAAAAGTGAAATGGACCATAAATAAAAGCAAAACTGGCTTCCCAGATTTTCATTGTCCAAAGTAGGTGAAATGCAAAACCCAACAAAGAACATCCATAGCAAGCAGCATACTGGATTTTTACATTCTTTCATTTTTAATAATCTAAAGGACACCTGCTGGATAGGTTAAGCTCAGAATTTTGTTGCTGTAAAATAAAGTGTATGGAAGGGAAGGATAAAAGCTAATATGAAAATGTTTGCATGGATTTCTATAAAATAAAATTAATCTTCTGTACTTTATTGCACATTTCCTTTGAACAGGTGTCTAATTACAAATCATGGGGCAAGCTAAAGAGATGTTCATAATAAAAAAAACAAAAACAAAACCAACCCCAAACACCCAAACTAGAAATCTTGCATGCTTCTACTTCTTCTTTTTCATATTCTCCTCTCCTCTCTCTGACCTGCACATTTCTTCAATAAGACCCTGATCCTGCAATTAGATCTGACCGAGTCGGCCTTTGTGCCTGTAGAGAAGCCCTCTGACTTTGATAGGACAACACCCAGGCATAAGAATCTGTCCATGCAGATCCAAATGCAGGACTGGAAGCCATGATCTGTATTTCAAGTTCCCCGTGTCTCTCCGAAAGGGACCAGCTTACAGGTTTTGGTGGAAACTGAACTACAGATGGGTTTCATGGGGGGCTTTGTATTTTTTCTTACCTTTGTAGGAAAGTAGCGACTGAACTTAAATTTCTTCAGCGTTACAGTCATGGAATAAGTCCCAAAGAAGAGGATGAAGGACATGAGGGCTAAGTCAGGAACAAATTTACAGGATTTCCCTACTAGGCTTCCGCCATACTTTAGACATTCCTTCTTACTCAGCTGGGTCCAGTCCAGAGCTGTTACGTTAATAGCATTGTACTTGGAATCGAAATGTTGAAGAGAATAAACCAAAATACTTATTAATACATTGAGCAATTCTCGTGTGCAGGCAAATGCAATTAGTCACATGGCACTGCTTAGGAGCGCCACTACAATTCTGGGGAAAGTTAAAGTGCTCTATAAAATATACAGAGCAACGCATCACAGAGCAGCGGAGGGCAACAAAAATGATTAGGGGACTGGAACACATCAGTTATGAGGAGAGGCTGAGGGAACTGGGGATGTTTAGACTACGGAAGAGAAGAATGAGGGGGATTTGATAGCTGCTTTCAACTGCCTGAAAGGGGGTTCCAAAGAGGATGGATCTAGACTGTTCTCAGTGGTAGCAGATGACAGGACAAGGAGTAATGGTCTCAAGTTGCAGTGGGGGAGATTTAGGTTGGATATTAGGAAAAACTTTTTCACTAGGAGGGTGGTGAAACACTGGAATGTGTTTCCTAAGGAGGTGGTGGAATCTCCTTCCTTAGAAGTTTTTAAGGTCAGGCTTGACAAAGCCCTGGCTGGGATGATTTAATTGGGGATCGGTCCTGCTTTGAGCAGGGGGCTGGACTAGATGACCTCCTGAGGTCCCTTCCAACCCTGATATTCTATGATTCTATAATCATAGTCACCCGTAAGAACTTGGCTCAGAATTCGTAGTATTCAATGTATTTCCTACAGTAAGTATAAGGATAACTGTAAATAGAAGTAACAATATCCCTTTATTCAATGGCAAAATTGGCAAGTTGTTAAGGGTGACCACTTTCATGACATTAAACTTCAGTGGAATTAAACCAGATAAGAACCATGTCTCTTAATAATGAGGCATTCAGTGCTTGTCTGGTGCCCAGATATGAAAATATTTTCAAAAAGTGCCGAGTGATTTTTGGATTCCCCAACTTGAGACCACTAAAAAGGGCCTGATATTTGGAAAGTGCTCAGCTCCTGCCTGTGAATGTCAGACTTCTTTAAGGTGTCTCAAGTTGGGCACCCACAAGCTGGGGCACCCAGGATTACTCACAACTTCTGAAAGTCATGACCATTGTTTGTATCTTGGCTAGTGTAAAATACACACCAATATAAAAGTAACTATCTGTTCCATGGTCTTGGATTCTCTACTTATTCTAACTTGTGAGTGTAGACAAGCCCTAAACTGGTGCAACTTTTCTAAGGGCTTGTCTACACTTGAAAGTTAACTAGGACTAAGGTAGGGTGTGAATTTAAAGTCTAATAGCTACTCCTGAATAACCCGTGCATAGACAAACCCTTGCTCTGATGCATGTCCCAGGTGGTTGGGAGCTCCTTAAGCCGCAGCACACAGTTTCACTGGTTTAACTGAAAGTGTGATTTTAAATTGAGTTAAACCGCTGTGGAGGGTCTTTTTTCAGTTTAAACCAGGCTCTTCAATTTCAATTAAGTCAGCTAGGAACAGCTTTAAATTCAACTGAAATAAACTGCTCTTAAATGGAAATAAGCGTGTCCACACAGAGGTTTGCGCTGGCTTAAATAAGCCAGTGGAAGTAGGCGTATAGAGAGGCCTTACATTCAGTGGTGAGGTACATGCATTATAAGTGCTTGACTGATTATGCCTGCACTGCACACATAGGGGAGATTAAACTAACCCAGCGTGCACTGCTATGGATTCTTTGCCTGCAGTCTGTTCTTTGGTGGTTTATAATATCCTGGTTGGGCACGTGAAGGGGATGTCACCAGGCCATTGCAACTAGAAGGAACAGACACACAGTTCCCATTCCACTCCTTCCCCAAAGCCGAACGTTAATTCCATGCCGTGATTTAATTCATTTGGTTGGCAAGTCATATAACTAAAAAGTTGATTTCTAAAGAGATCGCTGTAGGCTTTGATAGCATCCCTGGAAGAAGACTGAGTGACTGATTTAATCGGTGGATCCCCATGTGTCCCACTTCCTTTCTTTCTGGGCTAAGAAAGGATCCAAAGGGCTTGGCTACCCCCTACTTGAAAATACATAAAACAAAACTACTTACCACAGAAATGTTAGTGTTGTTTGGTGCCAGCGGAGCTGAAGCATTGAACAATGTTGTATTCACTGCAGAAAAGGGGTTTGTTATTAAGGTTTTATATATATGAAAACAAATAGTCAAGTTCAACCCAGCATGGAAATCCTGTTTAAGCCTAGTGGACCCTGCTGGCTCGAACCAGTAACCGCCCTTCCATTCCCAGGAGAGAGCAAAAAACTCTGCGTTCAGTTCCCAGCAAGGGTTACCTAGCGGCGCACACAGCTATGGGCCATTTAGACAGTTCTGTCTACACGGAAGGGAAAGAATGTAATGAAATCCAGGATAAGCACATTATTACAGACCTGTTGGGAAGGGAGGGGGATGGGATCCAGGAGTGAAACCCAGCACGAAGGGCAGAACACAGATTTTGGGAGCTAGAGTGTAAACCCTGGTTCTAACTCCAGCAGCGACTTCTCCCTGATTAATACGGTGTGTGGCCTTCCATTTAGACCAGAAAATAACCCCCGAGGGCTGCATTAGCAACTTGCCAGGAGCCCGAGAGATGCACTTAATTGTAAGAACATTGATTGTACCTTCCTTCAGTTATCCGAGGAGGGGCAGCCCATGGAGACTACAGGTCCCATGGTGCAACACTTCATCTTAGGTCACGTGACCTCCAACTCAGCTCCCAGGCATCTTGGGATTTGTGGTGTCAATGGGCTTCCCCTCCACTTTAAATGACCACATTTGATCCATGGACCACATTCGGCTGCTACCTAGGCCACGGTCAGAAGCACTGCCTCTCAGCCTAAAGAAAAGAGTGGCCATATAAATACACAGAACCCATTTTGGTTTTTTGGATAGCTTCCAGGGATATATACCAATGGGAGCCCCCCCTGAATCAAATCAAGCCATGCCCCCTGCCACCCTCTTCCAGCTCGCTGAATGTCCCCTCAGTTGTTCATTGTGTTCTCTGCCATTATAACATATACTGTTGTGCTTACCACCAATTCAGAGAATGCATGACGCAGATGTGGTTCCTTCTTCAAAGCCTTCGCTTTTCTGTATGTGGTATGGGGCAGGGGATCATAGTTTGAAAGGTAAGATGTCCATCTGAAAGAATTGCCATTCCTGGGGGAGGGGGCACTGGAGAGAACCCAATGTCTCTTTCTCCTGGAGCAGGTCTTACCCTCTTTCTTAGAGGGTCACTCCTTCTGTAAGAACTTTGTGGCGTTTGGAGAGATCCACTGGGGCCCACCTTTTTAGAAACAAGCTGGGGAAAAAGAAACCCTTCTCTCTCCAGAAGCTGCTTTTGCTCAACAGGTCACCTCTCATCTAGGGTGAATCTCTTCCGTTGCCATCCTGGATTCTTGCTGCAAGAAAGAGGCTTCCCCTCTCTAACCCCATCCAGCCCTTTTCAAGGAGAAAATGGATGGCGAGAGAATGCACTCTCTCACACTTGGAAACCCGAATGGAGAAAAACCAAACCACAGCACTAAGGATGGTACTTAAAGCACTTCTCTGGAGCCTTTTGCTGGAGGATTTTAAAGGGCTTAACTAAGTGGCAACATTCTTGGTATGTTGGTATTATTCCACCCATTGTACAGATGGGGAAACTGAAGCACAGAGAGATTAAGTGACTTTCCAAAGTGACTTTTCCATTCTGCTTAAAGAATACCCTGCAGAAGGATGAATTTACTGGAAAAAAAACCCCTATGCATAATTTACATGGGTTTTGAACCTAATTTTCCCACTGCTGCAGATGAACTTGTTAAAGTCATGAGGTTTCTTTTGGCAGGCATGGATTCATCATGGGAGCTGTAGTCTCCATGGGCCACCCAATCCAGTTAACAATTCTTCATCTATGTTAAAGGTTGCTATAAAGAGGGCAGTGATCAGTTGTTCTCCATGACCACTGCAGGCAGAATGAAGAGTAATGGGCTTAATCTGCCGCAAGGGAGATTTAGATTAGGTATTAGGAAAAACTGTTTAACATAAGGAGAGTTAGCTACTGGAATAGGCTTCCAAGGGAGGTCATGGAATCCCCATCAGTGGAGGTCTTTAAGAACTGGTTAGACAAACACCTGTCAGGGATGGTCGAAAGTTGACTTGGTCCTGCCTCAGCTCAAGGGACTGCACAGATGACCTCTTAAGGTCCCTTCCAGCCCAACATTTCTATAATTCTGAAGGTGGCAAACACATAACATCTACGTCCTGCCTCAAGATACTGTCATTCCTTTCCCCGATGAACTACACAGGATAATTAATGAAGGAGAAGTGATTGCTGGGTTAGAATCAGAGCCCCTGGTGCTACCAAAACAATACTCCACCACCAGAGAAAAAGGAAGGGAAAACTGAACTAATGTGACTTTTGGTTCGATTAACTCCAGACTTTACAATGTTAAAGGTTTCTTTCGATAACCTTTAGCTTTTCCAGAACCAGACATATTTGCAATTTCTACTGCTTTAAATTGTTCATTGCCCATCTTAAAGAATACTGTAGCATTGGCTGTATTTTTCTGAGAAGGCCCATAAAAGTGCTTTACACAAATGGATATATTGGACTCGAGATAAAAGTAGGAAACATTAAAAAAATAAAAATAAAACAAAAGGGTAAGAGTATCAAATATTAAATAATTTTAATATTTATAAAGCGATACTCACTTGAGATTGAAAGCAGCCAAATAGATGTGTGCAGCAGAGACAAATATGGTACAAATCAGTTACAATAGTCAAAAATCAGAACTAACAAAAATAAATAAAAGGACCAAAAGGAGATTAACACACTCTCAATATCTGGAAGAGTGAAATGTCCAAATCGGAGACCACTTTATTAGATGCCCAGAGCAACCCGGGTGAAAGATCAAGTCTAAGTGTTGCTGCTGTTGGGAGGAGATTGAGGGTTTACAGCGTAGAAAAACTTCTAGAGGAGAATGGGGTTTCCATGTGGACTTCGGGGTTTGCGTGTAACAAAGGAGATACGTGTGGTTTTGATTTGCTCAGCTCAGATTTAAGTCACTTAAAATACATTTTATTTTTAAATTAACTCAGTGATGGTAAAAAGATGCCAGCTTGACAGCTCTGGAGACTGAAATCCTTTGTCCACAGAACAGATACTGCATGGATGAAAAGAAGGTTAGCTGTCCACACAGACTTGGCCAACATGCCTCAAACTCTGTCCTGAGGGACTGCTTCTAGGTGTGAGAGTAATTCAGTCTCCGTGGGCTAGATCATGTTGTTTAGACACAGTCCAAAGGCAGAAAGTGCCCTGTGACTCCCACGCGCTTCTGTATAGTTCACCTGTCACTACACCCCGATATGGGTTTGGGTTCAAAGGAAGCTATTACTACAGGAGACCATCCTGCTAAAAAGATGATGATGATGAAGCCAAAAAGAAACATTCTTTTGTGCTAATGTCCTCAGAAATCAGACGAGTTGATTTAGTTCCCTCTAGTTCAAACCTGGATCCCAGATGGTGTTCACAGGAAACACATGTGAAATGTGTGGGTTTCAGAGCAGTTTGCGGGAACCCACTAACCTCCCATTACAACTGGTTGTAATAGACGGGCCATCTCAGAAGTCAAATGAGCCATGGAGACTATGCTAGCAAATCATCCCTAGAGATGAAGGACCTGATTCTGTTCTCACACTGATTTTAAACCAATGTAACTCCATGCTTGGAGTTTTTCCCAGTCAGAACTGAGTGAAGTCTCCGGCATTGCACGGGGCAAGCCTGCACGGCCACAACTGTCCTTTGGCTCACTAGTGGATTTCAGCTTCCACGGCTCTTGCCTCTGTCTACTGATGCCTTCCATTTGGGTATTGCTCAGCAATGTACGGAAAAGAAAGTGTTAGCAAATTTGTGCAGAAAGTTGCGTGTATATGCAACATTTAATCAAACTGGAAAAGTTCACCATTGTTTTGGGAATATTTTTGTGGTAACTTTGCACACATGATAGTCCATTTCTTTTTTGAAACAGTCCTTTTCTCCCTCTGCATTGCACCAGACAGAGACAGGGCCCTCTCTTCAGATTTCCCTTTTTTATATTTAATGCTTCACAAGGTCACCCAGACTGTGCCCAGGGAGGGGAAGCACTTTTTCAGGCTAGCAGACCTGTGGCCACTGAGTGGGAAGTGCTGTTTCAGAAAAGACGACTCAAAGGGTCAAATTCTGCTTTCTGGAAGGGCCTGATCCTGCACCACCGCAGGCTTCTACAGCATCAGGTCCTTACATCAGTTGAAATGAGAATCACTCCACTGAAGTCTCTGGAGTGACTCCAGATATGCAGTGACTTCACCAAGAACAGAATTTGATCCTCTGGCAGCAAGAAATTGCAGCCTCTCTAGTCAGAGTTTTAAAATGTGGGATGATTTAAGAAAAGTGATTAAAAATAGACCTGGAAAAGAAAAAAGTTAGAATTTCTAAGCCAGTTTAAGAGGCTTGATTTTCCTGCCAAACAAATAGGCAACATTTTTGCAAAGACAGACGATTTTTCAATTTCAGGAATAACTCAATTTTCACTGCAAAAAAGAGCTAAATAAACGAACCGTTTATGCAGACTGAAATTTAAGAGGCACTTTCAAGATTAAATTAATATAGTAAAAAAAATCTTGTGATATGTGATTAAAACTGGAATATAAAAAATGAATTTACTTTTCATTATTCACGAATTTTATCTGCATGGATTCAACTCAGTTTAGACTCAGTGAAACTAGACTGCTCAGTTTCAGTGTATTTATGTTAAGTTTCACTTTCTGTCTTATTTGCACTAGGATGATGATTTATGTCTGAGTTTCTAAAACTGTAGGATGATGAAGGAGTACTTGTGGCACCTTAGAGACTAACCAATTTATTTGAGCGTAAGCTTTCTTTCAAAATGAGGGGGAAGGGGTCAATGCAAATTCCTCCTGTTTTCCTTGAAATGTAAGTGTCCTGAAAATCTTTCTAGTCGTATTAGTTGTGGTTTTTTCAAACAAAATCCAAACTTTTGCTTTAAAATATTTGACAGTTTCTCCAAACAGGAAGGGAATTCACTGAGATATGCATGAAAGAGCTGGTTGGAAAATGAAGGGGTTTTCCCTGCAGAAAATTCTGACTTTTCATGAAAAAACCCTGATTTCCCCCCAGTTTTTGGCAACTGAAAACGAATAAAATTTTGGCCAAAAAATTTGAAAAAAGTGTGTTGGTTAAGACTTTAGTTTTCCAACGAGAAACTGAAATTTTTCAAGAAACATAGGCACTTTTTGGTAAAATGTTCATTTTTGGTCAAAAAAATCCAGTTTTCCATTAGACAAAAATTCAGATGGAAAATTTTCCAGCCAGCCCAGATGGATGATTCTGAAGGGAAGAAACTGGAAATGGTATGTGACCTAGTGGTTGCACTAACTGTAGTAGCTAGCAGGACTTGGAATTGGCAGTAAAAATACATATAGTCATATATTTCTCAGAGAACTATAGCTCAGCAATAGGAGCCAGTAGCCCAAACCAGGTAGTATGTTATTCCTAAATCAACAAAAGGACAGAGACTTGTAAGGGGGCTGGTTGCCTTCTCTAGCTTCCTCTGTCTCTCCGTCTGCATTCTATATGGTTGTGTCATGTACTCAGTGTTCTGGTGGAGAATTACTGGCAGACACCAGCAGGCAACATTTGACATGCATCTTTCAGGATGGCACTGTACATATCCCTGCGGTGACCTCGCCCATTGCATGTTAACAGGAACACGTTTCCACTCAGATTAAACCGTAAATTCCAAGTCAGAGAAGATATTTTGTTTGTTTTTCAAAAAGAAAAGAGCTGCTGTTTTCTGTCCCCATTTAGAGAAAGTGAAGGTATGTGTCAGCAAGGTAGCAAACGGAAATTGCCCGTAGGCCAAGTTCCCACTCTGCTGCAAACCGGACATGCACACCCCAGACCTGGTCCAACCTTACCTCCTCCACTTCCCGGAGTCTGTCTTTACTGTTATCTTATAACAGCCAAACATAAATCTCTTATGGTTGTTTCTATAGTTTTTCCCCTAGAGGACCACACGCCGTCTCAGGCCCGAGTTCTTTTTGCCCCTCTAATACTGTAAGTGGGAACTAACAGGATCCCACCTGCCCGTATGAGTTGTCAGAAACAGTTCTGCATCTTAATGCACCTGCCGATCCCTGCATTCCTGTGCGCGTTCCCGGAACCTGCCATTGGATTACCGCTCTACTCGGCCTTTAATATATATTGTGGACATTTCCCTTGCCCTCTCGCACTAGCTGCCTTGACTACCTGATGTATCATGTACACCATGGAGAAACATAGCTCCAGTGATCCCCGTGCACCAAGTATATTACCCTTGAAGTGCCAATGCTTCATTAGGTAAACTGAGTAATGTGCCCATGCCCACACAGCACTTCTGTGGCAGAGCTAAGAATAGGACCCAAAAGTCCTAGCTCCGAGTTCCCTGCTCTAATAAATTTGTTAGTCTCTAAGGTGCCACAAGTCCTCCTTTTCTTTCTGCTCTAACCACTACACCAAGCTCAAATACTGCCTGGCAAGGAGACAATCCAGCGGGTTTCTGCAGAACTGGACTGAATGCAATTGTGTACTGGACCAGGAATTTTTCAATTTCCTCTGAAGCATCTAGTAAAGGATGCTAGAGATAGGATATTAGAGACCTGGGTTGATGGACAATTGTTCTGTTTGGTATATGGGCATTCTTATGTTCCTACAAAAAAGAGGAAGAATGCTTATGCTGACAGCAGGTCTTTCTGAAAGGTTACTTGCTACTGATGCAGGAAAAAACTTCAACAAACCAATATTTAAACACGGGCAAAGCCAGCTAAATGCTTCAGTGGCAGCATTTACTGCTCAGCAGATTTAATATTCGGATCAGACCCGTTTACCAGCTTTGGCCAAGACATTTTAGAACACACTGTAGGAAACAAGCCTGCACTGGCTGAGGATACGGAAATCAAAGTCCGTAGTTTCTATGATTTTACAAGAGTAAAGATGGCAAAGGACCAAACAAACCAAACTGTGCACAAATGCTCAGTGATGCACTTCACTGCGGACAGATTTCGAGATGGGATATTACTTTTTTCTACAGTCAGCACAAAGGTGCAGACTGAAGTTTCAGCAAGACGCTTTGGCAGGATGACCATAGGGCCTTAACCACAAAGCAAAACAGCCACTGCAATGCAGAGCAGGGTGCTGTCAACATGAGAAAACACAATAATGACACCACTGAAGAATTCCAAGAGTCCATGAACTTTTTCTTGTCTTCGCTGCGGGCTTGTCTCCACTACCACTTAAGTCGATGTAAGTTATGTCGCTCAGGCGTGTGAAAAAGCCTCTGAGCGACGTAAGTCGACTTACAGCGGTGTCCATGCCGCACTATGTCGGTGAGAGACGCTCTCCTGCAGACATGGCTTGCCCCTCTCATGGAGGTGGAGTAATGTTGTTGACAGGAGAAAGCTCTCCTGTTGAGCACATCTGGCAAAGATGCACCGTGGCCAGCGGCGCAGCTGGGCCGACGTAATGCGGTAATATAGGCTAGCCCTGAATGAACCGATGGGAAAAAAAACGTAGAGATGCTTCCAGACCAAAACAACCCGGGAAGAACTTGCAGCAGTCAGTAGCATGTTTCTGCCTGCTTAGCTTGAAAGGAAACAAATATAGTCCCTAAGACTCTCCAGATATGGGGAATGTGAGTGGAGAGTCCTATATTGATTTAAGCCTGTTTCAAGCATTCTAGCTGAATTCAGCAGAACACTTAAAGATGTGCTTAACTTTAAACATCTGCATAGTTTCATTGACGACTTCAGTCAGGCTACTTGTGTGCTTAACTTTAAGTGCATCTTAAGACTTTCACTGGATCAGGCCCAAGTGCTCAGCCCTTACAGGGTCAAGCCCTTAGTTTGGAGCTGAATGGCTCCAAGATTGTTATAATTATTGTCAATTAACATGTCAACACACTGACACTCTTCATAAGAAGAAAAAGAAAACACACATAAGGCTGGTGGCACAGTCCACAGTTTCACAAGTGAAATCGTGACATCACGGTACAGCCTGATTACTCTCGTTACAGTGTGAATGGTAACACCCATTTGTTTCATGCTCTCTGTGTATATAAAATCTCCCCATTGTATTTTCCACTGCGTGCATCCGATGAAGTGAGCTATAGCTCATGAAAGCTGATGCTCAAATAAATTGGTTTGTCTCTAAGGTGCCACAAGTCCTCCTTTTCTTTTTGCGGATACAGACTAACACGGCTGCTACTCTGAAACCTCACAACCCAGTGTCCTCATGTCAGGATGATATGTCAACAAGTGACCTAAAAAGCTTGCTAAACAATAGTGATGCGGACAGCACCAACGTGTATGTACCCAGAAGCTTCGCAGATCTAGCTAGAGTACAGCTAGTCCAGAGGTACACCTACAGGAGCTGCAAATCACACCCCAGGCTGCCGTGTAGACATACCCGCTGTGTCACAATGAGACGATGCAATATGATCTGCCTAGGTATCCGTAACGGTGCTCATCACCACGGTATCTGAGCTGGAGGTGACATTACACACAGTGTTGTGGTTGGTTAGTAGCACAAATGCCCATCGTTGATGACCACGAGTCAAGAAAAGAAACCAAAAAAAGCGACGCATGTTACTTCCCGCACATCAGATAAGCAGCTAACGTGTAATGAAGTGCAATCAGACAGATGTCTATGGAGGTTATTTTGCAGGCCAGTGCTTATTTCTACATTTCTGTTTCCAGAGCGTGTGTGATGTTGTCGTACCTTTCTACCTTCTCCTTCCATAGTGATTTTAAAATCTCCAAGAGCATTTTTCTCCCCTTAAATAAATCAGCAATTCTGAGGGAAAACATTTCCTGATACCATGACAATAAATGACTCTGTTCCCTTCTGAGTGCTACAAGTACTTTTACACTACTCAGTGTGAATCTGAATTCTGGATAATTTGGAAATTTACTTCCAAGAGCAAATATGAATATTGAGTATGAAATAAAAATAAAAAGCTGTTTGGTTGGTTTTGGTGTGATATAAATGAGCCTAAATTACAGCCTTCTTCAATACAGCCATTGGCAGAGAACGGGTACATCTTGGCTCTGGAAAAAGTTTGTTTTCCTCTCACCCAATGTCGTTTTCCTTGAATTGCCCTATCCCTTTGTACCTTTGTGGTGGTAGAAATCAGCGCAGTACCGTACGTAGCTGTTAAAAATCAGAACAAAACACCCCACCCCCAACTCCTACACAGATGCATTTCTAGAAAAGGACCAAGGGGTGAACCAGTCAAAAGGGTTGTGGAAACCTAGTGAATATCCCACGGAAGTCCTGTCACTGAACACACTTACAACTGGAGATGATAAAACCATTCAAGAATATACTCTCGGGAACAATCCAGCATTGTCTGGAAGTTGGATCTAAACAAGTCTTCTCCATCTCTGATTCCTATGGTTTTACATCTGGCCATCTACAGAGGAGGTATTTTGCTGCACTATCTCAGTGACCGGGGATGGGCTGGCCTGCCAAGAAGATGATGTTCTTTGTTCCATTTTGGGAGCACTGCTATAGGGAACCAGAGGTACTGTGCCCACAGGTACACTGCCACAGCCATCATAACCTCTCTATCGTGGGGGTGTGAAACTTGTATCCAGGAATGTTCTTTGAAAGTGCAGCTGGCCAAGATTTAATAATCATATTGTCAGGAGATCTCAAAGCACTTTACATAGCTGGTCAGTATCAAACCCCCCCCCCCACACACACTTTACAGATGGGGAAACTGAGGCACAGAGACTTGCCCAAGGTCACCCAGCAGGCCAGTGACAGAACTGGGAAGAGAATCTAGGTCTCCCAAGTTCCAGCCCAGTGTTCCAACAACTAGGCAGCACTGCTTCCATTTAAAACAAGCTGCTGGAGTAAATCACCAAATGAAGCTCATGCAGCAAAGGCTACCCGCCCCTCCACAATTTGCAAGGACCAATCAGGAAGCTGTGCAACACTCTTTCTCAAAAACTGGACCTCAGCATGACCGCTGCGTGGTTCAAACAATCGGCAATTTCACAGTGAAATTTTCAACAGGGAATAGGACTTGTACTCACCTGGGTCAGGAGCAATGCACTCGCATTTGTACATGGTCACGTAGTCTGGTTTGAAGTCTGCATTGATAGGGTAATACTTAAAGGCTCCGATCATCTTCTTGATAGCATCATAGATGAATATAAAGCTGATGAGGGTGGAGAACCCCTCCTCAGTGAAGCGCGTGATGTACTTTATAATGAAGCTGGCGTCTGTAGCCACCAGGATAAGGCACTGCAGGGCAGAATGTAAGCCGATCCACAGGCGGAACTCCATGTAGTCTATGCTGTTGCCTCTGGAATTGTGCACAACAGAAGTTCAGAACAAAACGACAGCTCTGCTCAGGAAAGAGAGATACGGCATCTGAGGGCTCATGGAAAGTGTCACCATATCTGATCTCCAGTGAAAGGAAGAGCCCCCCCCCCATAGGGGTCCTTTCACCCCAATAATAATGGCCACCCTCCTGGAAAAAGAAATCAGAGTCTGTAGCTCACGAAAGCTCATGCTCAAATAAATTGGTTAGTCTCTAAGGTGCCACAAGTACTCCTGTTCTTTTTGCAAAGACAGACTAACACGGCTGTTACTCTGAAACAAATCCGAGTCTGTGTACTTATATGGCCTCCACTTCCATCCTTATCTATTCTTGCAACACCCCTGTGAAATAGGGCAGTGCTGGTATCCCCAACTCAGAGGGGGAACTGAAGCACAGAGACTATGTGACTTGCCCAAGGTCACATGAATAGTCTGTGGCAGAGCCGGGAATTGAACGTAGGCCTCCAAAGTCCCAGTCTAGTGCCCTAACCACTGCCCCATCCTTCCTCTCTAACTCTGAGGTACAGGGATGGGGATGGACTCAAAGGTGCAATAGAAGAACCCCAGTAGGGGACACCAAGCAGAGAACCCCAGACAGGGTCTCTGCTCCAAGAAGAAGAGATCAAGAGAGTCATCCACAGGACAGGTGTGGCACGAGTTTCCTCACTCCACCCTGCCAACGTTCCCCTAACCAGCACAGCACCTGCCACTGACAAGGGTGAGAGGTAGCTCAGTCTCCATGGCCCATCCAGTCTTCGGCCACTGGGCTGAGACGGCCAATGACTGGGCCGATTGCTGATGCCCTGCCCCAGTAAGCAAACCCACTGGGGGAGCTCCCCCAGCATCCGCCAAAGAGAGAACTGTGGAAAAGTTAGGGAGAAGATGGGGGAAGCTCCCTCTGCTCAAAGCAGAGGAGCAGCAGCTGTGTTCCCTTCCCCACTCGCTCTGCTAGTGGTCTCCTGAGCACCTGCTTCAAAACTGTTCTCACTGGGAGACTCACAGAGCTGTAGAGTAGGCTCTCTCGGCCTCTTCTCTCTGGTAGACCCACCTGGAGTGCTGCTCACAGCCATAATGACATGGCTAGAGGGACGGTATGTAGGCCTCAACCATGACTCTGAACCTGTCCTGCTCTTGTGCCCCGCTCCCCACTTTGGCATTACCGCTGTGAGGGCCACGATTCTCAGTGAGCTCCACCTACTTGCTGAAGTCGAAGAGTAGCTTTTCGAAGATGAGGATGGGCCCTGTGCTGCTCAGGATAATGAGCGGCTGCCCGGCAAAGAAGCAGAACAGGGAGCCGGCCATCGCCGTGCCGAGGAAGCTCTCCATGACCCCCTTTGGGAAGAGAAACAACGTGGGGAGAAGGTCAGACACATGCACTGGGTTGCAGCAGAGGAGTCGTGCCGAGGGGAGGTCTAATCACAGAGCGTGGCTGCAGAACACACTCACGGCAGTTCTCCTGCACTTTCTTCCCGGCTTGTGTCTCACTGGAATCAGGCAGCGCAAGAATCCCCGCTCCGTCCCTCAAGACCCGTGTCAGCGGTTTGGGGAGGATACTAAGCTGAATGGGCGTTGGTGAATTACCACACTGAGCACAGGTGCCGTGCGACAAACAGGCAGGAAAAACGCTAGCAGAAGCAGCGATTTCATTACAGACTCGTCGCACTGTGAGATACCTGTGGGGCTCAGACGTGGCAGTTTGAGGGACTGCAGACTCCAAGATGCCCCCTCAGGCTGAGTGATGGTTACGTCCAAGTCTTAGCTAGGAATGGCTTTTCATACCAAGGACCGCAGTCCTGCCCTGTGCCATGGAGGTGCACCGGGGTGGAAATCTCTCACAGCAACAGGGCGGGGATATTTATCTACCACATTAGGGAGGAGAACTGGCTGCAGCTCCACAGGAACCTGGCCTGCTGCATACGGGTTATAGCCAGCTGCTGTGAATCCTGCTATCTGCCCCATGTGTTATCAAGGGGCAGGAGCTGCAATGTCTCACCATGCAGCACAGCTAAGGCACGTGCCAACAAAAGCCACCCTGCAAACATTGGGGCATCTGCGGCCAAACTTTCTGGCTGGGGTCCAGCTCTAATAATCCTTTGGAGAAGGAGAACTCCCTGGGCAGCTCTTGGGTTTACCTGGTAGTTGTCTGTAGCATCACCAAGCAGCCCCCCAAATGTTATGGCATTTGTGATGCAGCCCAGGTAAATGAAGAGGATGGCGGAGATAGACTGGATATGAAAGCCTTCGTAGAAATCACTGGGGAACCAGGGCAGTTTCCTCTTGATATCCAAATACAGGCCGCCGCAAAACCTGGGGGAGACACGCAGAAGGGTCCCAGGTGTGGCAATCCCATGAGCTCTCAGTGGAACTAGGCAATTTAGGGTTATTATTTGCGTTGCCGTAGTGCCTGGGCTCGGGACCCCACTGCACCAGGTATCGTATAAATGCATAACAAGGACGCGGCCCCGTCCCGAAGAGTTCACGAGGGTGTGCGATAGCCGGGGATGACTGCTGTTTATGCAGCCCTACTTGAGGCTAGCTTTAATCAAGCTTTAGTGGACTAGCCTCACAGTTCCAGGCGGGCTTGGAGTGCTGGGCACTGGAGCAGGTTTTGCTGCAGGTTTTGCTGCAGCTCTCTTGTTCCAGTTGCTGTGCCAGCTAGATTAAAGCTCGCTCAGCTTTGGCTACACAAGCTGCAAACACACCCTGTGATTGCAATACAGACATACTTTAAGCATGAGAGAAGAGGTGAGTGCAACAAACGGATGAGGAGGGCACAAGCAACCAACGAGCCCCGTGTCAACCGTACACATCAGGGATTGCGTTCTGAGGCACGCATGTTTCTGTGGCGTGCGCCGACCCCAAGGCAGAATCTAGTCTGACACTTGCTCTGACTTTTCCTGGCAGCATTTAGCTACGAGACTAGGTCAAGCAAATTTTGCTTCTTGGCGTTCAGCTGCAAGCATAAGCAATTGTGCACACATGTGAGATGTTGGCTGGGCAACTCCCCATTTTGCACACTCAAAGGCACTTTTGCACCAACACCCATCAGTGCTGGCCTTCACCTTTGTAAGGATTTGTGTAAATCAAAGCATAACTGAGGCCTCACGGACATTTGGGGGGAAGGGCAGGTTGGGAGGGGAGGACTAGAACCATTATCACCACTGGGGGTGTTGGGGAGTGTGCTGGGAGGGGGGCAGAGGTGCTTGTATCTGGGGTGGGGTGGGGAATGTCATTTATCCTTGAAGGGGAAGGGAAGATGCGAGGCCAGAGGGTGGAGGAGGTTGTAGGAGAGGGCATATTGCCCCGAAGCACAGGACCCAGGCTGGCACCATCTGGCGCTCTCGTCGGTTTCAGGGGCCGAGGCTTTGCTTACCTGCCTGTCCAGACAAGCTCTTCTCCAGCTTCATGCACTGCTGGCATTTCTCCATCCTCGCTGCCGCCCCCTCCACCACCGCCGCCCCCTCCTGCCGCTCCTCCTGCGGTGCCGTTCATCTGCCCTGCTTCGTTCAGCGAGAACACGGATTTCCTGAGAGAGACACTGGGGGCCATGACGGGAACAACAGCATCTCCCCTCTCCCCAGAAAGGGCTCAAGGCACTTCGCAACCAGCAGGAGTTTAGCCTCCCTGCACCCCGAGGGGTTGGTCATTCCTGATTCCCCTTTGTAGATGGGGATAATTGAGGCACATGGAGGTGAAGCAACTTCTCCAAGGTCACACGGAGAATCAGGACTTCCAGGAGTCTTGACTCCCAAGAGCCCGGCTGTACACGCAGGGCCTCCCTTTAGCACAGTTGTGTCTGGGGCAGCATTTTGATTTTTGCTTGGATTTGCCTTTAGGATAATCTAGGGCTTCCAATAATAAGTAAACACACCTAGCTCTCCTAGAGCATGTTTTATCTCATCTCAAAGCACTGCACAGTATCATCTCCATGTTACAGATGGGGAAACTGAGGCACAGCAACTTGGCCAAGGTCACCCAACACACCAGTGGCAGAGCCAGAAATAGACCCCAGATCCCCCCACTCCAATGCTCTGGACACTAGGCCACACTGGAGGGCTCTGCCCGTTTGTTGCAGAGTGAAGTACAGAACAACCTGAATCTGTGATTGCGGGTGAGGCAGACAGATTCTTGCACAACCTGGTCTAGTCTACACAAAAGCCAAGGGTTGTGTAGGAGCCTTGAGTTTTATACCAGCTACCACATGCCTGTTATTTCCTTTAATGGTATAGATCATTAGCCTATTGTTATTTTTCCATTTACATGGAACCTTCACAAGCCTCACAGTCATCTTAGAAGATTATAGAGGATACTTATAGAAATTGCTTCCATTGACCCACAAGCAGCCATTGTAACACTGCCAGCCACACTGCAACAACTGCCAGAGGTGAGGAATGGTGCAACACAAGAGGTGAGGAATGGTGCATACTGAAGAATCACAAAACCCACATTTGGATTTCCTTGAGAAAACCATTTAAAAAATAATATGAAACATCAAAAAATGCTTTCCATGAGGGACAGAGGTGTAACCCAGCCCCCAGCATTCTCTTCACTAACACCCGACACACTGCTCTTGTGCAAAACCTGGCCACAGGGGGTCACCCAGGAGGTGCAGTTAGAAAATTAGTTCCACTCTCCACCTACCTTCTCTGTTCCTGGAGTTTTTCCTACCAATAGGAGAGAAAAACTCACACATGCTCCAGTTTAGGTCATGTGCACACACTGCGAGATAATCGACCTTTAGTTACTGGATTAATGCATCATGAAAAACGGAGCATACTGCACCCGGGAGTGGGATATATTTCGGTAAGATGTCACTTGGATCTAGCATTTCTCTTGCCCCAAAAAGCAACTCTCCACAGCCTGAGATTGTCCTGTAAGTCTTGAGAAAGTTGGTGTTTTTCTCCTTAAAGTGCCAGCTGCTGGAGGCAGGGGATGAGCTAGCTTTTACTTAAAAAAGTAAGTTTCCAGAGAAACCGGTTGCAGAAAAAAACTTGAAAATGTGACCTCTAAGGGTGCGTCTACACAGTGAGCAGCGCTCCGGAGCAGCGAGTCTCAGAGCCCGGCTCTACAGATTCTTGGGGCTCCTGCTAAGGTGCTAAAAAGAGCTACACCCCCTCTGTAGGCTTCGGAGCCTGATCTCTAGCCCGAGACCAAATCTCTGCATGGCTATTTTTAGCACTCTAGCACGAGCCTGGATCTGTAGATGCGCGCTCGGAGGCCTGCTGCCACGGGCCGCTGCTCACTGTGCAGATGCCACCCTAAAAGGCTCAAAACCCGGAAGGCAAATAAAAACGCTTGAGTTTGGCAACTCTGAAAAGTGCCATGGAATCTTTCTATGTTATGCCACAGTAAGGGAGCATGTCGCAATCTTTAGCGTATTTTGTCCTTGCAAAATGAGGTCCTCCATGCAGCAAAAGTGCTGGAATGTTGTTCCAGAGCGTTCTGGCCCTGGCACAAGAGATGGATGGATCCCTGCATAATCTGTATCCCCCAGTTTAGAGGGTTACATGCCCACAGATTACTTTAGCATCTGCATGCAATGCTTGTATCTTGGCTTGAAAGAAGAGATGGTACTTAAGTAACTTTGCATTGAGTCACAGAAAATATTATACAAGGCAGATTCCTTAAAGATTCCTCACAGTAGCTACGTTTACATTTGTCTAAAAAGGGATAGTGCCGAGTTCCTAAACACAGAGGCTGAATGCTAGTAATGGCCAGGCTAATACAAATTCTGCTAATGAATGGCCACATTTCATCCATTTCATTGGCTGTGTTACCCAAAATTCAGCTCAGCTCCAGCTCATTGAGTCTGATGCTGCTCCCCTGGTTGTGCTGGTTTTACATCAGTGTAATTCCATGGACTTGATTTACACCACTGTAACTATGAACAGAATCAAGTTCATTATGCTGCTAATAATAATACTTAGCTCTTATTTAGTGCTTTTTAATCCATAGATTTCAAAGTGCTTTACAAAGGGGACATTATCCTCATTTTATAGATGGGAAAATTGAGGCACAGGGAGTTGCCTATGGTTACCCAGTAGCAGAGCCAGGAATAGAACCTTGGTCTCCTGAGTCCCAGTCTAGTGCAATATCAACTGCACTGCAATTAACACCACCTACCTCTTCTCAGCAGAAGGTACTTTTTTGGGTGGCTCTATTCTAATGTTTGGATCCCACTCCCCTGGTGGGAGGACAATGACTTCATCCAGAAACTCATCTATTCCTGCAATCAGGTCATCTCGGTCCCTGGCCTTGTAGGCCACATCACTGAAAAGCTGGGAATACACAGAGTAGACAAACGGTTTAGGCAAACTGTTAGCTAGGCAGTGGGAGAGAGGGAAGAACCAATTCTGCTAGAAGAAGGGTTAGGCTTCATCTAAAATGCTTTCTAGATCAGAGAGATTTTGGACCACGGATTGTGGCTCACTCATTGCTAGCGTGAACATCTGTGCTTGTGAACAATATCTGAATGAATCTGTGCTGCACACTGGAATGTCACACATTCGCTGGGATAGAACTCAGACCCTCCTGCTCTAAAAGCCCAGTTCCCTGTCATCTGAATGAAAGAAGAATCTTTGCTAAGTGTTGGCAATATGGAACCTATGACACATAGCTGAACAGATTCTATCCAAGGGAGGACAACGGTGGATGGGCATGCATACATCCCCCCCCAATATTTTAACTTTATTCCTATGGGCAGATCCCTCAGCTGCTGTATCTCCATTGACTTCCATGGAATTGCACAGATTTTTACAGCACCTGCCAAACTGGTCTTACGGTTTTCATTCTGGTCCTGGAGCTCTGATGGGACGTCTCATTTCACCTCTGGGAAATCCCATAAATGTACGGACCGCCTGGACATAGCGTACGTGAAGGGAATGCTACAGGAGCAGGGCTCTGCCGTCGGATTTACTTACATCATCGACCATGAGGGTAGCGATAGCTCGGCCGATTTCATTGTAGGATTTTGCCTTTCCTGAAGGACCCAGGAGAATAAAAATGAACCTGGTAAAAGAACAGAACTCATGAGCTAATGGCCATCTTTGCACTGTGTGGTTTAAATTACAACTCTTGACAGTATGCAGGACTGGTCTAAAGGTATTTGGTAACCATTCCAATAGGAGCAGTGGTGGCAAACAATCAATCTAACTTATTTCAAGATGGAGCTTGATAAAGTTACAATCAGAGTTATATGACAAGGTTACCTGCAATAGCAGGGGACTGGGCTCAATGGCCCAAGATAGAATCATAGAAGATTAGGGTTGGAAGGGACCTCAGGAGGTCATCTAGTCCAACCCCCTGCTCAAAGCAGGACCAACCCCAACTAAATCATCCCAGCCAGGGCTTTGTCAAGCCTGACCTTAAAAACCTCAAAGGAAGGAGATTCCACCACCTGCCTAGGTAACGCATTCCAGTGTTTCACCACCCTCCTAATGAAAAAGTTTTTCCTAATATCCAATGTAAACTTCCTCCACTGCAACTTGAGACCATTACTCCTTGTTCTATCATCTGGTACCACTGACAACAGTCTAGATCCATCCTCTTTGGAACCCCCTTTCAGGTAGTTGAAAGCAGCTATCAAATCCCCCCTCACTCTTCTCTTTTGCAGACTAAATAATCCCAGGTCCCTCAGCCTCTCCCCATAAGTCATGTGCTCCAGCCCTCTAATCATTTTTGTTGCCCTCCACTGGACGCTTTCCAATTTTTCCACATCCTTCTTGTAGTGTGGGGCCCAAAACTGGACACAGTACTCCAGATGAGGCCTCACCAATGTCGAATTTTCTGCAGAACTGCTGCCTAGCCTTCTTGTAGTGTGGGGCCCAAAACTGGACACAGTACTCCAGATGAGGCCTCACCAATGTCGAATTTTCTGCAGAACTGCTGCCTAGCCACTCGGTCCCTAGTCTGTAGCGGTGCATGGGATTCTTCCATCCTAAGTGCAGGACTTTGCATTAGTCCTTGTTGAACCTCATCAGATTTCTTTTGGCCCAATCCTCCCATTTGTCTAGCTCCCTCTGTATCCTATCCCTACCTCCAGCGTATCTACCACTCCTCCCAGTAAAGAGGTCCCTTCCAATCCTGGGCTCCTGTGTAAGCAGTTTTGCTGCTCAAGAAATGCAGGATTAGGCCCTTTGATTTTCACCAGTTGGGGCTCTCGGATACGGCTTACTCCAGCTCCCACTGCAACCCCAAGGAGTCTCTCCATCAAGTTCAATGGGAGCTTTAGTTTGTGTGTCAACCCACACTAACACAGCATGTCCCCTTCTAATGGCTAGAAAGCACAGAACACGTAATGAGCCTGCTACTGACTTAGAGTTAATGGATCTGGCCCTTTATTACAAGCAAGAGAGGCTTGTAGACCCAGAGGGCCCAGGTTCAATCCCACAGATAATGTAACCAGGGTTATGTTTACAGCTACACAAGGGTCTCCTCCCCTTCAAATAGTGGCCGGTCACTGGGATGTGTGACCTGAAATGTAGGAAACCTTTAATACCCGTAAGTACCAGGAATCCTGTTCTCATGAGAATCCCAGCACCATTTTGCAGACTCAAGCAGGAGGGCTGGAACAATTTGTGTAGTGGGGGTGCTGAGAGCCATTGAACCAAACTGTAAACCCCGGATAGGATGGAAACCACATCAAGCCAGGGGGTGCTGCAGCACCCCCAGTTCCAGCCCCTGTGGACTCAAGGCAGTTTGAAGATGCAAGCTATTCGAACAGGAACAACTCAGCGTTTCTGATCACTGTCCAAAAGGTGAGCTTTTCAAAAGCTCTCAGAGCAGGCCAAACTTTGCAAAGACGTTAAAACTCCCATTGACTTTAACAGGAGCAGAGTTAGGCCACCGTGGAGAGTTTTTGAACACCTTGCCCCAAAGCATTCTACTATTGTTGCTCTACGTAGCCCCGGCAAATCCTGGCAACGCAAGTCAGATCCTAAGGATGTCTACAGTTCATGGCAGGGATGGTGCATGGGGCTAAATATTTGCCTTGGCCTTCGTTTCATTTGGGGCTTTTGGAAATATTTTTTTACAAGTCTCAAGGAGGCACTTCTGGACCCCCCAAAATGTGATCTGCTCTTCTGATGGTATATCAGTCCCTGAATGGTGAAAATACCATAAGGAGACCAGACCTTGTGCTACTCTTACTATCTTCGTTCCTTATCTGGCCCCCCGTTACTCTCGTCTCTGAGTGCCTCGTGACCTTTAATGCATCCGATGAAGTGAGCTGTAGCTCACGAAAGCTTATGCTCAAATAAATTGGTTAGTCTCTAAGGTGCCACAAGTACTCCTTTTCTTTTTGCAAATACAGACTAACACGGCTGCTACTCTGAAACATGACCTTTAATGGGATTTATCCTCACAACACTGCTGAGAGGGAGGAAAGTATTTTTATCTCAACTTTACAGATGAGAACTACAACCCAGGTAAGGCAAGTGATGTGCCCAAGGTCACACAGGAAATAGGGGATAGAGCAGGGAACTGAAATCCAGGTCACTCAAGTCCTAAGCTAGTGCCCAACCAGTGGGCAATGCTTCTCTGGCTCCACCAAACAGGCCCCTGGGTTAAAATTAAAAAAGAAACTGATTAAAGTACTTAAATATTTAGAATAATATCTAATAAAATACTAAATGTTGTATCAAATATACTAATATAAACATGTGGTTTTATGCAGGTTCCTCCAGAACCCAAGTGCCAAGCCCTACTTTTCCAAAAAGAGGCATTTAAACGCCCTATAACAGGGGTGGGCAAACTTTTTGGCCCGAGGCCCACATCTCGGTATGGAAATTGTGTGGTGGGCCACAAATGCTCACAAAATTGGGGGTTGCGGTGTGGGAGTGGGTGAGGGCTTCGGCTGGGGGTGTGGGTTCTGGGGTGGGGCTGGGGAGTTGGGGGTGAAGGAGGGTGCTCTGGGTTGGGACCAATGAGTTCAGGGGGTGGGAGGGGGATTAGGACTGGGGCAGGGGGTTGGGGCACAGGAGTGGGTCGGGGTGCAGGCTCCGGGCAGCGTTTACCTCAAGCAGCTCCCGGAAGCAGCAGCATGTCCTCCCGCAGCTCCTATGCAGAGGCGCAGCCAGGAGGCTCTGCGTGCTGCCCTGTCCGCAGGTGCCACCCCTGCAGCTCCCACTGGCCACAGTTGCCAGCCAATGGGAGCTGCAGGGGCAGTGTGCAGAGCCTCCAACTGCTCCTATGCGTAGGAGGCGGAAGGGGGACATGCCGCTGCTTCTGGGAGCCACACGGAGACCTGGCATGCATGGAGCAGGGCAAGCCCCAGACCCCGCTCCCCGGCTGGAGCGGGGCAAGCCCCAGACCCCGCTCCCCGGCTGGAGCGGGGCAAGCCCCAGACCCCGCTCGCCGGCTGGAACTCGAGGGCCGGATTAAAACGTCTGAAGGGCCAGATGCAGCCCCCGGGCACTGATGTATGGAGGTGAGTTGGGGTGGACCAATGGACCTGCAGAATATTCTATGCCCCAGACCCAGAAATCTGCAGACCACTAGTTAAAGAGTGTAAGCAGCATTTACGAGGTGCATGCGCTTTGCACTGCCCCCTTTCATCCACTGTGCCCTTTTCATTTGTAAATATCAAAGTACTTAAGGTCAGTATCATTATACCCATTCTACACATGGAGAAACTAAGGCACAGAGCAGGAAAGGGGATTCATACACCGAGTCAGTCGCGGAGCTGGGAACTGAACCCAGGAGTCCCAAATTAGCCATCCAACGCTGCAAGAAAATATAGGTTAATAAAAGCTCTATTCTCTCTCCAGTCCATGTAGGACCTGGCTGCCCCACTATCATTAGTGAAAGTTACATGGGCCATTTGAACAGTGCATTAGACTTTAGGAATCCGTAGCCTCCTGAGACAAGGGAAGAAAATGTTGTCCCAGCTAACATGGAAGGTAACATGCTATACTGCTAGAGATGGGCAATGTTTTTTGGCTGAAAATTTTGTGTCGAAAAATGCAGATTTGGCAACACAAACATTTTGCAAATTCATGTCAGTTTTGTTGAACTGTTTGTTTGGGGGGACCCCCCCCCCCCTCCAAAATTCTAAAAAACCCACCAAAATACTAAAAAGTCTTCTCTCCATTTGAAATGACTGTTTGCTTTGAAATTTCCTCCAATTCTATTTCAAATGTTGAAATGGTTTGAAAAACACTAGCAATCAAAATAAAATGTTTTGTTTCAGGTCAAATGAAACATGTTTGACCCAAAACTATTTTAAATTTTACTTTTTACTTTCTGGTTTGCTGAAATTTTTTTAAACATGGTTCATTTTGGGTTGACCTGCAACGATTTTTTTTAACCTTGATTTTTCAAAACAGCTAGCGAATCCAAAAGTCCGTTATTCACACAGCTCTAATTAGACCTCTTAGGAATCTGTAGCCATCCAGAGACAGAGGAAGAAAATATTGTCCCACCTAATCTGGAAGGCAAGGTGTGCTATACTGCATCAGGTTTACATGAGAGTTTACAGCTGAAGCCCCAGTTCTGAACCACCAATACCTTTCTTCAGTTCTTGCAAAAGCACATTTTGTTTGTTTAAACAGCTGCGCACCTAGTGGGGACGGGAACTTCCGTCACCCCGCCCAGCATGGTGGACTGTATGAGCCTCACGAATGCCACAAATGGCTTATCCAGGAAGTCCACCTCTCCCACCAAGACATTGGAGGCTTCCGCGTCTTTGGGGATCTTCTTTATGAATTTATTTTTTAGCTGTTGGGGGAAAAGAAAGAGTTCAATGATGGGTCAGATCTTCCTTTACTTTACTTTTTTTTTTTTTTTAATAAAACAACACCATGACAACCTATTTCTGCTCGACATTTAGGATGCTAAAAACTGCTGAGCTCCTGCCGTGAAATTGGAGTTTTTCCTTTCCTCTAAGCATATAGTCGCACTTGGGTACGAGTTACTAAGTTAAGGCAAATCAAAAGTGTGAAGTCAATGCACTGAATTAAAGCATTTTAAACCCACATTGGTGTGGATACTTCTCAATCAGGAGTAAAGTGGCCTTGGTTTTCTGTAACTTAATCCTCCTTGCCAAATTTCACATCCCATACAGCACCGTGACAAGGTATGTCTCCACTGCAATCAGGATTGATTGACTGCAGCTCAGGTGGGCATGCCCCAGCTAGCTTTGATCCATATGTGCCCAAAACCCACTGCAGTCCAGTGGTGACATACTACTATCTGAAAGCCGAGATTCTCATGTATCCCCATGACTCCAGGAGCCGGGGCTTCAAGGAACACATTAGATACTACGAAACTCATCATAAAATTGTCAGAGTGGGCAACACTGAAATCCATCCTCGATGGGAACAGCCCATAAGCATGTGCTAAACTTTAAGTGCTTAAATCTGAGACGCTTGAAATCGGACATGAGCACATTGAGACAAGTTCAGCACATGCTGAAGTGCTGTCCTGAATAAGGACCTAAATAAACACACAACACCACACACCACCTCCAAATTGGACCCACAAAACACCCACACTCAAGTATGACAAAAGAGCAGGTCTTTCCACCGGCTCCCCACATATAATAAGGAAGGAGGATTCATTGTAATAAGTAGCTTGAGCTTCCATTTTGTAGTTCATTCTCCCAGATCTCTTCTTCGGAAAGGGAGCAGATAATTGTAGGCAGTGGCCTCATTTCACAGATTTATCCTTGGGGCTCTTGGGGCCTGCAGCCTTTTCATTATTATTGTAAAAGGGTTCAATACGAACCCAGGCAGGATGTTGTTATAATCTATATGCCAGCATGAGGAGAGGCATGTGAGCCGGGCGGCAAGCTCCCCCCATTCTAATCTTTTAAATCCAAATGGGAAAAAAAATAAAATAATAATAAAACCACTCCTCCGATACAGCTTGGAATAAGCAAAAGCAGGAGTTAAGGGCGACCACTAAGCTTCACGAAAAACTTTAAAAGTCCCTTTGTAGTGGGTCTAATAGGCTAATTAAAAACCAACATTCTTTGGAACGAAATGGTTTTCATATCTTAGCATTAACCCTTGACGCACTGACGTTTGATTGTAATGTTTGGATTTTCTTATCAGGGAATTTGCTTTAATTACAGCAGCTCTAAACTAAGAGCACCCACTGGTAAAATCTGACTGTGGACAGCTCTTAAGCAATATTTCCCATGGTAAATTTTTTCCCAAACAGTCCACACACTCTGCTTCCATTAATTTATCTAAATGCCACTCAGTGCCCTGGAAAGGGCGTGATTCTGGTATCCAGGCTGCAATCCTGAAGCCCTCTGGATGCATTACTGAGCAAGTGTTCACCACAGAAAGAGTCTCTACACCTATTTCAATCAGACTAAACCACAAAGGCTGCGACCCCGCTCTGCGGGACTCTCTTTTCCAGCTCCATCTCACATAGATCGCATGGCTAGAAGGGACTGCTGTGATCATCTGATCTGACCGCTGGTATAACACAAGCCAGAGGACTTCCCTGAATTAATTCCTCCAACTTAAGTGTAAGGTCGACAACACTATCATAACAAAGCATGGCTACCCAGGACTTCCAGGTTGTCACTCTGCCACAGTGACAGCGGGGGATAGAACGCAGATCCACATCCATGTGTCCATGATCCACAAATCCCTCCCCAGCTCAGCTAAGAGGGAATCTCTTTAAGCACTCAGCAATAAGGGACTGTGACAGAGTTTTCCAAAGGGTGAGTCACCCATAGGGTGATCAGATGTCCCGATTTTACAGGAACAGTCCCGATTTTGGAGGCTTTTTCTTATATAGGCACCTATTACCCCCCACCCCCGTCCCGATTTTTTACACTTGCTATCTGGTCACCCTAGTCACCCACCAGTGGGTCATATGAAAATTCCAGATGGGTCACCACATCCAGGGCTGGACGAATTTAGGACTGGCACCCGGCCCTGGTAAACAAACACTTCTCCCAGCCCGGTGCAGACGGGAAGCCTGGAGAGATGTGTTTTGGAGAGCAAGCCTGCCTCGACCAGCGGGGCGGGGCCTAGCTCCCTGCTCCAGCTGTTGTGACCTGTCACAGGCCAAACCTGAATGGCGCTGCGACCCTGTATGCCAGGTCGCAACCGGGCTGGGATTAGGGCTGCGGTGCCAAGGCAGAGGATGCATATATGTAATGGTGGGTCATCAAAAAAATAAATAAAATTAAATTAAAAAAAAAAAAGACAAAATGCAGTTGGGAGGGCCGCCATACTAAAAAGTTTGGGAACTCCAGGGCTATGAGTAGTTCTGATTGCATCCATCCGATTGCACACGCTGAAAGCCAAGCTTGCCTGCTGTAGCCTGGAACAAAGAGCGCGGAGTGCTGACGCTATAATGTGACCTGGCTTCCTCTTTGCTGGACGGCAGCATACACAGGGCTCCAAGAGGGAGTTTTGCATCTGAGGTTCCACACTGTGCAGGGCAAATAAAAGAGCAGGATTTCTTTGATGAGGCACCTTCCCCGCCTCAAGCCCGTTGCTCCTGTACCAACAGGAGTATAGCCAGTAAACAACAACAGTACCTGGCATTTCTCCAGGGCCCAAAGCATTAACTCATTGATCTTCACCCTGACCCTGAAAGGTAAGTATGTGCACCGCCTGCGTACAGATGGGAAAACCACGGCACGGAGAAGTGAAGGGATTCACGCAGGGAAAACGTGAGGCAGAGATGGGAAGAAAACCCAGATCTCCTGGCTTATAGGTCTGTGCTTTAATTTGATGTGAGGGAAAAAAAAAAAGCAAAGTGATGCATGGGTAGGATTGAAAGCAGCCTAGCTCCTACTCCAATGCAGGAACAAGTGGATTTTTAACCATCCCTACACTCCAAGTAGCAACACGCCACTGAGGAATTCCTATTGACTTAAATAGGGGCAGGACAGAGCTGTAAAAATAGCACTGTGGGGTTCTACACTGATCCTCTCTCGCTAGCAGCCAGTTCAAATTTGGTCAGGATACGAGCCAAAGGATAGTTTGTCTAGTGTCACCAGGATTCTGCAAATCCATCTAGGTTGTTCTTTTCCCCCCATCAACGCTAGTAACAGAGATTCTGCCCATCAGAAAGTGGCTGAAAAAAATTCAGTGGATAATGCACAAAGCAGAAAAGAATCCAGCTTTCCCCCCTCTTGCTGTAATAACTCCACACAATCTTGTGTGTGTCAGCAGAGCTAGCAGAGGTGGCTTGTATGCATAGGAAGCAGATATGTGGAATAGGGAAGTTGCATTTCTTGCAAACTGGTAACCACAGGACCTCAGCAGTGTTACGGCAGAATGACTTCCCAAATGTTGGGAAATGTGAGTGTCAGATTTACAGATTCCAAGGCCAGGAAGTACCACGATGATCATCTAGTCTGACCTCCTGTATAACAGGCCAGAAACCTGCCCCACAATGACTCCTAGAGCAGAGCTTTTAGAAAAACATCCATCTTGATTGAAAAATGGTCATTCAAGGAGAATCCACCACAACCCCTGGTAGATTGTTCCAGTGGTTAATTACTCTCACTGTTAAAAATGTACGCCTTATTTCTGATCTGAATTTGTCTAGTGTCCACTTCCAGCCATTGGATCATGTTAGACCTCTCTCTGCTAGAGTGAAGAGCCCATTGTTAAATATTTGTTTTCCATGAAGATATATATAGACAGTAATCAAGTTACCCCTTAACCTTCTCTTTGCTAAACTAAATAGATTGAGCTTTTTGAGTCTACCATTATAACGCAAGTTTTCTAATCCTTTAATCATTCTTGTGGCTCTTTTCTGACCCCTCTCCAATTTATCAGCATTCTTGAATTGTGGGCACCAGAACTGGACACAATATTCCAGTGGTGGTTGCATCAGTGCCATAAATAGAGGGAAAATAACTTTGCTGCTCCTACTCGAGATTCCCCTGTTTATGCACCCCAGGATCCTATTAGCTCTTTTGGTCACTGTATCACACTGGGGAGCTCATGTTTGGCTGATTATCCACCATGACCCCCATATCTTTTCCAGAGTCACTGCTTCCCAGGATAGAGTCCCCCATCCTGCATTCTAGGTTCCTCCATGCATATATTTACATTTAGCTGTACTAAAAACATACTGTTTGCTTGTGCCCAGTTTACCAAGCAAGCCAGACTGCTCTGCGACAGTGACCTGTCCTTTTCATTATTTACCACGCCCCCAATTCTTGGGTCATCTGAAAACTTTATCAGTGACAACTTTGTGTTTTCTTCCAGGCCATTGATAAAAACGTTAAATAGCATTACATGTGCTGGATAGAAAAGAATAAGATGTCACTGGTAAGGTTTTGCATTAGAGTGCAAGCTTAATGAAGCCAGCATATACGCATATTGCTGAAGATGCCCAAGACTGCCCAAAGACATTAATTTCTAACACCATTCCAGGCTATAAAGGTGGAAGGGAATGCATGAGTCTTTCCCCTTAACTTCTTATTTCCTTGCTTTCAAGGTTTTGCGTGTATGGATTGTGTCCTGCCGCAACCTTAACTGTTAATGAATGCAGTTTTTTCATTGAATCCTAGGACTGGAAGGGATCTCGAGAGGTCATCTAGTTCAGTCCCTGCACTCATGGCAAGACTAAGTATTATCTAGACCATCCCTGTTTTGTTTGCTAATCAGATGTGTGTCTCCATTAAGAGAAGTTGTGTAAACCCTCTAGGGCTGATTCAGATGAGCAGTCATTCCACTGAAGTCAATGGAGTTACAACAGTGTATGACGGGCAGGACAAAATGAAAATCGGG